GGTCAGGTTTCTAGGCAAAAAGTAGAGTGACTATCCCTTTCACTATTCCCCTGGGTTAGTTGAATCTGGCCCAACACTTCCACCACTTTCCAGCATCTTTGAGCTCAGTAGTATCTAGCCCACATATTTCAAGGATGGAGAAGTGTAGCCTGTCTGCCACCAACCTGAAACTTGACTTGTTTCCTGCCATGGGAGAGGGAGGAGAAAGCAGCTTCAAATAAATGTGGCCCTCCGGTCATCTCTGTTTGGCTCTCAAGACTCTACAGACCATGCCCATCCACAGGCCATATCCTTCACCAGCCCTGCTGTGCCCTCTTTGGTTGCTTTTGCTTGGCTGGTACATGTCCTTGAACTGCAGTAATACCTTTTTGTTGCCTGGGGGAGATTTTGGAGGTGAAGCTAAGTAGAGACTGCTGGCTTTTGCTGTAGCTGGAATGTAGCCTGCTGAAAAAGGTAACGTAACGTCCATTCTTGCACCCACTTTTGCCTCTGGCTCAACGCAGCACTGGCACGCAGCTCTCAGAAGGTTGTCCAGGAAGCAATGTGGCCCTCGTGGTCCCTTGGAACTACAGCACAGAGAATAAAACTCAATAGTCTTTATTTTTGGTGGGGCAAAACCCAGTTGCCAGCATTATCTGGAATGCCGAGTGACTACATCTTCCTCTCAGTATCCTTGCAGTGTAACCTGTCTGTAGCCAAGAGGAGATGCTCTCCCAGCAACTGCTTCTCTCTTGCACCCTGGCAGAATTCATAATGTAAAATAATAAAACATTGGCTTTTCTGATCCTCATGTGATATGTGTTTGCAAGGTCAGTCAGTGTAGGACACACCTGCTGTGCACATGAGCTTTTTGATTTGAGCAAAGGTTTGATCAGGGCTTATAAGTATGTTCTTTCTGGTAATGAGGGATTCCTGGGTGTGTGGAAGCTTTTAATTCCTTTCAGATGAATGTGCTTATGAGCTCTTTCAGACCTTTCTACATCAGATCTTTTTCTTCATTGCTCCCCTTGTGTAGCCATTAATGCCCATCAGAAATGTCTGAACCTTTGAGAAGTTGCAGCCCCTCTTTTACCTGCCAGCATGAGCGAACCTACCCACAAGACTAATATTTTGTTTTAAGCATTAAGTGAATTGCCATTCTTGTCATTTTTCCGTAACAGAATATGGTGCCCCTGAAGATGGAGAGCTGAAAAGAGAACAGCCCTTCTCACTAAAAAGTCAGCTGTTGGGTAAGATATAAGGCCAAACTAAAAAAAAGTATTTAAAGAAGTGTGTAAGGCTACAGTGCAGTATTTGCAGAGCAGGTGACTTTTTAAAAGGATGTCTCAGTTATGATGTTGTACACATCCCCAACAGACTATTTAACTGATGACTCCCCCCCTCCTCGCCGTATAGCTTCTGCAGCCTTAAACCAACAAGGATGTGGGGTGTTGAGATCATGATTCCTATTACTACACATCAGGGGTATGGGACCTGTCTATCTCCAGAGGATGTTGGCCTCTGAACTCCCATCAGCTCCAGCCGGCATGGCTGGAGACTGAGGATGATGTGTGTTGTCCAGCAACACTGGGAAGGTTGCATGTTCTGCATCCCTGCTATATGTGACAAGCAGCATGTGATATTACAACTATTACTTGAATCTAAGTTTAATATTCCTCAGCACGCTCAGGATTCCTGGTGAGGCCAGAGGTTTTTTTAAAATGCTTTCAGGTGGAAGGAATACTCTTAGTGTATTTGGTAACAAGTAGGCATGGTAACATCCACTTTCCCCTGACCCAAAGACATTTTAAACTCTGCTTGTACCATTGTGGTGTGACCCAGTTATGTCAAGCAAAGTTTCTCTGTTTCTTGGCACCCTGAAATTGTTTCTTAGGATATAGTCATGCCCAGGTATTGTAACTTATTAGTATTAATCTATTGCCTTTGAACTTGCCATACGCTTTTCAGTGTCAAGAATTCTTACACCCAGCAGTGCATTAGGGGTTAATTGGAAATATGCATAAGGTTTTTTCCCTTGCCTATAACTAATATACATTGTATAAAATGTTAGTATTACATCAGCTTCTCACTGTTCTTTATTTTTAAGCTTTAACCTTTAAGTGTCCTGACAGACCTGATCAGAAGCCCATAGAGAAGAAACTGCCAGGTAAGGACAGTTGATTTCAGGCATGATCAAATCCCAGCTTAATAAACGAAGATATGCTTGAGTTCTGTGCACCAACATACAACTCATTCAGGTGACTAGGGAAACCCAGGAATCCAGAGTTAATCTAACTTCCCATTACATGAGAACCAGGGTTAATGGCTTCTACACAAGCTAGCTATGGTTTAAAGTTAGCTTAAGAGTCCAAGCTTCTTTGAAAGTCATAAACCATCAGTCCCATTTGGCATGTAATAAATAATTTACAGTTAACTGTGGCTCCCTGACTTGTTTCTCAGCTTGCACAAAGTGACTTATTAAATTTATATCATGGCATATTAACCCAGGATTTCATCATTTGACATAGCCTGTTGTTTCTGCGTGTCAGAATTATTTTGTGCTTCTTGGCTACCTCATATTTAAGTGTTTTCACATAAAGTGGATTAAGTTCTTCAAGGTTACATAAAGCACTATCCAACAAGTTAGTTGGATTACAGCAAGGATTTTTGTTGATTTAACAGAACTTCTCCCTGTGCATCCCCATCTCCCTTCCCAAATCTGCCCCAGAAGATTGAGGGGAAACCCAGAACAGATTTAGGAGATGCTCAGGGAGAGGACCTGACCTGTAAGTTCTATTGCACAGCCAAAAGTCCTTGCATTAACAGAACTATTTCATTGGATACCACCCAGTTTTCCTTCTATTGTAAAAACGCATTGAGAAACTAGCCTCATTCTGCCTTTTTGAAGGCAGCAGAATCATCCTCAGCCTGCACACTGATGTAAGAAGCATCTTTAAAAGAGTATTCCTTTGAAGCAGAAAAGGAGAAATTAGGCTATTGTAAATTTTTTACAGCGTACCCTAATTAGGATTCCCCCCCCCCCCCGTTAGGTTGGATGACTGCTTAATACATTCAAAACTTCAGTCTAGTTGTTCAAGTATGTATTTTGATTAAATGGTGAATCCTCTTAAAGCAGCATCTGCTTAACGGGGAGTATTTGTGGGAAAGCTAAATAGATGAGGAATATATGCAAGATTATCTTTTGTGTAAGATAATCGGCAACATTAGAGGGTGATAATTCCTGTCGTTATTAGAATACAACATTCAGACTCAAGATTAATTTCTGCACCTAGAGGGTGCTGCCTTCTTAAGAACATACAGGGCCATCATTTTCTTGCCTTATGCCGGCTGTCTGGTGATCTTGTTTGGAGGCATTAGGAGCAAGTATCCCATGTCTTCAGTCCTTTAGCTTATATAAAACTTAGGGCTGCAATTCTATACTCACTTAAATATGATCGAACTTTAATTGGACTTGCTTCTGAGAGATACGTATAGAACTGCAGCGTAAAGTATTTATACTTTTGGGTCTGCAAGCTTTTGCATGCTTACGTGGGCTTTACTTATGAGTAAGCATGACAAATAATACCAATTTATATGCTAGCTTTTTGTTAAAACAGTAAAATAAGTTTGAAAGGAGAATTGCATATTTCAATACCATGTCCTGTTTTCCCTTAAAAAACCCAGTTCTCTGCCCTGCTTCAAAATTTACACCTTTAGTACTTACTTGATGAAACAGCATAGAGTAATCTCTGCTGACTTAATTGTTACACTGGAGTAAAGCATTTAAGCAGCAGCTTACAGAATTACATACAGGTCCCAAGTAAAAAAATGCCAGTGTAACAAAGTGGAAGTATTTTTCTGGTGGATGGGGGACACACAAAGCCAAGACCCATTTCCATTCTTGTGTAATATCCCAATGTAGGCAAAACTGACCTGACTTTTGAATCTATCTTGTGGAAGAAGAAATAGCATATATTCCATGGATACAAATCCCATCATTCTCCATGGGAATTTCTCAGTGGGGTAGTAGGAATACAGTTTATCACACTTGTATGACCCATGTGATCAAATGGTCTTAATGAATTTGAACACTGTATTTTGAAAAGTATTTATTCTAAAATAAAAATCACATTTATCACAAGTTGCATAAAATATACAGCTTTTCCAAAAAGTTAATAGAAAAATATTTTTCTAAGTACATTTGTGACAATAGAGTAACTCACTATTGCTGTGCCTTCAGATAAAGCTTTAAATGAAAGGGGAAGGGGATTACCCACAATAGCCGATATCTTGCATTGCTCAAATTTAGAAGATAGTTTTAAAAAACTAACTTACTCCTTCAAGTCTCATTACAAAAATACACCTCCATGTTCATATGTATTGGTTTGCAATGCAAGCACATAAAGCTAGTGGTAAACTAGAACTAATTAATATACACGATTTTGGACCTTGTCGTAAGTTCCTAGAATGACAATCATTTTTTGCAGAGGGAAGAGCTTCAGTCAAAGTACAAAAGAGCAAATGCCATAAACTAAGTCCTGAAGGTCACTTAGGTCAGTCAGTGTGTTGTATACATATACTATAGAAACTCCAATTTGGTTTATGGTTTTTATATTATTACCTTTATGTCAAACTGAAGTGCTTCTGCTAATTGCTTCAAGAGAGCAACTTCAGGAAATCTACTTAAATGCATTGAAAGGTAATTATTTGAAGTTGATCAAATTTCTTTTCCCTATACAGAGTCTATGACTATCCAGAAGGTTAAAGGATTGCTGTATCGGCTACTTAAAATCCCAGGTTCAGAACTGAAGCTATCCTACGAAAGTTCTAAAGTAAGCTCATGTTCATACAATACAGAATACAATTTGTCCCACTGCTACTGTCAACACTGCACTCTAACACTATTGAATTATTTGATTCCTGTAAAGGACAGTAACCGTAACCATAACCATAATTTTAGACCTTGTTCAGCTTTCTTTTGAGAGGTAGCAGCTGCTTGATCTCACATCTTTTGCCTTTTAAAAAAGTTATGCAAGAATAAAATAGTCTAATATCTGGATCTTTTCTTATCCTAGATGAAAGGCAAGGAATTTGAACTAGACAATGACCTAAAGCCATTGCAGTTTTACTCTATTGAAAATGAAGACTCCATTCTAGTCCGATGGTAACTGCTGCCTTCACATCTTTCAATAAACAGTTGTATGCTGCTAGCAAAGCCTCTAACACGTCATATGTTGATTTTTTAAAAACTATTTTCTGGAAGAACCTTGATATGAAAAGTGGAACGCTTATTTACTAGACAAATTACCAGGTGTACTTTGTTAATAAATTTCTCTTTAAAAACAGTGCCATGCCTCATTGAGAAAAGGTAAGCTTTAGCCAACTTAATGGAAATGCATTTAACCCATGGTTTGTGCTACGCTGCTAACTTTTAGAAGTGGATGGGACTATAATAAATGCTACTCTCATTATTATAGATATAATCATAAGATCTAGAGAATTAAAAACTGAGGTATTCTCATTGTCCACCTGGCCTGAGGGCACTGCATTACTAGCAAGCATAACACAACTAAGTAAACACAGCTACTTACAGCACAATCCTACACCATGCCTGCCCCCCACCCGCTCAGTGGGGTATGGGATCGCTGCCTGAGTGCTCCATAGTCACACCACCACATGGGAGAAAGGACCTGCTACCCTGATTCCTTCATCCACCGGTGCAAGGAATGAAGAAATGCAGAATTACTGCAGCATTCACCATCGTTCTTTAGCAAGTGGTAGAATATATAGTGCCCATAAGTGGAATACTGGCACACTAACTTATGCTTCCCTCCTGCATTGGCACAGTAGTGTGGGCCTCATTACATACTTATTTTTACAGTAGTACACTTACATTCCTAAGGCTAGACTTAAATCCTTGTTCTTTTTGCATATTAATGCATGAGAGGTGAAGCTTATCTACATCTGTCATTTGCTAATAAAGAAAATTGCTTTACTTCACATTTAGCTTTGTAAAACTCCTAGAGGGAATATGGAAATCGAAAGGCTCCCTTTACAAAAGAAAAGATGTACAAAAAGCATTGTTAAAGGGCCATTTGACACAAAACAAATCCGCCTGTGAGAATAAGTGAATTCCATGTATAGTTTGGCACCCACAGCAAACATATTTCCTCTTTTTCCATGTAACCTGGGGGCGGGGGGGGGGGGACATACACACAACTGCCACTTACCCACACTTAATATTTGTCACAAGTGACAAACTACACAGGAGACTGATGTTGTGTCTTATGAAAGGAAATTCTTTTCAGAAACCACTGAGAGCCTTTCCTGTTATCACTGAAAACTACAGTTTCCTCATGCTGTTGGCCAGTGTTCATCTTTCATCACATTTGCAGGGATCTCCACAACGTTCCTTGACTTTCCAGAGCTCTGCAAGTTCCTCTGGAGAATACTGCGGAGAGGACAACATACCACTCTCACATGTCTTCTCACACAACCAGAGATTGTCCTGTTTGAGAGAATTATTTCAGAGACTCTTTAACAGGAAACAAAACACGGCAAACATTGATAAGAAGAGGTCACCGTGATAGTTCCAAAGGCCGTTCATATTACCGTATTTTTCGCTCGATAACACGCACGTAGTTTTTAGAGGAGGAAAACAAGGAAAAAAAATATTCTAAACGAAACAGTAGGTGTATGATTTTTGTGGTTCATGCTGTGGCCACAGACATGTGATCTGATGGTGAGTTTGGGGTGACCCAGTGCAAAAATCCTGAGGATCCATGTGGAACCGTGCTTTGTAACCACGTTTTAAGTGGGGAGGGAAGGAAAAGCACTCAATGGACAAGGAGCACGCATGGGGGGTGTGGAGAAGGAGCTTTTCTGTGAGCTGAGCGGGGAGGGAAAGAACACTGTTGCTTTAAAGGTATACTTAAGGTATTTGCCCTGTGCCTGGGGTTTTTTCCATTTAACAGTTTGCAGCCTTTTCCTTCTGCTCCTTGTTTTGAGGCAGAATAGATTTGAGCAAGTGAAGAGGACTTGGATTGCAGGGGATTCGCCATTAGCTGTGTAAAAGCCCTCCTCCTTGCAGCCTGAGTGATAAGCAGCCACCAGCAGCAATAGAATGGAGCACAAAAAAGCGGTAGGGGCACTAGGACCCAGACAATGCTCAAATCTATCCTGCCTGAAAGCAGCTGAGAAGCGGGGGATAGCCTTTTTTTTTTACTTCCTGGTTTTCACTGCGCTCGTGGCTCAGAGCTCCAGGTTGGTTTTTTTGTTGTTGGTTTTTGCTGCTGGTTGCTTAAATTTTATCCTTCCTGATCCAAGCCCTCCTGTCCCTCTGCAGCCTCATTGCTCCGTTTAGAGAGCGCGCGGACCTTTGCTAGCTGAGGCTGCAGCAGCTGTTGCTGGCTACTTTAAAAGCGCTTGCTGGCTTTGAACCGCCTGCCTTCTCCCGGCTCGCTATGGCTCCGTCTGTCCCTCCTCCCGTGTAAGCGGCTGCTGCCCGCTTTGCTGCCATGGCTCTCCTTCCCTCCCTCCTCCCCGGCTCCTCCGTAGGTAGCTTTAAAGCAAGCAAAGGAGCCCCTCCTCCTGGCTATAAGGCTATAAAGCAAGCAAAGCTAGAGCCGTGCAAAGCCCTGCAAGCGGCTCCCGCTTTGCTTGACTGACGGCAGCCACGGCTCCGATCCAGTGCATTCGCTCCTTAACACGCACAGGCATTTTCCCTTACTTTCTAGGAGCAAAAAAGTGCGTGTTATGGAGCGAAAATTACGGTAGTTATACAAGTATCCTCTTGTAACAAGATTTTAAAATACAGACAGCAGGGGTAGGCAGATAAAGGGGTAGTGAGAAACTAAAGATGAGCAGAAGTCGAAGATTTCCTCAACTAGAAATATATTGCTGGCAACAGGAACCAAACACTTAAGACTGAATCTTAAGTTACTGGATTGCTTCAACCAGCAAGTCACCAGGTTAGATGCCACGCAGCAATCAGGAGCTTGTGGCATTGCAGCTCTCATGGCCAATGGGTAGGGATGACTGGAACTGTAGTCAAGCAACCTCTGCAAGGCCACAGATTCCCCATCCCATACTCTCTGTTTGGCTAAATACAACCAATTCTCAGACCACTGGAATGGATGCAGTGTTTTGCTACCCTGAGCCAAGAAACTAGGACACCGATGGCGAACCTTTTAGAGACCGAGTGCCCAAACTGCAACCCAAAACCCACTTATTCAACCTAAAGTGCCAAAACGGCAATTTAACCTGTATATCTCATGTTTTCTGTGTGTTTCACGTTTCTTCTTTATGACTGCGGTTGTAATAAATAATCCTTCAAAAAAGTTATTGCATTACATTCTTCTTTGTCTTTCCGTTGATACATAATTTTATGGTATAACTCAGTGCTTTTTCTCTAAAAAAATATGTTATGGGGTACTCTCATTTTGACTCAAGAAAATCACCACCGGGGAAAAACAAATACAGTTCAAATCGGGGAAAATAAATACAGTGAATTTCTTCTCCCATTAAATTCACAAAATGTTTAGGGGTATGTGTCCCCACAGGAAAAAGCACTGGTATTACTCCAAAACAAAGTTGTGTTATGAGCCATCAAACCTCGGAAATACATTTTTTCCAGAAGGTTCCACAATTTGGGCCACTAGTGTACACTGGAGGGCTGCACCAAGAGCCACCCTCTCCCAATTTTTAATATATGAGAATAATGATCACCAAGCCCTGGTGCCGCAGGCTTTGGATGGCGTGCAAGAGCCCTCCTCTCCTCCCCTGCCACCCCCAGCACAGAGGCTACGGCCATGCTGGGGCGATGGCGCACATGCCCACAGAGAGGGCTTTGAGTGGCCTCTGCCACGCGTGCCGTAGATACACCACCACTGCTGTAGGAGGAGCAAAGCACGCACATAGCATGCCATGCCAGGAAAATACAGTCATGGGAAAAGGAAGTACACCCTCTTTGAACTCTGGTTTTACAGATGAAGACATAATAACAATCATCTGTTCCTTAGCAGTCTTCAAAGTCTTTACAGCTCAATCTAAGCAGATTTGCACTGAGTGTAATGGCGCTGATTCCCAAGTACATGTATGTAGGATTCTCAGTTACTTAACAAATCAAGTAAAAACATACCTGATAGCGTTTTGGCCCAATGGCTGCCATCCAAATACCCATACTCACATCTTCACCCTAAATGCACACATTTAAATCAAAATAAAAGCCAAAATGAAGAAATGAGTTCAGTTCACAAAGACTCAAGATGGCACACACTTCATCATTTAAGCTTGTGCCGAGTTTCGTAAGTAAATATTTACCAGAAAACTATGATGTATAGGTGTGTTGTTGTGTTTGAAGCATATAGATGTCATCACATCCATATTTGAGGTAATGGAGCACTTCCATGCAACCAGAAACCCCCAAGCCAAGTGTAATGCTGTGTAACTTTTGGCTTTGATCTAAAACCTCACAAGTCTAACAATGGACTTATTCCTTAACAAGGGAATGAGGGAAGCCCTTGCCAACCTGGGGATTGTGTAGCCACTGCAAAGTTCACATATCCATATAGAAGCTCTTGGAATGGACTCCTCCAAAACAACAACTCTCAATCCCAATATTAGAATGTTAGGCTGGGGGGAAATGGAATGTCTGTTTATAAAATAAATAGGATTACATATACACAAACCTATCTCCATTCCTCCTGTGAAAATACTTGCCTGATATATCTTTAATCTCTCTGAGTTTCTTGCAAGCCATTCTACAATGTCTTTGGAAATTACATAACCAGATCCACAAGCAAAGGCTGGGTATGCAGGACTTGGATACTCTAGCTCTTGCCACTTCCCAGTGCGGTCGACAGCCCAATTTAATCTGAAACTTGAGACCAAAATCAAGTTATTTTGACAGAATATTAATAGCTCTTTAATTCTGACTAAGGGGGAGGAAACCCTTTCTCTAGGACTGGCAACTAGACAATTTAATCATCAGGACTAGTCCCTGCAGAGAAGCAGCTCACTCTCATGTCTGACCCCTTTAATCTTTCAGGCAGCAACTTGCAATTTTTTGTGCTGCCACCTGTTCCTTTTTTTCAATATACAAGTAGAAAAGTAGCCCCTATGTGCCCCACTTTTTGGCTTTTAAAGTTCTTTACAATTTTATTTTTCTATTTTTGTGAGGGTTTGTCGGCACTGTGAAATAGTGAAATCATTCACCTTTTAGTGCAGAATTTTTTTTTATCACAGGATTCATGAAAAAACAACGAAGGCTAGTTAACCTCTCTTCTTTCCCCATCTCCCTGCTTATATTTGCCTCCTTTACAGTATCAAGGGAATTATTGATACCTCTAGAAGAAGCTTTGACATCCACCTTCACTCCCACCCAGCATTTTTGCCAATCTAAGCAAAGGCATCATGAGGAAATCCAAAGAAGTTGCAAGAGAAGACTGATACCAGAAACCAGCCCCCAAAACAAACCAATACATTATCATGCAAATCAATCTCTGGAGCATGTAGGCAGTATTGATTCTGCAGTTCAGCTGCTTATTAAATATACTTCATATCTGAATGAACCCATAAGGAAACTCATAGGGCAAGCACCAGTAGATGCAATGGGACTTTCCTTCCTTCCCTTGCCCAGAGCAGATGTTGTAGATAAGGGGGAGGTCTGGTAGCACAAGCAGAAATCTTTGTACAAGCAGATGCCACAAATGGAAAATCATCCATCATTTATGCTATCTAGAAATATTGTCTTTGATTCAGCAGTTAGAGGTTTATATAGAATGCAAATCAAAATATTGGTTCAAGCATGGCTTGGACCCTTAAATTGCAACCAGAGTTGCAAATTTCCTTAAACATACTTTCTGTGATTAGTGTGTTCATGCTTGGTCACTTATACTCTGCAACAAGATGAAAATAAAACAAACATTTAAAAACAATATTTGTTTTTTGGCTTTAAAATATCCCCTATACTCCCCATTATTCTTCAACCATAAGCTCCTTCAGTGCAAGGATACCTATTGCCTATGAAACTGTACAGCAGCAGAAACACTACTGGTGTAAACAATTTATTTAAATGCAAACAAACATACTTTCCCCACCAAGTATTTGGTCTGCCTAAGTTTTTAAGCTTTATTCTGTTGAACACAGCCTCCAAATCTATGTAGCAGTCATCATCTGTCTTCAGCAATACGTTGAAACTGGCTGCTTCTACCGTCCTGTAGCCAAATAAAAAACAATGAGACTATTATTGGGTTGTTGTTTTTATTTTGATTATGCATTTTGAGGTTTAATATTCTGATTTTACTCTGTGAACTGCCGTGAGACCTATGGGTATAGGGCGTAATGCAAATCCAATAAATAAATAAAATAAGTAAATACTAGAAACGTCCCTTAAAATGCATTGAAACTGCTGTAATAACTACACTGAAACAGGTCTGATGCAATAGGATGATCAGTGTTTCAACATTTTGGCTTCTATACCTTTAATACAGGTTTTCCCAGTGCAGCACCCATGCAGCACTCTTACCCTTCCCACATCCAACCCTAAAGCCTAGAGGTACTCCAGAAAAATAAAGACAGCAGACAGCTGCACATATCCAGTCAACCTGAAGAAGGTGCAATAAGAGAAAAAAGGAGCACCTTCCTGCCAGTACCAGGGGAGTGACAAGGGGTAGGACAGCGGAAGGGGAGGAGAAGGCAAGGGTAAGGGAAAAAGACGTCACCCTTGTATTCTGGTTCTTGGGAAGTAACTTGCCTTTTAGTCTCGCCAGTTTGCCTTCTTTGCAATGGGTGTTTTGCCACTGGGCATGCCCCCCACCATGGCAGGAGGACACACTCAACATCCCATTGGCCCCAAAGGTTCTGGCCCCTTGCTTTAATGGCTGCATCGAGGAAGGAATGCAAGTTTTCAGCTGCCCAGCACCATTGCATGATAATCCACAAGAGCTGAAATTCCCTCTCCGACAGCAGTTAAAAATAAAGAGCTCTAATTCTGAAATGTTTGTCATCTTCAGCCTAATAAGAAATGCTGTCATCTTTCATATTCCTCTTCTGGCACTGGGAGGCAACTGTTTGTTCTAATTAAGACTCACTGAAACCCATATAAGAAAAAGAAAAGGGGGGGGCTCCAATAATATTTTATTAGTAGTAGGATACTCCTGTAAGCTGTGATACGAGGACAAATAGTGCAATATCCCACCCTTACATTAGGAAAGTAAAGGTGGTAGCCTTCTGGAAAAGGGAAAGCCAGGCTCCTGTTTACCCTTGTAATTGAACAGAAGTATACTTTAGCACTGGAGAGGAGGAATGCAGGCTGTTTTTTTAATTTTAAAAAATCCCCAAAGGACACATTAAATATGATAGAGAGTAGAGGGTAGGGAGACTTCTCAATGCTTTTAATGACCCTACATATGCACTGTGTAGGAAGCAATGAACAACTATTATGATACTTTAAAAACTCAAAAATAGGAGGAAAAGCAATAATGCAGCAATGTAAATATGAAGAATTGGGGAGGGGAGAAGTTTGTTGTATGTATGTAATATAATTGTCAAGAATATACCATGCTGTCATACTTCATGTAGCAAGCATAGCAGCAAAGGACATAGTAATTTGGGGAATCAATTTTATTTTAATATAACATACACCTGTTACTGGGAAAATGTGGCCCCACAAGGAGGAGAGCAATCAGGGAACAGACATACACATACAGTGGGGAAATATGCACACTTTAATTGTATTGGAATCTTTAAAAAGGCCCACAGTCATTTCAAGTTACAGTTCATTCACACCTGCAAATAATCCACAACATCAAGGCATTTATAATTCTGCACCAGATAAACCAGGCAAAACCCTCAAACATTTCTCCCAACTTACCATCGATAGAAGTTCAGTAATTTGGCTGGAACATTTCTGTATGTATCAATTACATCAACAAAAACAATATCATCATAAGTGTTGCTTTCTACTTTCAATAAGGCATCTTCCTCTTCAAGTTTATTTATATGATGCGTGAATCTTTCAGGGCGACTCTGTAGGCTTTTTAGGAGTGCCTCTCCCTCTGAAAATGAGATAGGAAAATGGTAAGCTTTCAAAAATCACATGTGTCCAACATTGAAATGATCACTCTGTAGAATTTATTCTCTATAGGTTTTCTCAGATATTTAAAATATCAGCAAAAGTGTAACTAGATTGAAAATTAACAACTTCTTAAGACAAAGACTCATACCGTATTTTTCGCATCATAGGGCGCACCGGACCATAGGGCGCACCCAGTTTTTAGGGGGGGGGGAATCAAGAAAAAAAATATTTCCCCCTCCCCAGCCCCGGAGGGGTTGCGCGCGGCTATGGCACAAGCCAAGGCAGTGAGCAGGATGGATCCCGCTCGCTGTTTTGGCTTCCCCTTTAGCCCCGTGCAGGCTCTCCTTGCCGGGAGATGCTGCGCAGGGCTTTCCTGGCTTTACTGGGAGGTGGGGGGGATTCCCTCACCTCTCGCAAAAGCCTGCAGAAGCCGCGCAACCCCTTTAAAGAGATCGCGGCTTCTCCTGGCTTTTCTGGGAGGTGGGAGAAGGGACTGATGCAGCCAGTCAGTCCCTTTTCCCTCCTGTGGAAAAGCCCGCAAAAGCGCACGGAGCTTGTGTGTGGCTCTTGGGGGCTTTTCCCGCCTGCCTCCCCCCTGCATTCGCTCCATAGGACGCACACACATTTTCCCTTGCTTTTTAGGAGGGAAAAAGTGCGTCCTATGGTGTGAAAAATATGGTAAGTGAAAATCAGTGAAAATTAGGTTGCGGCCAAGGATGGATTGGAAAAATAATTATCTTGCCTAGATTTTTAAAAAATACACTTTACTTTGCAACAGAAATATTCTATTCCTAAGTAAAGGGTATTAAAAAAAGGTCTCTGCAAGATGAGAATTCTGAGATTCTCAAGAATATTTAACATCCAATATACTTCTACTTCACCTTGCTAAATACTGAAAGAAATGATTATCTTCACATATTGGAAAATGACCCCCCAAGGGCTGTGCTGAAGCTTCTCTGTCCCATAGAACACAGGAAAAGTCCAAATCACACCTGAGAGCTACGATACAGTATGGCCAGGCGGCTTTGCGCTTTCTGCCAGAGCTATTTGTAAGCAATCAAAGAAGTTGCAACAGTTCCCATCAGATGGGGTGTTCCAGGATTGCGGTAGCTGACTACAAGGTGCACAACCCCAGAGCCATACAGTATCTCAGGCAGATCTGTCAGGGGTAGCTAACTTTAAAACACCAGAGGGAGCAAGCATCAAACAGCAGCGCCTTAATAAGAGTATATGTTTTGATGCTTACCTTGAATTGTGTAAATAAAGCCTCCAGCAATCCCTTCCACGCCTTGTGTAAATTCATGTGGCAATGACCCTTCCCCTGCCTATTGTGCACAATGATTAAACAGAAGAGAATTAGTTAAACTTTTTGCTACAGAAATATCACTTCTACAAAACTAAGATGGTTTGAAACTAGTTACTGTCAAGGTTTCCTCCAACATTTTGTCCAAAGAATTGATTAAATGTTGCAGCCCTAATCAAATGCAAGTGTTCAGAGCAGCTAGTAAACCATTACTCTGATGCCATAAAGTGGCAAAATATGGCAGAGCTGCAATGAGTTCACCTTTATTCCTAGCAGGAATACTAGATTCCCCACTGCATCTAGTATTAGAAATAGAGATTCCTAAGATAAGTCAATCTTATGGTTATCCAAAGTAGACCTGCAGTTCAAAAAACATATACTAGAAGATGGTATGATACCAATATATAAAGAAGAATTGTGATATTTTGTTATTTTATACTCAACATGCCCAACATGCTTGTTATATCAATATAGTTATAACAATTCAGAGCAATTTGTTCTAGGCTAAAATGCAACTCATAGGTCATTAGCTAATAAGGCAAATGCCCTCCATGATGGCTTTCAAGATGGAAGTAGTCATAAAGAGTTAGAAGCATTAGCATTTCCCCTCTGGTGATTCTATTTAAGATTATGAATTTATACAAATGTATAAACTAGAAATACTCAAAACTATTATAAGATGATAAAATGATCCAAATGCACCATTTTGATTTCAAGTAAAACAAAAACATATTTAAGAGGTTACTTGAGAATTTGACCTGCTTAAAATGTTTACCAAAATGCTGCCCTATTATAATCATTATATGGAGGAATAAAAGGACAGACCGTAGTGATTCTGAAGACACCTCCGCCATCATTCACCATCACTTTGTGAAGATTTCTAGAAACTAGACCTTGTAGATCCTGGCTTTCCCACACAATAGTGCCTTCAAAACTCTGTCAAAAAAGTCACCACTTCTGTTAACAAACTAGACAAATGAATTTTTGTACAGATCTTTTAGACTCTTTGCAGAACAGAATAAACTTGAAGAACTGAAGTTTAATTTTCATGTACAAATCCTTAAATACTGGATTTGGAGAGGAGTACAGAAAATGAAGGATAAGACAAATCTTTAATAATTTTCAGCCTTATATTGTTCCTCACCAGACATTTTAACACAACTCTCCAAATTGTAAAAGCTGTAGTTTAATAGTGGTGTTTTTTAAAATCCTCTTACATCTGAGATAAAAAACAGTGAAGTACTTGAGAGTTTTTTATGTATATGGCTAAGGTCACATATCTACTAATCATGAAACACCACCAAATATCAACAGGGCCAAGAATACTAGCAACGATGTGACCAAGTCTGCTGAGGATACTAAATTGTTTGAGGTCATTAAAGGAAAAAGAGATTGTGAAGTGCTCCCAAAGGACCTCTCCATATCAGCGTTTGAAACTCCCATTGTTCTAGGTGCGTTTTGAGCTCTGGGTGCAGCACTGTGCCTAAGATTTCAGATTAAAATTGCCACTTTTACTCAGAAGTAAATTCCAACCAAGTTCAAGGGTGCTTTCTCCCAAGTAAAACATGCATGCATTGGGGACCTGAAAATTTTCATTTACCGTATTTTTCGCTCTATAGGACGCACTTATCCCCCTCCAAAAATGAAGGGGAAATGTGTGTGCGTCCTATGGGGCGAATGCAGGCTTTCGCTGAAGCCTGGAGAGTGAGAGGGGTCGGTGCGCACAGACCCCTCTCGCTCTCCAGGCTTCAGGAGAGCCCCACCGCCAGCCCCACAAGCTCTCCCCGCTGCGCCTCCCCGCTGTCCCCCGACTTGGTTAGAAGGCTGGCGGGGGGGAGAAGCCTGCTCCTCCCCGTCGCCAGCCCCACAAACTCGGGGGACAGAGGGAGGCGCAGCGCGCTCTGGGTCCTGTTCTGGGGGCTGGCGTCGGGGGAAGCCCGAGCTTCCCCCGCCCCAGCCCTGTGCCTGGGGGGGGAATAATTTTTTTTCCTTTATGCCCCCCCCAAATCTAGGTGCGTCCTATGGGCCGCTGCGTCCTATAGGGCGAAAAATACGGTATTTTAAACCCAACATGTTTTGTTTAGGTTTTAGTAGCCTTGTTTAATGTACTTTTAATTTGAAATATACTAGCCAGTTAGTTATGATGGTTTAAGTCAGGCTTCCTCAAACTCGGCCCTCCAGATGTTTTGAGACTACAGTTCCCATCTTCCCTGACCACTGGTCCTGCTAGCTAGGGATCAAGGGAGTTGTAGGCCAAAAATATCTGGAGGGCTGAGTTTGAGGAAGTAGTGCATGTTAAAGTGTTATCTACCTCAGATTCTCACAGTGATGCTTAAAATCAAAACAAATTTTGGAGTGGGATCATTGAAGGACCCTTAAGTCTTAGGTTTGCGAACTGGACACTCAAGGGGGGTCTCTGCCATCAGTTGTATAGGCCTTTAATATGTGTTAATTGTGGTGCCAAAAAGAGATATTTATATGAAGGAAAGGGGGTGGGGGGAGAATCCAGGGCTTGTTTGCAGAGGAGAAGGAAAGGATGACCTTTTTCTGCCTCCCCACTTCCAACTACTCTCTGAAGACTGTAGGAGGGACCCTCTTTAAGAATATTAGGGGGCGGGGCAGGGGAAGATGGCTTTGTTTTTTGAAAGCTTCAGGTGAGGACTAGACCATGTGAAAAATGAACATAAGATTTTAGCTGAAGTTCATTCATTTTCACCTTTGTATTGTTATAAAAAAGTGTGCCTAGACATTCCATTGTTGCGCCTAGGTTTAAGGTGCCATTTTGCTCCTAGCCTCCATATCTTAGTTTCTAACACTGCTCCAAGTTGAGTGAATGGGTGGTAAAATGGCAAATGTAATTCAATAGAGACAAGTCAAAAGTGATGCGTGTTGGAGCAAAATATCTCAATTTCACATATATGCTCATGGGGGTCTGAACTAGAGGTGACGTACCAGGAACAAGAACTTGGGGTCTTAGTAGATAGCTCAATGAAGATGTCGACCCAGTGCGCCGAAGCCATGAAAAAGGCAAAATCCATGCTAGAGATCATTAGGAAAGGAATCAAAAATAAAGCTGCCTTTATCCTAATGCCATTATACAAATCTATGGCGTAACTGTTGTTGGAATACTGTGTATGTTTCTGGTCGCCTCGCCTCAAAAATGCCTAATCCTTTCCCTGGGCACTCATTTTCCTAGTTAGTGCCTACCCAGTAGTTCTAAGGAATTTTTCCTATCCCAACATTCCCCATTATCTTCAGATGCTTAAGGAAGGGATTTCATACGTGCCAAGATATTTTCTTTCCACCCTAAAAGAGTGAGCACGTTGAAGCGTATATTAAAACATGGTTCTACTTCATTTCACATAAACATTTTCCTGTTTAATAGTTGCTTATGAAAGAGGCAGTTCAATAGCTTCTGGCATATTTCTGATGGCCCTTCTCATTTTTAGTGACTCACATTTAGCTCATACCCCAATTTATTCACTGGCTATGAAAGAAGAACAGAAACTTATTCTCCTTTACATGCAAACCCCCAAAGACTTCTCCCAAGCCTATCTGGGGAGACTACAGAGGTAAGTATCCATCTCTCATCTTCCATTGCAGTATGTTATCATGGTTATGTTTGTGACTGGTTGGAATGGCATGTTACAACAGTAGTGATTTTCCACAAGCACTGCTATTTCCCGATCCTGTTTTCCCCTTTACTGGGACACCTTCAAAGCACTGTGTGTGTATCTGCATCCAGTTTACAAAGGCATCTTGTCTCCTTAAGGAATTAATGTATGTTGGTTTGCTTTATGAAGGGGGCAGTGTAGACATTCAAACAACATTTTTACAGTGAAAAATAAATGGCTGGGGCTTAAAATTGGTAGAGGTCTCTATGAGAAAGTAGCAAAATCAATTATCAACCTTGCTAACTTTCGTTGAAGGCTGCCTACTACAGTTGAATAATCAAAGAATAAAACACAGACTATATGCAATTTCCCCCAGTGCACTAAGGTCAATTCTGCTGCTTTTATTAATGTGTTAAACCACAGTGAACATTAACCACAGTAAAAACTGAGGCACTATGGTGTCTGTTGTTGTTCAGATTGCTGCTCATTAATAAATGCATAAAAGACATAACTGTGTCAGGGATGAATAAACGCTGCTTTAAACTAGGGTCTTACAAACTCTTCTTCTTTCGCTATTTATTTTGGCTGTGGGCTCCCTGAGCCTAAAGCTTTAAGAAACAGAATAATTGTGGCCTGAAAAACAAGTGTTCAGAGATTTCCTTCCTACAATAATACAGATGCAGTTTAACCCCAAAGAGGGATAGACTTTATCCAGTTTTATCAATACATTTATTTTGCAATTCCTCTTCCAGTGTATTGTCCCTGGCACACAATAAAAAAGTCTGCTAAAATTAAATTGAATAAAGATAAGACACATCAAAATATCAATAATTTAAAGCCAACAACACTTTTTACCGCATAATCATCTAAATAAAAATGTTTTATGTCATCTAAATATCTGGAATGATGGGCTGAGATAGTTCTCACACAAAGCTAATTCCAGGGGAGTAACAAAAAAGCTGCTGCTTAAGCAAGACCTTCATATTCTGCTCTTAGAAGATGAGGAGGGATGGTCAAACTATGTTGACATTTAGTTATAAGTAACATCTTTCATTTTAACAGGAAAAGTATTGTTTTGTTTGTTTATTGTGCATTTCTTGAATTTCTATCCCACCCTTCCTCCCAAAGAAGCTCAAACCAGCAATAAAACAACGAACAAATGTTAAAAACATGCTCTCCACAGAAGCATTAAATCTATGGTTTACTAAAATCAGGACATATGTATTTTAGAAGAAGTTTGTATTACAGACAACTCTCAATTCATGAGGGGGTTATTTTCCGGGCCTCCCTGTTTGTAACCAAAACAACATACCGTATATTGGGAGCACCCTGGAGGGGCAGCAGGGCTTGCACAGCTGACACACAGGGAAGCTTCTTCCCTGCACATCAGCTGAGCTGATCAAGAAGGCCCACTGTCCCTCTGATGCTGATGACACCTGTTCTGTTGATGGACGGCCGCCTTGACTCGGCCCCGGACACACTGACCAGACGCTTGGAAGCTGTGGCTGGATGGCTGCGTGGGAGCCGGTTGAATCCTTCGAAGACAGAGGTCCTCTGGCTGGGTTGGGACTATACGGAGTTGGGGGGGGGCAACTCCCATCTCTTGCAGGGGCTCAATTAATGCCAGCACCTTCTGTCAAGAGCTTGGGTGTAACCTTCGATGCCTCCCTTTCCATGAAGGTGCAGGTTGCAGCCACAGCAAAGGTGGAATTTTTCCATAGCCGTATTATGCAGTTGGTCCTTTACCTTTCTCGCCCTGATCTGGCCACAGTGATCCATGCAACTGTCACCTCCAGGCTTGATTATTGTAACTCGCTCTACGCGGGGCTGCCCTTGAAGCTGACCCAGAAACTCTAGCGGGTGCAGAATGCCGCGGTGAGGCTCCTTACGGGGTCCTTGCCGCGGGATCACATTCATCCATTGCTTTACCAACTGCATTGGCTCCCGGTGGAGTACAGGGTCAGGTTTAAGGTACTGGTTTTCGTTTTGACCTCTAAAGACCTATGGGTCCTAGGACCCACGTACCTATGGGACCACCTCTCCTGGTATGCCCCACGGAGGACCTTAAGGTCCACAAAGAACAACACTTTGGAGGTCCCGAGCCTCAAGGAGGTTAGATTGGCCTTTTCAGCACTGGCCCCCACATGGTGGAACACTCTGTCACAAGAGACTATGGCTGTGCGGGACCTGACAGCTTTCCACAGGGCCTGCAAGACAGAGCTGTTCCGCCTGGCGTTTGGTTTGGACTCGATCTGACCCCTATGTTTCCCTCCCCTTATGGTCTTGATTTATCAGCGACTTCAAAATGAGACTGCATTTTAAATTGCATTGTAACCTGTATTTTAAATTGGTTTGTTCCCCCCCCCCCGCCCATTGTTTTTACTGTGAATTTTATTGGTGTTAGCCGCCCTTAGCCTGGCTCTGGCCAGGGAGGGCGGGGTATAAATAATAATAATAAATTATTTTTATTATTATTTTTATTATTATTATTATTATTTATTAGGTACGTGAGCCGGAGGGCAGCAGGGCTTGCTCAGCTGATGTGTGGGGAAGCAGCTGCTGCTGCGCTACCCCGCATGTCAACTGTTAGGTGGAGAGGCCTCAACAAAGCCACACTGGGCCTTCAGTTCAGGAGACCCTCCTTTTTGGGCTCCAAGGAGGATCTCCTCACAAGCCAGAAGGACTCTCCAGGGTGCTACCCATTTCTGGCACCACACATGTGCACAGTTGCATGCAAATAGAGCTTGCGTAAATGGGGAGTTGCCTGTACTGAAATGATCTGTCCATTTTAAAACTCATTACATTTTTCTTCCATACTTCTCTCTTCACTGGAGGAACATGCAGGGGGGATAATATTTTTTTTATCTCATTCATTTTCAGAATAGGCCCATGATGGAAATATCTAATATTCCAACTTTATAGGTGGAAAACAGGATAAGAAATAGAACTGTGCTCTAGGGCTTTCTCTATACTTTAATCTACATTACGATTTGGACCCAAGTCTAAATGTAGAGCTCCATTCTCTGGCCAGATCTATTCATTCTCTTCCATATTAAGTATGAAACAGAATTTCAGAATGCAATATAATGCCTCTTCTTTTTTACCCCATGAATAAAAGCTGCCTAAAATCCACTGCCTCTACTCACCAGGGCTTGGAGACAATTCTCTTGAAAGCTTATAATGCCGCCTCCCCATTAAGTTATTGGGATGTTAAGAAGATTTCAGTTACTTACAGATGAGCAGAATGAGAGTGCACTGAGCTACAAAAAGATATGGTTGCTAGCACCGAGTATGTGTGACATTTCACAGTCTCAAATCCATTAATAATTTAATAATGATAGAAAAAAAGCTGAAGAATTCTTAATAGATGAAAAAACCAAATGCCATTGTAAAGAACCAGTTTAGATACACTCCACACATACCTCAGGCAGAATGAACTGTTCTACAGGTTTATACCAGAGTCTGTTTACTTGCACTCCACAGCTAGCTGGACTAAAGCGAGCACTGAAGAGAGCCTCCTATGAAAACAAAAAGCAACACATTTGTAAGCCATTAATGCCATTAAGGTTAATTAATATTCACACACTCTTGACCAGTTTACAACATCCAAATATAGTTGTAGATACAGGAGAACATGCAATCACCTGCATGCTTTTTACATGGCCTGCCCACTCTTGAAAAAATCCTATAAAAAGGTAAGCTTCAAAGACTCTGCACCTAAAATGCAAATATGCATTGCTAAATAATGGAGGGGGGAAGCTTTCAAGTCCCTATATCAAGACTTCAGGGCCTTAGCCAACATCTTGCACACTTAAAGGTACCCATGTCAGAATAAAAATACCACAGATTACATTTGAAATGTCCACTGAGTCCAAAACGATATATTCCAGGTTCACATCAATAATATGCAAACCTCCATTTCAGGATATCTCAAATGCAGTCCTAATAGCAGAACAACCCACATTTGCATTCAAGAGTTACCTATTTTAATCCAATCTCATGCAAGCCTTTATAGAATTTTTGGAACTGGCTGTGGGATGAGTAAGGAAAATGGTTGTGCTTGTTTACTACCCATATATTAGTAGAAATTATCAGAAACCACTCCTGGGTGATCTGGCACATGCAAGACTCTTCTCTCATGTGAGGGCCAAAGCAAACTATCCCCTCTGTGTTTCCATGCTGATCATAGATGGGGCTTTCCTCCTTCTGTTGCTAACATAAAAACCAAGCAGTCTGGCGCAGGAGGAATACAGTGACCTGTTCCTCCTCCACAAGCCTGCTTGGAATTTCTGGTCTCCTGTGGCTACCAGGCGAGTTGTTAAATACAAGGGTTTTTGCATACTTCCTTTATTATTATTACTATTACTGCATAAGTAAAGCCAAATGTAATCCCACATATAAAACATTCCCCAGCTGCTAATTTAAACTCTAAAGTACATTGCAAAGCAGTCCTCTGACTCAAGTTGCAAAGCAGTCCTGTGACTTAAGCCTGGACTTTCAGCTACCCTACGTAAATAGCTACTTTAAAATCCACTGAAAGAATTCTACCTAACATAACTCTCATTTACCATGAGCCTCTGGAAAGCCATTATACAGAATATGCCTTCCATCACAATGGATTCAAAGCATCAGGGCTGGCAGGAAGCAAATTAATATCTAGTTTTAACACCCACTGCAAGGTAGAATCATTTATTTATTTAATATCCCATCTTTTAGGCTGCAACCCCTTTCATTGCATGTTATAAAATCACCAAAAACACAACCCATGCAAGCAAGCAAAGGAGCCAAGCCATATCCTACGGCAGAAAGAGACTCACCTAGATTCATCAGCCATTAAAATCTAGACAAACATTAATTTAATGGCCTAATGAAGAAAAATGAATCTGTGTTCCCTTTCCCTGTGCCTAATTATTTTAGAGCAGACAGAAGACTATCAGAAATCATGGTTAAACCATCTTCTTCAATGTTTTGGCACAAAACATAGAGAGGGCATAGAAATATCTGACTTTTTGCCCTTTTCTATTTATTTCTCCTCCCATATACCCACCCCATGAATCCTATTCTTACTGACTCACAAATGTCAAAGAACTTTCAAGGAACAAATTTGACAATTGCAGGTTACGGCACTACAGTCCACGCTATGCGTTCGTTTATCATAGATACCTGTTATCTCTCCTTTATTCTACACTTAGAAAAAGGCTGTGGATTTTGTTCATTCTATTAGGACAACTACAGCAGCATACCTCCTGCTCTGCCTGGTATAGTTTCACTGTTATGTTTCTCTGGAATCCTACACCCTCAGCATCGTAGAACACCCCAAGACTGGTGATGACAATCGGGTAAAGGACTTTGAAATGCACACTGACAACTCTATCTTCCAAGAGCGCTGAAGTGTCATCCTCTGGCAAATTGAATGCTTCAACTTCTTGATTCAGAACTATTGGAAGGGGGGCGGGGAGACAACAAAGAGCACAACAGAAGTCAATTTTTAAAAGGTGATTGAGAGAAAGCAACTCTTGAACACTCTTATTACAGAAGACATGGATTTTTTCCATATTAATTACAATCACTGGCAAGTGCAGTGGATAATGTACTTAGAAACAGCTTACACTTTAATCCCTAAGACATTTACTTAAAAGTATATCCAACTGCACCAATTAAGAAGAGTGGGTGAGCTCGATGTAAAACAAAGAAGGGGTCCTTGCTAAAACTGTCATAACAGCCTAAAAATGTTTGGCTTAGTATGAGAGATTTTTAGTGTAAAAATAGCTCAATGGGCAATAAACTGCAGCAGTTGCAATGTTCACAGAGCTAATTAGCTATAAGCATATGCTACATAATAAGCAATCCATCCAAAAGATTTCTAAAAGTTTTTACCTGGGTTAGTGATGTTCAGAAGTCTGCATGAATAAGGATCTTCTCTATCTTCTACTGGCACATCACATCCATGTGCACCAATTATAAACTTCACAAGGACACTAAAATATTGTCATTAACAACATTTACTGATTTCTGTTCCATAATTTCCAGAATTATGAAGACTGCTTCACACAAGAAAACCACAACACACTTCACCCACTTTTGCCCTTTACAAAAGATTAAGGCTGCAACCCTAAAGCGGGGGCAGGTGGGGACAGGAGAACTGAAGACAGATTAACTGCTCCGTCCACCACACTTTGCCATCCTTTTCCAGGATTTCTTTCTCTTTTTTTTAAGCTCCTGGGCTGTAGTGTTTTCTGTGGTTTGGGGGCATGCAGTGGAGGTGGGGAGATATTTGATCCTTTGGATCCAAGCCATCTGCTAGTCGGGCTAATCTTCCCTGTCACATCCCCAATTCAGCCCTAGTGATGTTCTTGTTTTATACCCCACCTTTCTCCCTGACAGAGACTCAAGGCAGCTTACAGATAAACTAAGAACAGCTAAAACATAGAAAAAGAAACAATAACTAAAAAAACCAATTAACGGCAGCTGAAGTTTCTGCAATAGTGAAGGGCATCTAATATGGACATCCAACATCAGAGCTCCCTCTCCAAGGTTGGAGCAATCCTCCTACTCTTGGAGGGAGAGCTCTGGTGTTTCAGATGCTTCATGGGATGCTGTCCAAGAAACCACAGAGTTTCAGGGCTCAAGGTATAAAAAGGAAGGACTTCCCTGTGCAACTTGTTTACTTGTTTCTGTGGAGTAGCAATTCTAAGTTCCCTCAGTTATTTGAAAGAGAAAACTAGACACTGGTATTCATTCCAGATTAATTAAAATGAGATTAATGATCTTCTAAATGTTTTCCCCCATAAAGGATTAATAATCACAGAAATGATTTATTAAAAGCCAGTAAAATTAGCACGGGAACCTATTACATCCACTTGCCTTGTTTTGCTGCCATCTTTTTTCAACAGTAATGCATATCTTAATATGTAATGAAGTGTCATCCTGGAATATTCCAGCTACATAGGACAGTATTATGACATGTTCATTAAAAGAATAAAGAAAAGCACTGTCAAGCAGATGAGCATTTTAATTTAGGTCAGGACACTTCTTGTTGGAGAATTCAGAAGCAGGGAACAGAACTCAATATAACTTAGCGGGGGGGGGTTACGTTATTTAAAGAATATTTTGAACTAATTCCACTTATTGCAGATTCTCATAAATGAGCTTGGATACTACGATTTGAGGTTCATAAGAGAAGGAACAAGCAACCTTTGGAATTACCGTTGGCTCAGTCCTGGATGCTGCTTCAAATGCCTGAACCAAGTGTTCCTTATAGCATTCCGCAACCCATCATTATGTCGTGCAGACAGTACCCCTACGATGACATCATAATGTTTCGGTTTCCAATGAGGAAAGAAAGCCAGTAGACCTAGGAAGTAGAAATTAACAATGCCTTACTAGAAAAGCAAGTGCACAAGTAGGGTGGCGAGAGCTATAGGCAGATCATTCAAATGGTGGTGAAATGGTAAACAATACTGGGGCAGTAACTTTAAAAAAATCACTCAACACTGGAAGCTGATTTCACTTTGCATTAACTTGCTAACACTTCAACCAGAATTAACTAAATACAAGCTAAACAAGCCAAACCTGTGTAACAAGAGAAGAAATCTTAAAAAATAATAAGCTATTTCTTAGATTAATAGGTAAAGAACACAAGGGATTTAGAAATGCAATTTCACGTATTTGAGGAGTTTGGGGCTTTGGCACAAGAGCACTTTACACACTAAAATGAATGAATTGCATATAATTTGAAGCCTGAAATACTGAGAAGATAAAGTTATTATTGTATAGTTAACATTAATATAAACCAAGGCAGAATTTGGGGAGTCTCAGTGGTTTGTATACAATGCAGTCCCATAAGCTCAAGGATTCCCACTAGAACTTACCCCTCCCATCCCCAACGTGTGTCCCACACCCTCCCAAATCTGCTTCAGAGGGTTGGGGAAAACTCACAAAATAGATTTAGGGAGCACGTGGGCGGTGGGGAAAAAGAAAAGTTTATTAAGCAAGCAAGAATCCTTGTGCTAAAGGGACTCTTACTTAGCACTGCATTGGAAATGAGCCAATACTCTGAAATTTTCATGAGGGAGAAAAGGAAGGTTATATGTTTTAAACTGCATTCTCAGCTAATCATATGCATATCCAACTGCTATGGCGAAAAGCTTCACACAAAAACTTACAATAAACAAATTTTCCTTTACACTAAGGCATTTTCCTAAACTGAGACTAAATAAACATGGCATAAAAAGGTAAAGGTACCCCTGCCCGTACGGGCCAGTCTTGACAGACTCTAGGGTTGTGCGCCCATCTCATTTAAGAGGCCGGGGGCCAGCGCTGTCCGAAGACATTTCCGGGTCACGTGGCCAGCGTGACAAAGCTGCATCTGGCGAGCCAGCGCAGCACACGGAAACGCCGTTTACCTTCCCGCCAGTAAGCGGTCCCTATTTATCTACTTGCACCTGGGGGTGCTTTCGAACTGCTAGGTTGGCAGGCGCTGGGACCGAGCAATGGGAGCGCACCCCACCGCGGGGATTCGAACCGCCGACCTTTCGATTGGCAAGCCCTAGGCGCTGAGGCTTTTACCCACAGCGCCACCCACGTCCCTAAACATGGCATAATCCTAGTCAATTGAGAAAGATAGGCTTGTATCTTCAGTTATTCTATAATGGAAATGCTCAGATGTATATTTAGCACTGGCAAGAGATCAGTTTCATCTCACTCTGCTTATTTTGAGATTGCATCCAAAAAAATTAAGATGACAAATCAACTAAGTGCCTGGACAGTTTAGAACAACTACTGCACGTAAGGCAGGAAGAGGTAATTTCAGAAGTCTAATTTTAGCATATCCCAAAAGATTTTCAAATTTACATTGCATGTTCAAGATTTAACAGCATGGTGACATTTCATAATATCACTGTCTTCTATGAGTATCTTATATAATATATTGTTGCTGGCACATAGTTTCAAGAATGGAATCCTGTAGTCACAAGATTATAAATTTGAATTACAAAAGGTTTACACCAGGCATAGGCAAACTTGGCCCTCCAGATGTTTTGCGACTACAATTCCCATCACCCCTGGTCCTGTTAGCTAGGGATGATGGGAGTTGTAGTCCCAAAACATCTGGAGGGCCAAGTCTGTCTATGCCTGGTTTACACAATAGGTTCAATCTAAGGAGGAAATGCTCTCTCCGGTATATTACCATTCACACTAAAAAATAGCTGAGCACAAGTAGCACACGTATGGAGAGAGTGAGTTGGTGTTATACAGCCAAGGAAAATTCCCCTCCGAGTCGATTAAGTGAGTGGAAGTCACTTTACACTCCTGATCTCATTGCCATGAGTCCACAATTCCACCCACATCTCCCTGTAAGAACAGGGGAGTGGGCACCCTCTCCAATTTCACACTCCAATTTTAATCTAGTCCTGGTCACCAGCTATGCAGTGGTACAATAAAGGTTGTGACTGTTTAAATATATCTGTCCACCTCTTGCTGCCCCAGAACTCCAGGCTTCCTCTCCAACATGGAACTGAGGAAGAGACAGGAATTATTCCTGCAGTTTCACTCTGTAGTCTACACAGAAAGATTCTGCAACTGAGGGGAAGATCCCCGGCCCCACATTCCAAAGTGGGGCTTGGCCTGGGCTGAGCTGCTCAGCAGTCCAGCACCATTCAAATCCCCTGTTCCCCTGCCCCAAAGGCTGTCCAATTTAGAGCTGAAGAGGAAACAGAAGATTATTGTGGTCCACCTCTGTGGGGGAACAGGGACAAAGAGAGGGAAAAGATCTTAGCTATCAATACCAGTCAAAATCTGTGAATCATGTTTTCACTGTTGCTGGTTTTAGATGTGTTATACACTTGACCTAAGCTTTTGAAGAAAGTGATGCCAACCTAAAAAAAAGTCTGCAAATGTGTTTTTGTACTCTTGTCTCCAGGCTGTTTTTTGATCTGTGGAAAGCATGCTTGTTATTATTTCTGTGGAGAGATTATGCAAGTATTTGAAAGCCAGTATTAGGACAAAGTAAAACCCATCAAATATATCCTGATAATGTCTCAAGGAATCTAAGGAGTTTCTGGTCGGAGAGACTTTTCTTTGTACATTTTACTAGAATTTCTTGGAATATCTGGGTTGCTTCTGAAGCTATAACGTGTATTTGTCCCTACTAGCTATATGAAGCTGTTGGAAGTGGTTATCAGGGGATTTGGAACACTGTGTCATCAGTATGCTGATAATACCCAGCTCTACTTCTCAGTTACATCTAAGTCAGGTGTGGCTGTGGAAGTCCTGGACCAGTTCCTGGAAGCAGTGGTGGGCTGGATGAGGTCCAGTCTGAACCTGGCAAGATTAAAATTCTCTGGGTGTGTGGTTCTTGGGTGTAGAAATTAGGCAGATTGCACTTCTCCTAAAGGAACAAGTACCTGGTCTTGGGGTTCTCATTGAGCTACTTTCGTCACTGGAGGCTCAAGCAGCCTAGGAGTACCTTTCACCAGCTAAGACCATTCATGGACAGGAATAGCCGTGCCACATTGGTCCATACATCAGCAACTCCAAAATTGGATTACTGCAGTGTACTTTGTGGAGGGCTTCCCTTGAAGCTGGTCTAGGAGCTTTAGCTGGTACAGACCTCATAGTCCTTAGATTCAGGGACTATTCTACAACTCCAACTCTACAAGTTGGAAAGAAAAACTAGTATGAATCTAACTTTGTCCTAATTCAATTCAAACACAGTTTTGCTCCCCAAAACACTAACTGATTTGTTCCTAAACCTCACAAAAAGCCACCTTCAGTCATCACATGGTCTCTATGGAGCAGTAAGCCTCCATGCACAAAGCTCAATGCACTTTTTGTGTCATAGCCCTAATTCCACATCCAGAGTAAAACACAGGTAACTAATCAGAGGTACAGCAACAGGATGAAAACACTGGTGTTTGCCACTACAGGTAACTAAATAGAAACACAAGGGAATTAGAATCCGATTCGTAAAGCTACTTAAGGAGCAGGTCTAACACATAATTAGCTCCCAGTTCTAGTTACTTTTGAAAGCTAAACTGCTACAAAGCAGGATCCCACAGAAGTGGGATCACCTGGACCCCAGAGAAGGATAAAGAATGGAGGCAGACTACAAGTCTGAATGAAACCACTTTGATGGTTTTATGCTGTGAAGCAGTCTATAAATTTATTAATGAGAATAGGGGAAAGCAGGAACTTGAGATCCCAACTATACACCCAACAGTTCACTGCACTGTGCAGGAGAGGGCCTCCTGCAGACACCATCTTACAAGGAGGTTCATTCCACATGATACAGGAAACTGACTTTTAGTTTGGTGGCACCTACCCTTTGAAACTCCTTTCCATTAAACATTAGGCAGGTGCTAGAGACAACAGGTGCTATCTCATTGTCTTTTCAGTGCCTATTAAAGATCTTCATTTTTCAACATGGCATTTCAGTGGAAATCTGTTACATATGAAATTGTTTCTAACTATGGAATTGTTGTTAAATCTATGTCTTGCCCTGTCCTTTCTCTCAAAGGAGCCCCGAGCAACAAACACACTCGCAAAACACCTCATAACAATCTGAACATGGATATAGGCTGAGAAGTATCTCTACTAAAAAGGCTTGTTGAAGGAGCTGAGGATGGTTTTACTGTAATATTGCTCTGGGATATTTTATGGGAAAATACATAAATGGAATAAAAAAACTAACTAATTACCGTATTTTTCGCCCCATAGGACGCACCGGCCCATAGGACGCATCAAGTTTTTTTGGGGGGAAATAAAGAAAAAAAAATTATTTCCCCCCCAGGCGCTTGTGGGGCCGGCAGCGGGGAGAAGCACTCTTCTCCCCGCAGCCCGCCTTCAGACCAGGTCCGGGGACAGCGGGGAGACGCGCTGCACCTCCCAGCTGTCCCCGGAGCTTGCGGGGCAGGCAGCGGGGAGAAGCGCTCTTCTCCCCGCCGCCCGCCTTCAGATCAGGTCTGGGGACAGCGGGAAGATGCGCTGCGCCTCCCCACTGTCCCTGGAGCTTGCGGGGCTGGCGGCGGGGTCTCCCCGCCGTCAGCTTCCAAACCACTTCGGGAGACAGCGGGATGGCGGCGTTCCGCCTCCCTCTGCCCCCGACCTTGTGGGGCTGGCGCTGGGGCTCTCCTGAAGCCTGGAGAGCGAGAGGGGTCGGTGCGCACCGACCCCTCTCGCTCTCCAGGCTTCAGCGAAAGCCTGCATTCGCCCCATAGGACGCACACACATTTCCCCTTCATTTTTGGAGGGGGGAAAGTGCGTCCTATAGGGCGAAAAATACGGTAACTAGTTGGACAAAGAGCACAGTGGTGTGTCTTGAACCCTCTTGGTAGGAGCAAACAGGTAAACTTTGTAAACAGTGACTAAGCAAAAGGTCTGAGAGTAGGTGCAACCACCTAGGTGGTTGTCACCAATGGAAGCTAAGGAGGTGAAAAAACTTAATATGGAATCTAAATGGCCAAAATATTGGGAAATTTTAGAGCAAGATGGTGAAAAAGTTAAATTACAGAGTTATGAGAAATTGAAGTTTAAAGTACGAGATTGGCTTCATTACCATCAAATAATGGAGGTGTTTAAACAAGACAGGAAAATTGGCTTCCAGATGGAGAGGTCAAAGCTAGAAACTGAATTGTTAGAACCCAATACTAAGAATCTGTCAAGAATGTATAACCTGCTGTTGAAGTGGAACACACAAGATGAAACAGTTAAATCAGCAATGATTAAGTGGGTACAAGACTTTGGTCATGATATTATGTTTGCTGACTGGGAACAGTTATGGACCACCGGTATAAAGTTCACGGCATGTAATGCCTTAAGAGAGAATATTATGAAAATGATTTACAGGTGGTACATGACCCCAGTCAAGCTTGCAAAAATTTATCAATTGCCCAATAATAAATGCTGGAAATGTAATGAGACTGAAGGAACTTTCTACCACCTTTGGTGGACATGCCCGAGGATCAAGGCCTTCTGGGAAATGATCTATAATGAAATTAAGAAGGTCCTTAAATGTACCTTTCATAAGAAACCAGAAGCTTTTCTCCTGGGCATGGTCGGCCAATTGGTGTCAAGGAAGGATAGGACGTTTTTTATGTATGCTACTACAGCAGCAAGGATTCTCTTAGCAAAGTATTGGAAGACACAAGAACTACCCACGCTGGAAGAATGGCAGACGAAGGTGATCGACTATATGGGACTGGCGGAGATGACTGGCAGAATCCGTGACCAAGGAAAAGAGACGGTGGAAGAAGATTGGAAGAAATTTAAAGTATATCTTAAGAACTGTTGTAAAATTAATGAGTGCTAAAACGTCAAGGGAAAGGAAAAAAATAGAATTACAGCTGTAATTGATTAAGTAAGAGAAGAAGGGAAAAAGAAAATGAGTAATCAGTTAATTGATGCGAGGGGTTGCTGAAGAAATTTTAAAACAGGGATGCAGAAAAGGGGAGGCATGGGGAGGTCAGGGAAGTAGGGTTTATGAAAAAGAGGTTTTGAAATTATACGTGTTTATATGTATTGTTTGTTGTTGTATTGTTTATTGTTTTGTCTTTAATCTATGTTGAAAAACCAATAAAAAATTTATTTAAAAAAAAGAGAGAGTAGGTGCAACCAAAGTTTAAGTTTCACCACACTCTGAGAGGAACATTTGCAATTTTGCCCCTATCCTAATTTCAAAAGGGATTTGATGATCTTGAAGGCAGCATGTTTGTCATAAATACTCAAGAGAACAAAGGGACTGGGGTCTAATTTATTGGGCCATTTTTTTTCTTCAGCATGTGATAGACAAATAGATACTAGTTCACTGATTGATGACAAATAATTTACTCCAAAGTACTCCAGCATTTGGTTTCATTAAATCTGTTTCGTATGATCAGCCCAGTAGATGGCCAAATCATACAGTATTCTGTCAATAATTTAGTTTGCAATTCTTTTCCCCCAGCAGTTTTCTTCCCGAGTTTCTTAGTGCCGACTTATTCCTTTATTTAAATAGTTTTGCTAGCATATATTCTTTTCCAATCTGTCTTGAACCAACAGAGATCCCCAAAATTAAATTTTAGGAAAGGAATGCCTGGAGGCCTCCTCCTCATCTTTCTTTTGTTGTTTCAATAATAATGGATGACTGGATAGAAGTCCCCACGCTTCAGGTCAATAGCCAGGTTGAGGGTTCCACCTGCCCACAACACATACACAGGATTTCCTCTGCTACACTCAGGCATGTTAGTTCTTAGCTCACCTTTCACTCCCCCCCCCTAGTCTAGATGAGCATTACAAGGCAAAAATGACTTTCTTGAGAGGAAGGCTCATTGAACTCATTCACTTCTCAATAAGAATACAGTACTGTACATAAGGCGAGACTCTAAGCCACCTTTTCCATATCTTATTTATGCTTTATGAGGAATCTTTTCAATTCTCCTACAAACCAAGTGGGGACGAAGCCAACCTTCTTTCTCATTTGCTCTCAGCTTTTTCTGTGTGCCTTATTTTTACAGCACTTCCCTCCTACCTTTGTCCCAACTTCTCTCCAAGTGCCTGGGTGAATTATGCCCTTCATTCCCTCAACCTCCCCCCCCTTCCGCCCCGCTTCTGGTTGACGCCTGCCTCCCTCATGCCTCCTGATCCACAATCCCCTGCTCTATACTTCTCCCGCGGGTGCCCCATCTCCTAAACTCCCTCCGAAACGGAGGAGGCAAACCTCCCTCCCCACCCTCTGAGGGGGCGGTTTTTGCACCCCACCGTCTCCCGGTTGCTTTCGCCAGTAACCTTGCTTGCCTTGGGGGGGGGGAGGCAGCACGTCGCCATCCCCTGCTCTACCAATACCTAAGTTTTTTTTGGGGGGGGAGGCGGGCACTACATTCGCCCGTTGCCCTTCTCCCTCGCCCTCAGGAGGCAGCAGCCCACTACGGGCGACGCCAGGTGAGCCCTCCTGAGAGCGGGGAAAGGGGGCTCAACAGGCGCTTGGCAGGGCTCCGTCAAGGGCAGCCTGCCCAGAGCGCCCCCCCCAAAGCTGGAGCCGGGCCTGCCTCTACCCGTTGCCCTTCCCTTCCCTCCACATAGGGCGAGAAAGGCGCCCACCCACCTTCACCCCCCATGCAGGCTTCTCTCCTACCTCACCTCACGCGCGGGGGAAGAGCAGGGTGAAATGCCGCCCACCCCTCCCTCCTTCCCTCAGGGAGGCGGGCAAGAGGGCGCCGCTCCCCGCTTGCTTCCTCCCTCCCTCCCCGACCTACCTGCCGGGTGCTGCTTCCCGGGGCCACTCGCCGGGCAGCTGAGGAGGAGCAGCCAGAGGTGCAGCACGACCCCGACCACACACGGGCACAGAAGGACCAACCAATTTCGCATTGGCCGCCGCCGGCCCCTTCGCAGCCGTTACGGACCTCTTAGCGGGGACCAGGAAGAAGGGGCTGGGGAAGGGGGGTGACCCGGAGGGACAAGAGGAGGCGCCTCGCTTCCTCCCCCGGCTCTCTCGGAGGCAGCGCGACCGGCGGCGGGGCTCTGCCGGCCGCCTCTTCTCCAGCCCCTCCCGCGGCCGGCCCAGAGCCAGAGCCCCGCCCCCAACGGGGAAACGCGTGTGCGCACAGCCGGAGCTCCTGACTACAATCCCCACAATGCCTGGCGGCGAAGAGGTGGTCGCCGGGGGCCTCCAGCTCCTCCCCTGGGGATGCCCCGCAGCAAGCTGCGGATCGGCAGAAATAAATGAGAGCCAGCGCCACGCGAAATAATAACGATGAATTTCATTTCAATGGCTCTCTCTCTTTTCTGCTTTATATAACCTTTATATAGCCTTTCACATGGGAGGCTTTCTGTCATGTCAGCTTGAGCTCCCCTCTCTGGACTGAAGCGCTTTACCAGCGTTTGAACGTGGGAAGCAAGCATTTTTTTAAACGCCCACGCCTGCGAAGAACTTTCGGGTGGGAGGCGGAAACTAGACCTGGCTCTTCCCCAGCAGCAGCGTCCTGCGCCTCTCAAGGGAAACAAGCAGATGCCCCAGGACCGGCTGTTTCCTGAGATGCAGGGTTAAATCTCGCTACATTTGCAGGCGGGCGGAGTGGTACGTGGGAATGTACGTTCCTTCTTCTGCTGGCAGCACGCCTGCTAGCGGTACAGGGTTATTCACTGATAACTCTGAAGAATCCACCAGAATCACAAACGGGACTTAATAAAATTACCTGTGGGGGACTCTTCGAGATTGTGTTTATACACTGAAAATCGATAAAACTTCCCATAATGAGATTTACACCTTAATTTTCTAGAGTGCACTTGCATTATTCACTGCAATTTATTCCACATTATCCACATGCTGCAAATTTTATAATTCATTTATATATGTACCCGGACTTCTTATCCATCAGGTTTCTTTATAGTTTTCAGGTAACTTATAAAATACTTTTTAGCTGTCATAGGTAATGAGGTGCATCTTCAGCAAACATTGATAATGTTACAGGTGTGTCTCTGTAAGGAGGTAGTTCCACGATTTTGGGGCTACCACAGAAAAAGCTCTTGCCTGGGCTGCAAATGGGGGGGGGGAGACTGAAAGCTGATTTCTCTAGGCATCTGCATTTTGAAACAAGCTACCATTCCCAGCAGTGACACAAGTCCTATGTGTCCTAGTTTACCATTTCTGGTTTCCTCTGAACCATAGGTCTCTTTTCAGCTGAGATTTGTATAGGAAAATTACAGTAAGAGTAATGTACTGCAAATAGTTAAGGTAAATGATAATTCTTTCTTTAGGTGCTATTTCATTGCATGCTTCAGTCCGTTGCCAGTCTCTCACAATATAATTGCATGATCAAGCCTTCCCTTTCACTTACAACATGCATAATTTTATTTATTCATCCAGCAGGTGGCAGCAATAAATCAACCTACAAACCATTTGGAAAGGAGGTTGAAGGAGGAATAGAACAGCTGTAAAAAAGTTATTTCATAAGTATTTCCCCCAAAAAACGATCACCAAATGGGAAAGAGCATGTAATGCATACAGTGTAACATACACTGCACACTTTTGCTAGAAACAAAATATTGTACAGTAGTTATTTTGCTGTACCTACAGAGACCAGGCAGCTATAATCACAGGAGTAGAGAGAACAACGTTGGCAGCAAGGTCAGAGGGAAATGGCATGCAAGAAATGCAGGCTGTTATGATGAAAGTAATCTTAAATGTAGAATAAGTGCTGTTTGCACAACAGTGTTAACAACACAAACACCTTCTAGTCAAAATAAAACCTGCTGTCTCAATTCAGAACTGATGGTAGAATTTGACTTTTTGATGAGCTGTCATTCAGCAGCATCACCCTTCAAAGTTCCTTTGTTTAAGGATGGCTTCCTCAAGGTCACTAACAGAGTGTTCTGGGAGGCTGACATGTTCTCCAAGTAGTTTCTGAAAATTTTCCTTTCCGATGTCCGTTTTGCATCCATTTATTCTTTTGCAGAGGCTAGTCTTCCTGTCCTATGTAGAACACGGGTGTTGCCTGTGTACAGATGGTTGTATATATCATATTGTAAGATGAACAGGTGAATAAACCTTTGAAGCTGGCCAACAATATTAGGTCCTGTTGCCTGTGTACAGATGGGGGTAGAGTTGACTTCTGGGTCACTGCAGCATGTTGGTCCCTGTGCTTTTGCCTTTTGTTGCTGGTGAGCAGCTGTTTAAGGTTCAGTAAAATAGCAAATATATAAATAGTATAATGAAATGGCTAGGAGGATGAGCTGTAAGTGCTGGTTCCTGGTTCAAGCAGCATCTACTAACTCACAATACGGCCTTACAGTTACCAGCTTTTTTACTGGCCCTTGTGTCTAACATTAGCAATATAGGTTAATATATTCTCCCTAATGCTAGTTTCGTTCATGACGTCAGCGGTTTTTTGTGCCCCCTGACAATTGTACTATACTATGCTCGGAGGACTCCATTTTGTCCCCCAGTCTGTTCAACATTTATGTGAAATCTCTGGGTGAGGTCATTTGGAATGCAGTGTTTTCCTTCCTTTTTCCCCCTTCTAAAAATATATTTATTTAGAGATACTATGAAATAGTTTACATCTGCATTTAACTTAGTTTCTAATGTCTTAGAAATCTTTAAAAAAGAGAGAGAATACAACACATGCTATGGCCTACATCTTCTAGGTTCACTGTGCCGGTTTAGGCCTTTTCAGTTGGAAAAGGATAAGTAAACATGTTGCCATGGTAACTTGCGCAGCCTTGTTAAAATTAAATCAATTATGATGTAGAAAGGGTTCCCTAGTGGAGCTTATTATGAAGAAAGCAACTAATTGTTTTTCTTGCTTTCTAAAGGCATTTTTAAACAAATTGCCATATCTGCTAAATCTCTTTTAAAATGAGAGTCCGGTTTTATTGAGCACAGATATATTACAGTATGATGATAGATAAGGAATGGAATAGGTTTTTAATCTTCATAAAACTCTAGGAATGAAAACCATTACATGTGTCAGCTTTTGTCTTGAATTTCATATTTAGGATTCAAAGCCGAGACATAAATTTACATTTAATTAAGAGGCAGCTTCTACAGTGTCCAGGGTGGGTGGAGATGGAAATGGCACACCATGAAGAATTTCGGTGTCAGCTAGCATCCCACACTTACAGCTGCTTACAGACAGACAGACTAAGCTTCATCTTCCCTCCAAACACACACTTGACCTACCAAAAGATGCTGAGGGTGTATGCAAGTGGAGAAGCCTTTGGAGATTTCTTGCGGGGGGGAGGGATACTGTCTTGTAGACACAGGGCAATAGCATGAGAATGTGAAAGTACCATTGATTTTAGACAACAGTGAGAATGCTCAAAAGTCCTGAACACACAAGGGTAAACACACATAGTGAGCCAGGCACACATGTGCTAGCCTAACCTTCAATTTGCCCCGTGCACTGGTCATCACCTTTAAGGTGATGTCACTGACAATCCTTAATGGGTTCATAGTTACAACTGCCCAGCAGGGCAAGCCGTATTACAGTATTCCACAATGACCCAGGTTGACATATGGCCCAGTTTTTCCTGGATTCAGGCCATGCCACCCCTTGCCTATTTACATTCCTGGATTCCCAGCTTTCCTTTCTTTAAAAAGGCTCTAGCACTTATAAAATCAGATATTTAAGGCAAGATGTGCAGGGAGTATTCTGCCCAATCATTTCGTGAGGGAAAAAAGCTTTCTCCCCCACTATGGGAAGTTACAGCTAGAATTGGCACGGAAGGGAAGGAACAGAGATAAAACTGTAGAGTCACAATTCAACTGTCTGGGATTATGGAACTTCTTGGTTCATTTTGTATTTTATTTTTTACCTTCCCTGAAGAGGTGAGACACCCATAGTAAGCAACAGAGAAATATAGGTTATTTGCATACCTCATCTTGGGCAGCATGGCCCTTCAAACAAAATTTCAAAACTCAAACATTGTCTTATTTTGTTAACAGATTGAGCATTTAATAAGTTGTTTTTTGGATTTTTACTTTTTAAACAAAGCATTTTAATGTATAATACACAAATTAGGCTGGCAAGATACATGAAACTTGAATATTATTACTTTTATTTAAAACCTACCCTTTAACCAGAAGGTTCCCAGCGCAGAATAAAGATCACTAAAATGTAACACAGCAATATCACATAAAAATTATAAAAACCAATGATCATCATAAAACAGCAATCCAGCAGTAGAATTCAGTTCTAAAATCAGTACTCAAAATCTATGAGGGGGAATTGAGGCGAAGAAGGTGTGGTTTGTCCAAAGTTGAAATGAATCCACAGTACCAGAGGGACTTAATCCCAGGTGTGTGATAACGACACACAACTTGTAAAACATTTATACTCTTCTCAAACAAGCAGACAAACTATTACAGAGACAACAATCACAAATCAAAATAACCTTTATTAAAATTAATATTGAAAGCATAAAAAACTTAAATGAGGAGAAAAGGACTGAGGTTCCACAGTAACACTGTTGATCACATAGCAAGGAGCACATTAACTGTATAATTTAGAGGTACTACCTGTTTATCTCGAAGGAAACACCCTGTTCATCCTTGTGCCACAATTTCAAGGGCCTGAAGATATACTTAAGAGTAAGAGCTAACGTACAAAACAAACATAGAAAATACAGTTGCTTAATGTGTGCTGAACTATACTAAGAACATGCAGATGACCAAGACTGGTGGTGGCATTTTGGTGTTGAGCCTGGGATAAAAGCAAATGCTAAATAGCCTATGATTCCATCCTGTAATGGCGATTCATGGTTTACAGAGCGAAGTGTGGAAATCAATACAGTGGTGCCCCGCAAGACGAATGCCTCGCAAGATGAAAAACCCGCTAGACGAAAGGGTTTTCCGTTTTTGAGTTGCTTCGCAAAACGATTTTCCCTATGGGCTTGCTTCTCAAGACGAAAACGACTTGTGAGTCTTGCAAAATTTTTTTGCTCCCCCCCCCTTTTTCTAAGCCGCTAATAGCCTTTTAGCCGCTAAGCCGCTAAGCCTTTAATAGCCGCTAAGCCGCTAAACCGCTAATAGTGCTAATCCGCTAATAGGGTTGCTTTGCAAGACGAAAAAACCGCTAGACGAAGAGACTCGCGGAACGGATTATTTTCGTCTTGTGAGGCACCACTGTATCTGCAAAATTTGTATAAACTTCTGAGCAACAATTCTTCATTTAAACTGAACTGGCCCTCCTAAACTTCAGTGTGCCATTTTGACCAGTGAGATGAGATCACCATGGTCTCATTTTAACTTGAAAGTTCTGAATGTACTGAATTATTTAAACAAAAACAAAAACCCTCCATCTCCAAATTCCCTTGAGTAGGAACAGGAAGGGTCATTGTTCAGTGGTACAGAACTTTTGTGTGTGTGTGTGTATGCAGAAGCTCCCAGGCTCAGACTATGGCACCTCCTCATAGGGCTAGAGAATATTCCTGTACGAGCCTCCATCAGGTAAAACAATTTAAATAAGCAAGAAGAAAATAGCAATTTAAATCACTGACTTAAGTTTTCCACTGATACTTCATATATATTTCCTAAGTGGTGCAAATCTGATCCCTAACCATGTTAACTTGCAAGTAAATAGAGTATTTACAGTTTTTTACCCTTGCATTCTCATTTCAGCATTGCCTTTCTTTGCTGTATGCATTTTTGCATGTTTCCCTTTTTTTACATATTAAGAAAAAATATTCCAATGGAGGGTGCTTCTTACCATCAGCAACTATGATAGTTTTTGAGGTTTAGAATGCAATCCTATACCCTTTTTTACCTGGGAATAAGTCCCATTGAACTTAGTGGGACATCTGAGTACACATGTGCTGCAAGTTTGGGATATGGAAACCTGCACACTAGACAAATTTTGTCTTCTCTTCCCTCTTCCCTTGTGCTGCTCCATTTTGCTTCACTGCTTGATTCACCCTCACAAAAACAAAGTAGCAAATAAAATGAAATAGCCATGACCAATTGGCTGACGCAAGATCTGATATAGTTACTGGGCAGGCTAAAACGATTTGTTTTCATCAAGCAAAAATGAATTGCCTATGTTTATTTAGTTGGTAGAGTATAAATATTCCTATCTGAGAAATGATCAAACGGGTTTGTCATTTACACTTGAAAAGCCTGCTTTAATGCAATATGCCTGGTAGCCTGGTAGGGCTAACATTTTCATAGCCAGATTATTTAACATTAACCTATTTATCCTTTGAAAAACTTAATATTTACATTTTTAAAATATTAAAAATTCTGATATCGTCATCAATGTTTATCCACTATGACTTGGTAAAAGGCATTTTCCTATGTTTCTAAGGGGCAAAAGTTTTAACGGTTGTCTATAAGGTAGGGGAAAGTTAGATTTCTAAAAGGTCCAGTGTTTTGAGATGTCACTAAGCACAACAATTTGCTGAACTCCTAAATAAAAACACAAAGGATTTTTAAAAGTTGAGAGTAGATATTGCTCATCTTGGTATCAGAATCTCTCATGAATAGACACGCACACTCTAACTAGCAAAATCGAACTATCATATAACCATAGCTGTCAACTGTTCCCCTTTTTTAAGGGAAATTCCCTTATTCCTCGCAAGAAAAGGGAAAAGTTGACAGCTATGCATATAACTGAAACCAAATAAGGCTCCTTCGTTAAAAAAATAAGTCGACAGAAATGTTTAGTACAAAGGACTGGTTTTTAAAAATCGGCATTAGACTAGCCTTCCATGTAGAATACTTATATTAACTTAAGAACATACTGTGTTCTTAGCAAGTCAGTTTTGGACTAAATTATTGTACAGAAGATGTCTTGAGGAAAAGCATGCACCATCAGTAATGTTTTCTCCCAAAGGTCATTTTTAATTGCAAGGTGATTCAGAGAATAGTACACAAGAGCTTCTTCTCCCGGAAGGGATTTTCAGATGTGGGCACTGGAATAATAAGGGGATCTTCTCCCATGTGAGCATCACAGTATGCCAATAAATCAGCCGCAGCCTTGGATACCTAGAGAGGTTTAGAACAAAAAAAAAAGGAGGGAGGGGGGAGACAGAAACCTCAGCATCATGACTGCTGCCACAGGGCCAACAGAATCAGTTGAAATATTTCCACAGAGTACTGATTTGCACTAATAAAAGCAAAAACACACCTCAGAGCACATAGTCTTTATTCTCAAACCTGGGCACTGGGCAGCAAGAAGGGTCCTCTTAATAGGCAAATGAGGAATGCCCTGGGGGCACAGCATGCCATCGCAAACCCACAAATATGTTGCTTTTGGTAAATGTATAAAGCAATCCTACATCTTCTGTAGTTCATTATGATAATTCATTTGCCTTCTCCATGATTGTGGCAGTGCCTGAAAATGGTGCCCACACAGGCTGAACCGGTAGAAAGTGTATAATTACTTTTTAATGTGAAGAACATGTTCAGCTCATTTGCTGTCTTGCTGCATCTTTTATCAGATGTTTTATAGTGTTGACTGGAGAATCAGAAGAGCTCCACTGAACTCTCAACTGGTTAAAACGAAACAAAATGAAAGAGGACAATATATAAAGACTATCATTATCTTTGTTTAAATGGCTTGTTAGACTTGGGTTAGATTTAGACAGTGATATCTTTGTAGTGGGTTGGTGGCTCTGAGATTATCCACATTGTTCCTTATCACAGCTATAACACCCAGTTAGCAACTAGCAGAACTGCACCAAGTCCCAAAAAGCTCTCCTGGGTATGACCTAGTGCAATAGGAAAATGGACAAAGGCCAGCTGGGTGGGAAGAAACTAGCTAATCCTCTACAACACTAGAGAAAGTTGAATTTCATTTGGGAAACATTTCCTTCATGTATCAGTACAACTTGGAACCACTCGGACACAGCTTCTGTTGGTTTCCTGGCCTCCCTGCCTCACTACACAGTGAATGCAGAAGAGCAATTGTGGGCTAAACCTACTTATTAATAAGACTAAACCAGTAGTACAGAACCCTCAAAGCAACTTCCACTTTTTGCTCAATGTATATTGCAATGAGCTTCCTTGTCCAAGACATGAGGATAAGTATTATTTTATTTATAAAAAAAATATGTACTACTATCCATAAATGAAATTAAAAACCATACATATAAACAAAAACTATGTAAAACTTTAAAATCAGAAATCACATCTGCATATAACTACCACTAAATCTTCCTTAACTGAGCCTTCCGATACTTGCTCATTGGTTCTAACAACTTCCATTTATTCCAGTAAAATCTGAAATAATCAAAGACTGAGTTATTCTGTTTTATAGATTCATCTTTTGAGAGATGGTAGTTTCGTGTGATGAATGTCTCAAAGTTAAAGGAGATGGATGGGCAAAATTATCTTTGACACCTCCCAGTTCCATGCTTCTCCATTAACTGAAAGTAATACTCCTTCCTTCTCCTGCCCTCTTTTATATACTACATATATATTACCACATCCTCCACCTCCTCCTCAAGATAAAATGACTACTCAGGGGCTCAAGTTATCAAACATTTGAGATTTTAGCGTGAGTTAACAGCCTTGAGGAAAACTGTGGAATTTTACCATTACATTTCAGAGCAAAGGAGGTGATTAGAAGCAGCCCAAGTTAGAACATAATCCTGTTAGATACACTATAATTATAAGATTCAGTGACAAGAGAAAATGCTGCAATTACTACAGTCACCTTCCATGACAAGACAGACATAATTGCTATTCTTGTGACAACGCCCACTCTGCTTTTGCTTTGTCTAAAATGAGCACATCCACAAACATCTCCGTAACGCCACTGTTGATCTCACAACACTTATTTTAGAGATATTTGCTCAGCCTCTTTTTAAAAAAGGGAAGAGAGAAAACACAATAGCTATTGTATAGAACTGTGTGTGATCTGTCACTTGTAATAAAAAACTACTACAGTGTTTCTTGATTGGAAGGCAGCAAGATCAACCCACTGGATATCCACAGACATTTAGTTACACAAATGATTTATATCACTCTTGTCTAATTCATTAAAATTTCACTAACCTTCTTCCTTAAAAAAAATCCTCTCACAATAACAGTGGCGTATGAGTTTCTGGATCATAGCTATTGCTCTTCTCCTTTAAGATATATATATACAGTGGTACCTCAGGTTACATATACCTCCAGAACGAATTAAGTACTTAACACGAGGTACCACTATATATATATATATATATATATATATATACACACACACACACACATATGCACACACACCAAAACCCCACAAAAAACAACAACACAAAGATGCATCTTGTGGACTAATAATGTATTTACACTTATACCTCACTTTTCCTCTGATGAAGGCACAGTGGCTTACAAATGGTTCCTAGGCCTCTACTATTCAAGCACCATACAGGATTAGACCCGTTTATCCTTAGAAGCAGAGTCACTTGCTTTTATAACTTCAAGCAAAATCTTCAAGCAAAATCTGCTTTGGCACAGTCTTAACACTTTCAATACACATGTGCTTATGGAGGTGCTTTCAGAAGCTACTTTTGCTTTGTAGCTGAAGGCATCCAGTTTCAGTTTCTGACATGGAAAAAACAGCAGATTTGCCATTTGTGTTTTGCTTTTAATGCCATTGCATGATTGTGAATTCAACTTGTACCACGATTTAATTTATTACTGTAGAAAGTGGGCCCTTTGTACAGCAAGCTGAAAATGTAAAGACCATCAAGGCTTTAGAATGCCTCTGAATCCTATTTTGTTCAATGTAGCAAAAGTAAATTGTACTCTGAAAAGAATGCATCAAGCCTGACATTTAATAAGTACACTGACTCCTTTGGGAAAGGAAATAATGTACCTTTTCCTGATTTAAGAGGAGAGATGGCCCTTATCAAGAGAGAGCGAGATTTATCTACAGTGAGAGGTGGCTACAAAGCTCGTCAAGAAATCATTTTGGTGTAATCTGATCCTCAAGTCAACAGCCAACTGATTTTCAGGCATGAGATGTACATCCTGTCAATGCTAGAAATGTGTCCTTTGTTTCAGCACAAGCTGACCAAATATTTATGCACCCCAAGAATAAACATTATATTATGATGTAATATATGTAGACATAGTAACAGTTTGAAATTTACCTTTATCCTGTCCAGATATGCCTCCATTTTCAGCTGCTCCACTGCTTTTCTTGCTTGAGATATATTTGTTGTACTGTTATTAGCCATTACCTCCTTCATCCTCCTTTTTCTAGAACAATAAAAATTGCAGCATGGGGGAAATGCTCAAATTCCAAATGTAAACAAATCAAAGCATATATTCCTTTCTAGCCATGTTTTCATCCTGAGATCATTCTCTCATTTCATCCATCATGGCATGGAAAAGTGTCACAATTTACCTCCACAAACTCTCTTTTCTCAGAAATTTTCCAGTATATCCAATACAGTGGTACCTCTGGTTACGTACTTAATTCGTTCCGGAGGTCCGTTCTTAACCTGAAACTGTTCTTAACCTGAAGCACCACTTTAGCTAATGGGGCCTCCTGCTGCCGCTGCACCACTTCTGCACGATTTCTGTTCTTATCCTGAAGCAGAGTTCTTAACCTGAGGTACTATTTCTGGGTTAGTGGAGTCTGTAACCTGAAGCGTATGTAACCTGAAGCGTATGTAACCCGAGGTACCACTATTTCTAGTTTTCTTTACTAGCAACAGATTACAGTTATACCAATCAGGTCAGGCCACATTTCTATGCCATAGAAGGAGCCATGAAACAGGTTATATATCTAAGCAGGGATAGTAAAGACTCAGATCTCTGGATAGCCCCTAAGCAGTGGATAGTGTGACCAACACTAGTGATCATGGCAGCCTACTAGCTAAATTTGCAGTATAAATTTCCAGGGGGAGGTTGTTCATTTATGAAACAGCCCATACTTCTGGGGTCCCATGGGCAATATGCTGTGCTTTCAGACACCACCGTTGCAACCCGCCAATGCCCCCTCCCAGGTGTGTCCCCCCCCCCACAATGGATGGCACTGGGTTGGCTAGAAATAAAGGTGAAGACATCCAGTCACCCCACCCTCTTATCTCCATTTCCCCAGAATGCTTCTGGTACATGCTTTTCCCATTTGGTGTTTGACTCGCCTACTTTTTCTCTGGTTTGGGTGTATTGCCAAATATGCCTCTGGGTCCCAAAAGGCTGGTAGCCTATACCATACATGGACTACTCTCACCAAAAGACCCCATGCAAGACTATTTTAAATTTTATGATCAAATCACTCCCTAGCTTTTTAGAATGGAGAAAGCTATCTCATGACTTGGTTTCTCTTAGCATTTGTCTCAAGGGCCTGCCTAGTCCCTGAATCATGCATTTGTCTTTCAACTGAAGGCTGATGAAATAACCTAGATGACAAGTGTAAGCAAATGGTGCTGCTTCAAGGCAAGTGTGGATTCACACTTGATGTTAAATCGTTGGCTAAATTGGAAGATGATGCCTTTGAAAAGGGCTGAAAAGATGTTTCTTCAGTGGGCACTAGGACACTGCCTCCCAAGTGGGAATTGATTCAACGGAGTTATTGACTGAGATCAAGAGAATTTTTAAGTTATATAATCAACCTCAAAATAATAATAATGCAGGTCTGTCAGCCCTTCAATTTATCCATAAACATAATAGTCAATATAAAGGTAAAGGTAAAGGTACCCCTGCCCGTACGGGCCAGTCTTGCCAGACTCTAGGGTTGTGCACTCATCTCACTCTATAGGCCGGGAGCCAGCGCTGTCCGCAGACACTTCCGGGTCACGTGGCCAGCGTGACAAGGCTGCATCTGGCGAGCCAGCACAGCACACGGAACGCCGTTTACCTTCCTGCTGGTAAGCGGTCCCTATTTATCTACTTGCACCCGGGGGTGCTTTCGAACTGCTAGGTTGGCAGGCGCTGGGACCGAACGACAGGAGCACACCCCGCCGCGGGGATTCGAACCGCCGACCATACGATCGGCAAGTCCTAGGCGCTGAGGTTTTTACCCACAGTGCCACCCGCGTCCCTAATAGTCAATATATTTACCCCAATTTATGTGTAGTACTTATTCTCATTGCATCTGGTGAGGTGTAATTTTCAAAGCTGAAATTGATATAATTACCCACACTCTTCTATGCCTCAAGAATACCTATTAGAATTAGCACTGAATTCAGATGAATGTTGGGAGAGGTTTGCATTATAGTGATCTGATTGAGAACTTTGCTTCCAAGAAGGCTCAAAAAGTTCATTTCATTACATAGGGTACTAGGGAATTGCCTCTTAAATAATTAATCACTGTACCATTATTTATCAGTGAAATGGCCATCACCAATTCACCATATGTCCCTCCCATGATGATGCCATACAACATGCTTTTTAAGGGGGTAGGCTTTCTCTGTTTCTCCATCACATGTGGAGGCAACAACTTGTAGTCATATATTTGCGTTGTAGTGTTGATATGCTATATGAATCTTTTCCACTCCAGTTGTAATAAAAATTGACCACAATGCATGCATTATGATACTTTTATCCATACTTTCATTGAAGCTTCATGTACAGTCGTACCTTGGTTGTCATACACAATCCGTTCCAGAAGTCCATTCAACTTCCAGAAATGTTTGACAACCAAGGCGGGGCTTCCGATTGGCTGCAGAAGCTTCCTGCATGCATAAGCCACATTGTATGTTTGGCTTCCAAATAATGTTCACAAACCACAAATCACTTCCGGGTTTGCGGCCTTCGTTCAAGAGCCAAAACATTCGAGTAGCAAGGCGTTCGGGATCCAAGGTACGACTGTATAGAACTGAGTGAAATTTTATGCCTGACTTGCTTTCACATCTTTAAGGGCCCCCATAAATGACTGTCATTTATTTCACATCAGGAACAGTGATGTCATCTCCTGGAGCCCCATTTTCCAACTCTGCATGCCAAAAACATTTTTCTCATAGGGAAAACCCACCAAATAAGCTAAGCCATAGAAGAGGCAGTTTACATCAGCATGCACAGCTATGAGTTAAACTACCATTTTTAGTTGGAAAAATTCCAGAGCCTCTTTATTATCACCAAACAAAATGTGGAAAAAAATTCAAGTCCACCCAAACTTTTAATCAGGCAGGATGTTAAACAAAACATGTGGGAAGGGGGTATCGGGGGGGGGGGGTAAGGAATATTACCTCAGTACTGAAGCCATAATATCTGCATTGGCCCAAAGTTCATTTTTTTGTTCTATATAACCTAAGAATGTGTGTGGCTAAACAGCGCTGGTGCTTCCGGTTTTACTTCTGCACACACACACTTTCACTCTGTAAACTGAGTCATGGATGTGGTGCTAAACAAAACACTGGATAGCCCCCCAGGAAACCAATGTTTCTTTGTTGCTGGAAGATGGAAGCATTGATTTTGAGACACTTCTGTTAAATGCATAAAGTGGTGGAAAGTTGATAGCAGATAGAGGTTCTTATTACACAACCACTGCCTTGCAGTTCAGCTGACAACTTTTTTTTGTTTTGAACAACTGAGGCCAATACGAGCATATCCATCTATCTATTTCCAAAGTCAAAACCTGAACAGAGTCTGGCTTTGGAAAACTATATCTGTGTGTAGTGGGGGTGGGAAATACAGCAGGAGAGGGTCTCTCTATCTGCACAGTCCCTATGCATAGTCCCTCTATCTGCAACAGAAGGGGGCACCCACCCACCTCAGAGGTTTTCAGCACCAAATCAGGGACTGTTCTTCGGCCCCTAAAAAGATCCTGAAGGTGGAGAACTGGACACAGATTGAGTGAAGATTGAGTTCACTGTCTATATAAAGGTCTATAAGGCATGATATCCCCTGTGAATTTTGATCGGTCCCAGGTAGTCTAATGTTTTGGGGTTGTTGTTTTTTCCTTTTTAATGAATGCACTCAACACTGAATGTAGGGGCAGATGGGGCTCATCAACCTGGGAAGGAATCCCATCTAGGAGAAGGAAAACTCTGATCCTAAACCTCCGCTGCCTTGCAGGCTATCTTCAGGAGAAGAAAAGGCTAAGGAGTAAACCTTGCACAAATCCAGAGTGAGGTCCCAAAGATGGTAGGATGGCACCTTGTACGCCTCCTTCTGGCAATTCCTGCAGCCAAGCCGATGCCAAACATATTGCTCTGCTTTCCTTCGGACTACATCAGTGAGGGCAAGGGGGGATGGGTCTTGTTGTATGGGCAGCCCAGAACCTCCACACACACTGCCTGGACTTATGCCCTGGGGAAGTCACTTCCTGATACTAACTCAGCAGTTTGACTTCTCTCAAGCCAGACGGATGCCAACAATTCAGCATTGGATGTGCACATGGATCTATTTTTACAGTAACGGGAGAAAAGCACTAAGCACAAAAAGCATTACAAATCCTAGGTTTGCATTTTGACAAGTTTGCCATAACATAAAAGCCCTCTGAAATGAAGCCAAAGGGTTATCTAGTCTTATCACCTCTTTCTCCACTGACCAACCAGATGCTTATTGGGAAGCCCACAAGGACAGTCCTCTCCTGCTGATGTTTCCCATGAATTTATCTAATCCACTTTAAAGCTATCTAAGTATGCACTGTGTGAAGAAGTGCTTCCTTTTTTCTGTCCCAAATCTTCCACCGCTTGGCTTCATTGGAAGACCCCCCCGCCCCCGCCCCCAGTCACAAGAGAGGGAAGAAAACCTCTCAATCCATTTTCTCCACCACATGCATAATTTTATGGAGCCGTATCGCGATGCATTCTTACTCGTCTTTTGTCCTTCCTTCTCCTCATGATTCTGCTTATGCTGTGCCAGTTGTGCCCTGCTCATCTCACTCGGGACACTGTGATACCTTCTGCAGCGCAAGCTTCTATTTGCACTCGGGAAGCTACAAAACTGGGGGGAGGGGGGGAGCGTGCACTAGGAGTCTGCCCGTCTTACAAATATTCAGATTTATTTGAACAAGATTTTCAAATGCACATCAAGCAAGAGATATCTGCTTTCAGCAGGAGGTCATCTTGATAAACATTCTCACACAGCTCACACAGGTCTGCAGAATTCTGGGAAATACGTGCCAAAATTGGCTTATTGCCTTTCTTGGCTACCATCTCCTTCGTCTACCATCTCTCCATGTTCACAATGTTCAAATTGTTCTGAACAAGCATCACTTTTTACATAATAACCCCTCTCCAATCAGTATTTACAATGGCCACTGGAATCCAGGATTTTCCGGGTGATCTAGGCAGACATGAAGGCTCTTCTGATGACAGAGGCTAGGTTGCAGGTTCCCTTTATGGAAACTCACAGTACCCATTATTTCTTACAAGTAGATTGACCCAAGTGAGAGGTACCAGAGCCATTAGGGTTGTGATGATTCTGGTCAACAAATCACATGTGAGCCATTAAAATACAAAACTGGCACACTTCCTGCAAATGGTATAGAAACCCCCATCTTGTCTAACCTAGAAAACGCCAAGCTTCATTTGCATCAGGTTGTCTACAAGCTCAAACACAGAAACATGTGCACAATGGAAAAGTATGTTTCAGAGCAAGTACAGAGTGCATAGCCCAACCACCCATTTCTGATGCCAGGAAATACATGTTTTCAAGATTGGGCAGTTTACATCCCACTATTTTTCCTTGTCAATCCATCTCCCTGCTCCCAGGGAGCCATTACCTTTAGGATTAGGTAGAACACTACTCTCACCTGGAAAGACTATCCCATTATTCAGTAGTTCCTTCCCAAGTTACCACATTTGCAGATAAGCAGAGTATCCTTGAAGTCAACCCTGTAAGATGTGCGAGTGATTAAAATATGATTTTCTTACATGCACGCAGGACCCGGGTCTCACAGGCGTATCTGTCTATAAGGACTAACAGGCACTTATACACCTCGCAGTATTTTGCTCCCTTGCCCATCACAGAGAACACGAGATCGACAAACGCTGGAACCAACCCACGCGAAGCTTGCGCCCCTGGGAAGTCTCCGGCTCCCGCCCGAGATTAAGCGAGACACCGACCCAGCCCAGCGGTCTGCTGCTTTCCTTTGCTTGCCTACTTTCCCATTTCCATTCCTTCCTTGACTCACCCCTTGCAGACGACGACGAAGGCTCGGGACAGTCCGAGGGACTCGACGGCGGAGCAGCGCGAAGCGGCCACCTCACGCCCCGGCTACAACCAGGCTCGCGTCGAGGCGCCACATGCCTGTCCGGCGCGGGGGGTTTGAAGGAGCACGGCCGGCCCACCACGCCCTGCTAGACGCGCCTCCCTCCCGGAAAGGGGCCCGGCGGGACCCGCGGGGCTGCTCAGCCGCCTGCCCTCCTGCGACGGGAGAGCCCAGCCAAGCTCTTCGCAGGCTTTGAGCAAGGCAGGCGGGGGCGCGCGCGCACACCCGACGGAAAGGAATTCCAGCTCGTGACGTCAATGGAGTTGGGTGGGAGAGCAAGAAAGAGCGCGCTTCCATACCTGCTAGCTTCTCATATATAAAATTTAAATAAAACACACATTATATATATATAAATTTAAATAAAATTTAATGAGGGCAGCCCGTCTGCGGGGTGTCGCGTGTTGTAGGAAGAGAGAAACGTGTGTGAATTTCCATCGCGCAAATTAAAGTGATCAGAGTCTCTCTTTCTCTCTCTGCCCATCCAGCAACGTTTCTGCCTCTTAAGCAACGCAGAAATTTCCCTAGAAATAGGGAAGTAACGCTAGGAATTCCTTCCAACCCATGAAAGCTAACATAGAGTTTACTGTTTATATAGGCCGCCATGTTATATTGGTATGAACTGGCAGAAAGAAAGAGGCACTAAACCAATCCCAATGTTTAAATAACCAAATAAAGCTGTATCCCGTCACATGGAGTGGGCCCTGAAAGAGGTGTTCACGGGTTCACTTTTGCACATGGGGGGGAGGGCGGATTCGGGATGACACACTTGTGGGTTAACTGGGGACCAGCAAAAGAATATTGCTCATAGTAACAGTGTCACAAACCGATTTGAATTTGATTAATAGGGAAAGGTCATCCAATCTCAATCTGTAATTTAACATGACAAGTGTGAGGGGTGAGTAAGAGCTACTTCACACTTTGAGAAGGAATCGTGTTTGCCAGTGATATACAGATGGTTCCCATAGCGAACACGAAAAAGTGTGAAGGACAAAGAAGCGTTCCTAAAACATTTTGTTAGCCACGCTCCAAGCACAGAGGACCTTGGCAACGGTTTTAACACCATGTGTTATTAAGGTGCCTCTACTCTTCATACTACTACAGGGAACGCTGATGGAGGCTCCGCAAAATAATGGTGTTAACCAGAAAATGTTAAAAGGCTTTTAACTAATGGGGAGTTGGGAATTACAGCTATGTAAGGGGGGAACTACAGCTCCCAAAGTTCTTTGGGGAAAGCCCAAATGGATGGTGAGGATGTGACATTAGGGCCAAGAGTAGCAGCCTCTGGCTATTCCTCCTGAGCCCCAGCCATTCCCCACTATAACCATGCCTGGGTTCCCAAATCCAGCCTACTGTTAGGTGTGGAAGATGCTCTCTCCTCACTTCTTGTTGGCATCAGTCTGCCTTGGGAGACAATGGAAGATGACGTCAAACTGTTGAAAATTTAGAGCTCCTGCTATGGCTGTAGAGACCGATGTGGGAGACATGTTTTGTTGCAGCTGGGGCAGATGAAGGCGTCTGGTTGTGCTGCTGAAGATGCACCATGGCATTTCTTCTGCCTGCATTCCTTCTAGCAGTCATTCCTTCTCTGATATGGATGCACAACCTGACTGTCTCCAGGCACTGAGGTTGTCTGGAACGGATTTCAACTGCCAGCCCAAGCAGCTTCTGTATTTGGATACAGTGGTACCTCGGGTTAAGAACTTAATTTGTTCCAGAGGTCCGTTCTTAACCTGAAGCACCACTTTAGCTAATGGGGCCTCCTGCTGCTGCCGCACCACCAGAGCATGATTTCTGTTCTCATCCTGAAGCAAAGTTCTTAACCCGAGGTAATATTTCTGGGTTAGCAGAGTCTGTAACTTCAAGCGTATGTAACCTGAAGCGTATGCAACCCGAGGTACCACTGTATATGGAACAGTGTTCTTCACCTGAAGCAACACTTATGTCTTTGGCCAGCCCTATGTAGGACATACATGAAAGCCCTATTTATTATAACTGTGCTGGTGCGGGAGGCAGGAGTAGAACAGAGGAAAACACAGCTGTGACTGACTGGTTGAAAGGGGTCTGTGAGGTAAAATATCCCAAAAACTGTATTATTGCAACAACGGAGCTCACAGAGATGATGCAACCCAAAAGATGCAACCCCCACAATGAAGCAAAATTAGGCGGTCGCCTCAGGTAGCAGACCAACTTTTGTTAAGAATGGTACAGTGAAGCCTTTGCCAACCTTGTGTCTGTGGTGGCTGGAGCTGCAGGGAGTTGTAGGCCAAAGGACTAGCATAATGGGCGGGAGATAGATCCGATTTTCAGGGCACAGTCCAATAGGAAGTTCTGAAGTGAATGGAATTGCTCACAAGCCTGGTTTTGATGGGTTGTGCCCTGCTTTAGGGAGCAGTGCAACTTGGATTTTCTACCTCAGGCACCCAACATGTATTGCACTTCTGAAAATAAAATGTTATAAAGCCAGAAAAATGAAAATGTCTTTGTCAAGTGCTCTTTCCAAGGAGAAAACATTTTTATATATGTTGGGGTTGAATTATCTGTGGAGTGAGATCATTTGCTGTTGTCAAATCTGGAGCTAGCTATATGACACAACCGTAAAAAGCCTAAAGTGTTTCAGATTCATGACCATTTAATTCCATTTAACGTACATTTTAATTCAAATTAGCTAAATTCACACCTATCTTGTTTTAACTGTCAAATAGAACTTCTTGAATGCAGTTCTGTGTCTGGTAGTTTCAGTTCTTTAACTGATATACCATATGTACTCGAGTCCAATGCGCCATCAAATCTAATGCACACCTTTATTTTCACAATGTAATTTGGCCAAAAAAGGTGCAATCTGGGAAACATATGGCCAACATCAGGTCAAAACAGCGTAAGAGTGAGTTGAAGTGGCGGGTATGCTGTTTGGGGAAAGGGGGAGTTGAGAATTCCCTGATCAATCCTCTTTAACAATCATCTGGGAACAATTGACAGCTAAGAACAGGGCTCACTTGTCTTAGTTTCTGGACAAAGTAGAATTATCTTACAATACTGAAGATCTGTACAGTAATTTATTTTTTGCATTTAACTGATCCTAAGAAGGAGATTGCACTGCAGCAAATGTAAACAAAATAACAACTGAAATAAGTAATGTGAGTTAAGAAGAAAACATACCTAGAATCCCTGTGGAGGTTTGTAGGCTCTAGTTTTCATCTGTATAATATTAATGCCTTATATATATTTGTATGAAATACTTTATTACTCAGCAGTATAGGTGCAGTGAACATAAATATACTGTAATTATATTATTATTTACAGGGGTATTCAATGTATGCATAAACCTCATGAGGTGTTATTAAGATTTCCAGAACAAAGCTGCCATGCTGAATAAATATCATTCTATCCAAAAACCTTATAGCTCTGCATAAAAATACTACATCTTACAAGGACAGTTGTTTTGCATATTTAAGATTTATAATAATGTCCTAAAAGTAAGACTTCATAAGTGACATTTTGTATCCTAATGTAGAAGCAATTAAAAATGCCTCAAGAACAATGAAAAAAGATGCTACTTCAAGCACACCATTCCAGTATAAATCCTTGTTTTTAGATGGTAAACATGATTGAAATGCGAACCAAAATGCATTTTCCTTTTGCAATTTTAAATGTGGAAATCCATAGGTGTTAATGTAATGTCAGCATCAAGTTGGGAAAAGACTAGGAAGAGACATACATATATTCACACACCATGCCTAGTGTGCTTTTTAAGATTCTGGATTCATCAGAAATATTTTTCAAAAAAACCCCACTTTTCCCCCAAAAGAATTTTCTGAAACAATTCTGAAAGCTTCAAGACTCCTACAATCTTATATTTGAATGAGCAGAAAAAGGGTGTTGATTGCATATTTATGAAGTGACCAGTTACAGTTTTCATGATGCTTTTAAAAGAGGCACATGCAAAAGAAACATCAAAGGGAAGAACAAAATGAAAGATGTAGATTATGGAAAAATGTATAAGTTAATACATCACTAAGGAATTCTGGGCTTATTTGCTTTTCCCCGAGAAAGAGAGTAGATGCATTTATACCACATGTATCTCAGAAATTTAAATAAACTTATTTATTGAACTAGTCACATGAGAAAGCCATTAAGATTCAGAATTTTATAAACTGAATGTTAAAGGCTTTACATATTTAACTGCTAATTGTAAATATTGTTACAATTTGCTTTTAACAAGGGGGGGGGAGTCATGCTGAAAATGTCATAATTATGTTTAAATGCATAATTTTAAAAGAAAACATATGAGTTCCTATTCCGTGAGTTCATGTTCTGTGCATGTAACTCTTCATTAGTATTATACAGATATATTTTAAAAATGTAATTCAAGCAGTTTTTAAACAAATCAAAATGATTTTAACACAATTATAATATTTATACTTTTTCAACCCCCTACCATTGCTAAAACTGAATTGGAAAAAAATAGTTTTGGTGGAGTTTAAATATCTGAATTAACAGAATTGCTCAGTTAGCCAGATTGTCATAATTCTGCTCCCCTCCCCATCCGCCATTACAGAGTTTTTACAATTCTTACATGACAAATAGAAGCATATTTCTGCTTCTGCTTCCCCATTCTTGATGTCCAGAGTATAAACCACAAGATGTTCCAGTCTTTGGGATTTATACAATTTGAAATTATTTTGAAAGATCTCTGTATTGCTTCATGTTGTCACAACAGTTTTGCCTATTAAACTACAGGTAGCATATATACTTAAACTGCTATAGACTTATGGTCTGTTATAAATTAAGACAGTGAATAAATAGAATCACATTTCATAGAATTGTACTTCAGGTATTTCAACAACATTGGTGTAGAGACACCTACAGAGTTAATTTGCTTCTCTATAAAGCAAATCTGAGTTCTTGAATTTTAAAACACTGGTAACTGGGTGTGTCCATTCTAGAGAAAGGTGTACTACAGTCAAGTAATAAGTTATACACACAAACTGACCTTGTTGTTTTTTTTTAATAAACCTTTTGAAGTATTTTAATTCTATTTTATTTTTTTACAACACAAAGGGGCAGAAGTCACCATTAGTGCTTCAGGATTTAGAATATACAGGTCCACGAAATGATTTGTAAAAATATTTTTACATTATACATTGCAGCATTTAAACTTCTGGGTTAGCGCTTCTACTCTCTCCTGAAAAAAAGCACACCAGAAGTTTCCTATAACCAGTGATATGGTCTGGTGCGTGAGCATTCGTAGCAGCCTTTCACTGATATATTGCTAATCTACTCTGTTATCATGAAGATGTTAAAGAGTACTTCAAGATCCAGGTAAACAGAAGAAGTTCTATAATCTACCCTGGACTGAAAGCGCTTCAAAATAACCAAGGCCAAGGAGGAAGAACAGCCATCAGCCAGCTGCATAGCTGCTCAGGAATGAGTAAAACATGGGGAGTTTCAAGGGCTTTTGGTCCTTGCGACACCAAGCAATAACAGTTCCTTCATTATTTGCTGTGTAGAGATGATGGCCATCACAGGAAAATGTAAGGCTGTAAAGAAAAACAAAACAAAAATCTGTCACATCTCACGGGTTATTGAGAATTTTAAACCCTAACACTAAGGATGCTCCTCAAAGGGGGGGAGGGGGGGAAGACACAGTTTTAATATACCTGTGCTAATACATACATTTATTTTCAACACTGACACCCACACCCTGCCTTTCTAAATAAAAGAAGTCTCGTACAAAACAGCACGTTGTACATTCACTCAATTCTGAAAAACGTTAGGAATGTTTGCAACAGCTCCTCCACCCTCACCCCTGAATAGGTCCCAAGAAAACTGCCGCACATCAAGTCTACACTCGCACTTATTTTATTCTAATTCTTTGGAATTTGTGTGCTTTCTCTCCCCCGCCCCCCCCATCCCGGCTGCCTCTTGTGCTGGAGTGCAGAGTCAGGCAACCATGAATTTCCTTGTGCAGTTTTCTGGTTTCCTGCAAATCTTAGGGGTTGAAAGAAAATGTATGTGAAATATCTATGGAAAGAAATATATATGGCTGAGCTCCTGACGTGCCTTTACTAGCCCACCGTGGAAGAAATGGCTTTTGAAAATAAATTCTCGGCATACACCTTTCAGTTTGCTGCCCAATTTATTTGGCGCTAAAATTTGTTTTTATGTGGCTTGTTTCTGAAGTTTCTCGTTTTATGTAATCTGACAGATCAAAAGAAAGAATATTTATTCCTCCATTCAGGAACGCGCCAGAAATAATTATGAGTACAGCCAGGAAAAAGAAGAAAGAAAGCACTGAGGAAGTCGTGGGCATGGGAAGGGGAGTAGCAGATACAGTGGTACCTCTGGTTAAGAACTTAATTCGTTCTGGAGGTCCGTTCTTAACCTGAAACTGTTCTTAACCTGAGGTACCACTTTAGCTAATGGGGCCTCCCGCTGCCGCTGCACGATTTTTGTTCTCATCCTGAGGTAAAGTTCTTAACCATAGGTACTACTTCCAGGTTGGCGGAGTCTATAACCTGAAGCGTTTGTAACCCGAGGTACCACTATACTGGCAACTGAACACAAAAACTGATCAACTGCGGCCCTCAGTAGAGCAGTTGTGAGCCCAATTTTCCCCAATTTATTGGATTATCCCCATATCAGACAAACCCAAATTTACAGGGAAAATTGATATTGGTGTTGTTTGAGGGTAATATGTGGACTACACAAACTAAATGGGAACACAAATAGATGCAAATGGACAGTAAATTCAGTAACGGACAGTAATGCAGAATTCTCAAAATTATCTGTAATAGTAACTTCAAAAAGGTAAGCAAAACATATTTCAAAGGCATCAATTTACACATAAAACCATGTTCTCAAAGCGTAACAGTAAATTCCCATGTTCCAAAATGAAGCCATTTGTTTGTTTCCTTGTTTATTTGTTTATTACCTTACAATAGGTTTATTTGATTTAGAGAATGTAATTTCCCGCACAGGTTTCAAATCCCACGTACTCCACAGCCTAAGGAAAAGACAAAGACAGAATGACTGCTACCGGATACAATCCAAAAACAGCTTTTCAGAGATTTGGCTGCAGTATTTTAAGACTAGCACTTTCATCTCTTTTTGTGTCCTGCCAGAGTCTCTGGTTAAACCTGTGTTGCAGATTTTTGGCATTTTTCAGACGCACCCATGACCTTGCTGCACTAATACATATGTATACCTTTTTAGTGCAAGTGTCATGGACAAACTGGGTTTTTTTTAGAAAAAAGATTTTAAAAGCCCTTTTCATCTGTTTCAAATGGGTCCCTTCTGAAGCAAGAGCTCCCTCCCTCCTTCACAACCTTGTTGTAAAGCTGTGAAACTAGGGTTACTGTATGGAGGAAGCTGTCCCCTTTGCTCCACAGAAATAACATCTTCAGAACGGATGCATGGAAAAAGAAGTACGGCACAGAGTTTCCCAAAGAATAGCTTTTATAAGGAGCACTTGCAATCAAAAAGGAAAATTGTCTCTCGTAACCACTCACCGTACAACTCCATTTTCCAGCCCTCCAGCAATCACATTGATAGAGACTCCTTCAGGCTGGTTAGAGAAAGCAACAGAGCATATAATTTCCCTGCAGTGCACATGTCCCACAAGATCACCGTTCACGGTCCAAAGTCTCAGATCACTGCCACCACCAACTGAAATGCAATAGAACAGCTGCATTAGCAAAATAAAATCCAGAACATGATCTAGATGAAACAATATACTTACCCAAAAGACCACTCAAAAGAATGAAGAACTAGTATCCAATCATATGCAAGCGCTGACATTACATTTTTTGGTACTGACTATTTCTCAAAATGGGGGACGCGGGTGGCACTGTGGGTAAAAGCCTCAGCGCCTAGGGCTTGCCGATCGAAAGGTTGGCAGTTCGAATCCCCGCGGCGGGGTGCGCTCCCGCTGCTCGGTCCCAGCGCCTGCCAACCTAGCAGTTCGAAAGCACCCCCGGGTGCAAGTAGATAAATAGGGACCGCTTACTGGCGGGAAGGTAAACGGCGTTTCCGTGTGCTGCGCTGGCTCGCCAGATGCAGCTTGTCACGCTGGCCACGTGACCCGGAAGTGTCTCCAGACCGCACTGGCCCCGGCCTCTTGAGTGAGATGGGCGCACAACCCTAGAGTCTGTCAAGACTGGCCCGTACGGGCAGGGGTACCTTTACCTTTACCTTTTATTTCTCAAAAACATAAAAGCCAAATTAATTACACAGAAGCAATAGCATTATCAATAGGTAATACCAATCACACATTATCAATAGGTAATAGCAATCAGCTTGTCACGCTGGCCACGTGACCCGGAAGTGTCTGCAGACAGCACTGGCTCCCGGCCTATAGAGTGAGATGAGCGCACAACCCTAGAGTCTGTCAAGACTGGCCCGTATGGGCAGGGGTACCTTTACCTTTACCTTTAATACCAATCACACCTAACAACCACTAACAAACTGAAGGTGTTACTGGACTGCAGGGGGACATTTTTGTCAATATAAGGGGACCCCTAAATTGCTCTAATCGGGGGGATCTCAAATGTTTCCCCATTTCTTTTATTTCAAACATTCACATACAGCTTCTTAGATACAAACTACTTCTCAAAGTGGTTTGAAGAACGATTAAAATGCAGTATCAATGGATACAATAAGGACTGGCAACAGATAAAACTTCTATTTCCAGTAGTCCAAGTAAAGACATGCAAGATGTAATGGCCCAACTGATGGAAAGGTCAGCACAGAACCAATGCATATTCTGGCTTCCTACCAGGCTATGCTTAGGGACGTACTGGAGAAAAGTATATTTCTTCCCCCAGGAGATATCATATGGCCTAAACGGGAATGCAGAAAGATTGCCTTCTGAAATGTGCCCTCAGCTACTTTTACAATTGTATTACATCAGTGTGATGAGAGCATCCAACATCTGGAAGAAAATGTAAGTTACGTGAAGCCACTTACTGGTGTGCAGACTGACATAATGGATAATTTGACCATTACTTCACCTAATTAACAAACAGAACTGAAATGCCAGATTAATAGAATCACAGAGTCAAAGAGGGTCTTGTAGGTGATCTAGCCTTGCTCTGTGCATGAACTAAAGCACCCCAAACATCATATTTTTTGCTCCACAAGACGCACCTGACCATAAGACGCAACTAGTTTTTAGAGGAGGAAAACAAGAAAAAAAAATATTCTGAACGAAATAGTGGGTGTATGATTTTTGTGGTTCATGCTGTGGCCACAGACATGTGATTTGACGGTGAGTTTGGAGAATCCAAGTGGATCCGTGCTTTGTAACCATGTTTTCGCGCCATTGTGGCCCCACGAAACAGTGGACACATGATTTTTTTTGTGCAGACTATAGCCATGGACATGCTATGTGATCTGATGGTGAATTTGGGGTGACCCAATGCAAAAATCCTGAGGATCCATGTGCTTTTACCTGCCCCCTCCCAGGCAGCATCCTTTATCTCTAGAGTCCCTTATCTCCCTCCCGATCGCTTGCCGATCAGCTGCTCAGCAGCTTTGTTTCAACACTCCCTTCCCTCTTGTTTGCCTTAGTGTCTTTTCCTTAGCTGGAACAGTTTTTTGCTTCTCCTTTTCTTCTAATTTCTCTCCTCATTGCTTGTTTGAGTATTCCTGTTTCCTCTCTTCGCAAGTTTGCTGTCTTTACCTCCCCCCCTCCCCAGCAGCCTCCTTTACCAGCAGCCTTATCTCCCTTCCGATTGCTTGCCGATCAGCGGCTTTGTTTCAACACCCACTTCCCTCTTTCAAAAAAAAAAAAAAAGCATGATCTGCTTTTCGCCCCTGGGCAATTCAGCTCCAGGGACCATGCATTCACTCCATAAGATGCACAGACATTTCTCCTTACTTTTTAGGAAGAAAAAAGTGCGTCTTACGGAGCGAACAATATGGTAGTTATCCAGCTTCTGCTTGGATAGCGAGAGACACCCCACCCCCCAAGTAATTTGTCTGAGATCTTCAGATGGGGTTCTTGTTGAAGGTAATGTGGTGCCCACCCTTGAAAGAGCAAGGGGTGTTTGTTAATTTAGCCTTGAACATTGTTCATGGGCCAGGTAGACATGATGAGAAGTAGCAGGCTGCATTTTGTGACTCCGCAGCTATTGCTCAGACAATAGGCATTAGCTGTGCTGAATTCCTCATGGAGGGAGGTAAAAATGACATCTATTTCCACTGATAAGGGGAAAGCGCTTTGGTGACTCACATAGTTCCATGCCCTTTCCCATATATAAAGGAAGAAGAATAAAATATATAAAAAGGAACACAAGCATTTGATATATGTTTTTTTTAAAAAAAAATGAAGACAAGACACTTCTGGGTCATGACTTTTGATTGAACTTTACCAGCCAATCAACCAAATAAGAAAGGTATCAGAACAGCAAGAAAATCTAACTCCAACATGAATTTATAAAGAGGCAGGTGGCAAGGAGGTAGCTTTAAAAATTGATTAGCTTTAAATCACTAAAGAAAAGGAACAGGTTAAAAGTAATATCTAGATAAATAACACAACATTTCCCATCCCTACTCCAACCCCTCTTTACCTTTAAGTACTCCGGTGACTAGAGTCATTATTACCTTTAGCTCAAGCTGAGGAGCGGAAACAAATGAAGGTGTAAACTGGCCATTAATCTCTCTAGGATTTTAGAGAGTTGCTGATAAATCAATTCAGTCTCTAGAGATGTGCAGTAACCTACAAATAGCTACAGATAATCCACATTCTCTTCCGGAATCTCCTATTTTGGAACACCTACGCTGCTTGTTTTAATTCTATTGCAGAGCCAATGGGAATATCACCGATATTTGTCTTGCTTTTGCATGTATACTTAATGAACATTTTAATACAGTCCCCATGCTACCAGTTATTTAATATCAGGAAGCAAGGAGAAGACATAATTTTAAGAAAAGCAATTTCGGCTTATATATCCCCCACAGGAATTTTTTTGATACAGTATCTTGGATAACAAATCTGATGTTTGGGCCTTAACTTCAGATAATGGAAACTCTTTAAGAGCTAGCTGAACCATTAAACCTTTGAGAGATTGAGATTCATCTGCTTGTGTTCGCACACATACAGATTTTACAATGTAGCATCATTTCACCCAGGAAAATGCATAGTAAACATGATGTCCAGGAATCACAGGTACGCAGAGTGTTTGGTCCCACCTTCCTACCCCACAGCCCTTCAAACCCATCACTGAATGTTGGGATCACCCTCTAGAACAGCATTCAATGGTGAACAAAGGGCATCTGGCAGAAGGGAAATGAAGCTCCCCTTTAGGTGACCAGGCCACTTGAGCTACACAGGCCACTACACCTACTTGTCAAGCCCCAAAGACAGTCAAGCCCCACACCTACCTGTCAAGCCCCAAAGACAGGGCTTGCTAAGCCCCTTTGGGTGCTTGGGAAGCAGCACATTTGCTTTTAAAGGGAGCATTTTTTTTCTTTGCAAAGGAAGTAGTTTGTATTCAAAGCGCTTTCCCCAGCACTTAGAATATGATCTGCTTTCTCTCTAAAAACTTCAAAAGGCAATCAGCTGATCACCATTTAAAAGAAGCCTCTTTCAGCTGATTGGCACTGAAAGCTCGTCTTCAAAGAAGGTTGCTCTAAGCAATGACCAGCCATTACAGAGACCTCCATTGAACTTTGGCTGGTGTCATTATGGAGGGTTCTACCTACCTGCCGTAGTTTGCCAGTGGATGAGATAAGGATCTGGCCCACTGGCCAGTTCTGGTTCCTCAGCCCTGTTTAGTGGGTCAGTCTTTGCTAGTATGTGCCATTAAGAACCCCGGCATCTTGCCTTTAGGGGCACACAGCTCAGTGGAAGAGCATAACTTTTGATGCAGCAGGTCCCACATCTAGTCCCTAGTATCTTCAGGGAGGGGTGGTAAAGGCTCCTGTCTGAAGTCAGAGAGCCATTGCCCATCAGCTTAGACTGAACTACAGGGTCTGATTTAATGGTCTGGTTTGCACACCAAGGTAAGCTAGTCTGAAATAAATGATAGCCTCCCTTGAACCAGCAGCAACCTTGTGCACACTGCTCAAATTATGTCTGCCTTTGCCCAATAGGAAGGAAACAAACCACAGCACTGTTTTTGAGAAGGTACCTACCTGAGTCACAAACTGTTGCAATGTCACCTGTTGTTTCACTAGCAGACACTGCTGTTACAGGACTCTTGTGCCCAGCAAGACTTTGCACGTAGCAGAGCCTGTAAGAATCAGAGTTCAGTGATGAAAGAAGCAGCTTTCACTGCTGTTGAAAGTATCAGTATCTTTCAATCAACGTTTTATTTGATGTGCCTGCCTCCAATATCAATTCATTTTATGATAAATGAAACAGAAGTCAATCCTACATTATATTTCAATATTTAAAATATAGAAGTTGGATGCAGTCAAGCCAGCATGAGGATATATTGAAGCATATTTGTACCTGTTCAAATCCCAAATGATGCAAGTTCCATCTTTGCTCACGCTTATCATTATACTGTAAGGCTTGCAGACAAACAAGCTGGTGATCTCTGCAGTATGGCCATACAGATGCACTTGAGATTCCATCTCAATCTCAGATGGCTGAAAAGGAACCAAGACACACTAAGTTCCAACTTTGGTTGAATTGGGATGTGGGGAGATGAGGAGGGCACAAAACTATATTGCAAAATGAGGTCTGATGCTAAGCTAGCGGGTGGGGTATAGATGTTTTAAATAACGATTTGCACTTGCATCACTGATAGCTGAAATGGAAAAACACAACTGTATAGAATAGGAGCTATCAAAACAATAACATGTAAGTGAGGGTTGCTCAAGCCAAAGCATCCATACCACTTAAAACACACACACAACCTGAATACTTGGCTGACAAACAAATGGTAGTATGGTATTAGTGCTGAAAGGTAGCATCTTCAGATGTCTCACATAGTTATTAGCACAGAGAAAAGCTCTATACAGCTGCCTTATTTGTCAAGACACATTGTCGCTTGACTAATTTATATCTAGATGTGTCTTTCACATTGCCATTGTTAAGAACAAACTGCAGCGAGAAGGAAATAAAACCTTGCCCAACTTTACTTCTGTCTAATTCCACCCTTTCCTCTCTGAAGAGCCAAAAAACTAACTGAGGTGCAGAATTGTCATCATAATAAAAGAAGCTGGTAAGAACAGAAGGAAGAGGCGACAGACAAGAACCAACACTTTCCCTAGATACGCTAGCTGCATCAGGGGGTGCTAGACTCCAACAGCCCATTAAAAAACAGACCTGTCTCTCTCCTGTACCAAGCCTAAGATTTCTTGTGCCAGGATAAAGGTATAGGGCCTGTCGTCTACATCTGCACTATGTTAGAAATCATAGCACTATGTTGCCATCTCACGCTGGTATTTCAGGTAGAAACAGCAACGCAAATAGTTTAGAACCACAATGTATGTCTTTCATTCTTAAGTATGAGTTACTTGATTGGCACATGATTGGCATTGTGGCCTTTTTTAGTGGGGTGGGATCTGAGGCCCTGCCTTTTGTTTGTATAGCTGTGCTTTTTTAGTTTTTTAGGTTGGTAGAGCATGAGACTCTTAATCTCAGGGTTGTGAGTTTGCGCCCCACATTGGGCAAAATATTTCTGCATTGCTAGGAGTTGGACCAGATGACCCTCATGGTCACTTCCAACTCTACAATTCCAGGACTCTGTTGTTGTTCTTAACCGATTTTAATGCAAGTCGCTTTGGGTCACTCTGTGACAAAAGTGACTAACAAATAAAATGCATAATAATTATTTCCTGCCCTGCACCGAATCAAGTTGTCCACCTAAATTAGTCAGCTGGGAGCAGAAACCAAAACAGATGCCAGTGAACATGCTGTCACACCATATGGCCTTATTTTGAGAAGCAGACTAGACACAGAAGTTTCCTTTGCATGCTGTCTGTTGTGTGTAGAAATGCCAGAGCTATGGGACTCCCATAAAGATGGTCACACCTGAGCAGAAGGGAATGGGAGAAATGCCCACATTTAGGTTGAAAGCATTTATAGACCAAATATAAGCCCATGCTGTATCAGTTTATTTTCTGGTCTTTAAAGCACCACTCTCGTTTACCACAAACAATATTTTCAAATTGTAACTTCTGCAATTGATGTAAAATAAAAATGAAGATCTAATCATGGATCTCCTGCATCACATGGAACTAGGCTCCAAACCTTTATTTATCTAGCAAACCCACAAAAAAGAGGAAGCATTTAAGCAATGATAAAACATTTTGCTAGAAGATGCAGCCCAATCAGAAAACCGATTTGGTACAACAACAAAAAAGGCAAGGGGGGGAGCAGTTCTTGCTAAGATGCTTTCTCTTTGTATTATTGTTTTTATAATCAGAGAGAGAGAGAAATAAATACAATTTACTGTAGCCAGGCTTTTAACTAGTCACTATTTCTCTTTCATTTACTTACTGTGCTGCTAGTGAATCTGTTCATATATGCTGTGATGACCCCGCACTTGCTGCCAGTAAAAAGCTGACAGCTGTCAGGCACCCAAGCGCAGCTTGTTACCTTGCATAAAAGAAAAAGTGAGAGACATTTAAACAGTATCCCACACTACTTTTGCTTTTATTAAGTTTATGCCCTGCTGTTCATCTCAAAGACCCTTCAAGGTGGCTTATAACTGCAGAACAGACACCCCACACTTTTCAGTTCTTTAGCTGTTTCTTGGAAGTGCATTGGCTAAAGCTCTCTTAATCACAGAGAAACCTACAGCTGGTTAATGAGGGTGCAAAGCCACCCAGCACAGCAGGGCTCCTTGCTTTCATAATCTGAAAGCAGTTATTCTACACCACAAAGGAAGCTGAATCCAAACCTTGCGGGGGGAGCCCAGAAGTAGTTTCTAGAGCTGTGCAGAGGAAGCTGCGCCTCAAAAAACAGAAAAGCCTATTGCAGGCCGGCCGGCACATGAGCCTAACTGGGCTCAATTACTTTACCTTTTCTGGATTTCATATTCATTCATATTAACAGAGGTAAATAGCTGCCTTCATTATTTATTAAATTCCTATACTCCCCTTCATTCAGGGCTCACAGGGCAGTTTACAATATAAAAGCACAATAATGCATAACATAAGGTAAAGGTACCCCTGCCCGTACGGGCCAGTCTTGACAGACTCTGGGGTTGTGCGCCCATCTCACTCAAGAGGCTGGGGGCCAGCGCTGTCCGGAGACACTTCCGGGTCACGTGGCCAGCGTGACAAAGCTGCATCTGGCGAGCCAGCACAGCACACGGAAACGCCGTTTACCTTCCCGCCAGTAAGCGGTCCCTATTTATCTACTTGCACCCGGGGGTGCTTTCGAACTGCTAGGTTGGCAGGCGCTAGGACCGAGCAACGGGAGCGCACCCCGCCGCGGGGATTCAAGCTGCCAACCTTTCGATCGGCAAGCCCTAGGCGCTGAGGCTTTTACCCACAGCGCCACCCGCGTCCCACATGCATAACATAGTAACAAACAAAAACAATAATGCACACACCAACAAACACAATTGAAAAGGCCATAGATTTTCCTAGACCCTTGCTGAATGAACAAGTCAAGTGATGACTGGTAGGGAAGCCCTGTTCAAGGTGCTACCACTGGGTATGGCCCGGCTGCTGCTGACCTACGACAGGGCCTTCTCGGTGGCAGTTCCCTGTTTGTGGAATGCCCTCCCTAATGAGGTCTCTCTTGGTCTTGGCCTTTCTCATTATGCACATTCAGGAGGAAAGTAAAATCATTCCTATTTGCCTGGGCATTTGATGGCTGAAAAAGACTGTTCTTGGCAACCTTGAAATTATTAACTATGAGGGCATGTGGCCATTTAAAAAATGCTTTTAGATGTTCTTAAAGTTTTAATGTGATAAGTATGTTTTGTTTTAGTTGCATTGTTTTATTAATTGTTTCCTGCCCTGGGCTACCTTGAGGAGGAAGGGAGGGCAGAAATGTAGTAAACAAATACTACTAGAAGAGAAATGCTCACAGACTTAGCAGGTTTATTTACATCTCTATAATCCAGAGGAAGCAAAAGTCCAGGAAAATCAGGGACATGAACGTAAGACTAATAGATTTATAGTGGTATAAGCCCTCATGGATGAGAAGCCATTTCTTCAGTTGCAGACCTGCTCACACACATTCATAAGAAACAGCAATAAGAAAGGCTGGATTTCCAGTAAGTGGCCTTTTGGCCCCACTAACAAATATATAGCTGCCACCTGAGGATGAACACTGTCTAAAGTGGGGTGCAGTCCATAAAAGCTCATGTTATAATAATATGTGTATTAGGTCTTGGCCTAATTTAGTCATAACACTGTGCCCACATGCTCCCTCATCCCTTTCACACCATAACACATGGTTGATTGGCCTCCATCTTGGGTTTAATAAACCACAGTTTCTCATAACATCAAAACCAAGAAATTGTGGTTTAATCTCTGTTAAAAAGCAAGGATATGATATCAGGGATCAGTTCGTGGTTAGCAAACAGAGATTAAACCAGTTTCCTGATCTTGATAGGATAGGAAACTGATATTTTAATAAGTCGTTTGGCACAAAGTGCCAAAGTGAGACAAGCAATGGGAGGAGAGGGGCAAGAATGGCGAGCATCTGGACAAAATCATTAGACTGATTTATTGGACATGAATCATTCAGCTGAGATTATCTTTGAACCAGCATATCATCTAAGATGCTTTGAGTCTGGTTTCGCTGCCGCAGATGAACACTGTTTACCTCCCAAGTTTTTCAAACACGGCATTCTATAGGTGAAAAGAGGGAAAATAAAAATGGCTTTTACCTGATGAAACTGTGAGCTCTGTATAAAGTTAACTGGAGGTTCACTTTGCTTGCTTTTCAGTCTCAGTATATTGTCAGCATATCCCCAACTCAGAATGGCTGACCACTGGATATCTGTACTGTGCATGCTTCTTACACCTGTAACAGCAGTCAGGACATTTACATTAAGTAGAAAATTCACAGTGTGTTAGTCGACAACAAAAAGACACATATTATGTATCTATTTTTGGATTTTAAATTCCACTGTTCAAATGTCTGAGCAACATATGGACACTTCCCAATAAAGTCTTAAAATCAGGGGGTGGGGAGTCCTTTTCAAATAGAAGGGACACATCCCCTGCTAAGAAACCTTTTGAGGGCCACATGCTAGTGGCATGTGGGACACAGGCAAAGGTGAGTGTTATCTTTGCATTAACAGAGTTGAAGGTCAAATTCCAGCAAGGCAAAAATCCTGAGGGTGGAGGTGAAGCCAGTGTGGGCTGTGGCCAAGGGAGAGTACTGTAGGCCTTACAAAGCAGCATGGGAAGGCATATTTGGCCCCTGGACCCGAGTTTCTCCACCTCTTCCTTCAATAATGTGGTCATTTTTAATTTTATCTGTGCTGTATATCCAAATATCAAACCCTGAACTTGATAGAGAACAGACACACTTGAAATTCTTCAGTTTCCTAAACATAAAAAACACTTCCCCCAGTGAAGAATCCTTGTTTAACAAGTTTACTGGGACCAATTCACATGTGATCAGAGCAGTGCAATTGCTAGAGAGATCTCAAACCACATAGGAAACTGGCTGCATGAACTGACTTTGGAGCAGATTCTTAGTACATCTGCAGAACCACTTATTTCTGGATGGTTCTGTAGATGTGGCTAAAATTGCTCCAACTCACATGGGAGCCACTTCACAAACTGCTTCCCACACAGTTCTGCTCCCATGCACTTTGAGATCTCAGCAGCAATTATTCCACCCAGGTAACATATGAGTCAGGCCTCAGCATTATATTAGCTGCAATCTGTGAACGAGTGAGAGACTGGACAACAGAGCAGTTGAGACAATTAGGCTGGCAGCATGAAATCTTTTTTGCAATGCTACTGCAGAGACCACTGAGCACCCTTACCTTGCTCTTTGCTATAGATCATCAGAAGACAGAACTTCCGGGATAAACCACAAATTGCTCTTGTTGGCAGAGCCTGCAGGGAGCCAAACCTTTCTCCATGTGGTTGGCTGAAGCAGACAAGGGGATCAGGGGCACTTGGGGAACCTACATATTCCCCCCACTTCAAGCCTTTAATCCAAGGTAAAGGACTCTAAAAGATAATGAAATAGAACAGCTGTCAGCTAACACATTTTAAACAGTCATTGGAGCTAAGCGTTTTAAATCTCAAGCTGAATGCAATTTTCTTTAACATACATTAATGTTAAACAGGTATTTATCCAAAGGTAACTTCAATGATATATAAAGTCTTAGAACAAATATCAAAGGAAAAATAGAAGCACGGAATAGTGTAAGACAAAAGGGCAAAATTCAGATGCAACAATTCCAAACTGCTAAGATAAACCATGGTTTATTGTGTTGGAATGGCCAATCCTGGCTCATACCCTGGTTTGGGAGTAAGCCCTTAAATCAGTCTCGCAATTCAGAATCACAAGATACTGTGGTTCAAGAAACTAGGAAAGTGTTTCTGAAGCAGGGTGCAAATGAAGGCTGGAAAGAGAGGCATGAAGGAGCATGAAAGCACAGGACTTGTTTCCAGGCTGATAAACCACGCTTGGATCATTATATCTGAGCCAGGCCTAAGAGTTTGCTAAAGGTAGATTATATCAAATCTTTAATTTTTTCCATTTTTGACATAGATAACAGGCTTCCTGGTACTGACCTTAACCTTTAAAGCCCTAAATGGCTTGGGGCCTGAGTACCTTCTGAATTTTCCTCCCCACGTCCCAATCATCATCTGAAGCCCTAACTCATATCCCTCATCTCCAAAAGCACAGCAGGCAATACCCAGAGCTAGAACCTCTTCTGCTGAGGCTCCCTGTGCCAAGTGAGGTATACCAGACCTTATCAGTGCTGCTAAAAACCTAGCTGCCCTAAAAGGCTTTTATAATTTTCTTCCCTTTTTGCTGGTTTATCTTTGGTAGCCTGATAGCTGTTTTGCCTGTGTGTGTGTGTGTGTGTGTGTGTGTGTGTGTTAATGGGGGCTTGGATTTGATGTTAATATCTGTGGTTTGTTAAAATTTGTGGTTTTTATGTGGATTTTTATTGTTATTTTAGATTTTTGTGTTGTGAGTTTTAAGCCACATGGAGTTTCTTTGAGAATTAGGTATGCTAAATGTTTTTAGAGTAAGTAAAATACATTCCAGGGGAAAATAAAGTGTGCAATCTAATCATCTCAGGTTTTAATAACGCATTTCTGTGAAGAAACTTAGTGACAACATTTGGAAATCAGTATCAGTGAACGCTTTCTTTAAACATGAGTTTCTTCTTTTCTTTTAAAGGAAAATCTGTGGACCTCTCTGGTCAACACTGACATGGATTCCTGTATAATAATACTTGAGAAAATAAAATGAACAAGTAATCAGGAACATGAAAGATTACTTGATGCTTTGCAGTCCAACTGAAATATCTCATTGTCAAAGGAAAACAGCGTGAAATATAAAAGGGTGATTTTCAGACAGATAGAAACTTTAGAATTAGGGTAGTGAATGTGTGCCCCCCCCACAGTTAGTGATGAACTACAACTCCCACCATTCCCAAACACTGACTATGCTGCTGAGGCTGTTGGGAACATGAGTCCAAGAACATCTGAAAGGCCACAGGATCCCCTTCCCTGGTTAGAAAGAAGGGGAATCTTCCAGATACTCCCCTACAAAAAGACCCCCCACATTAGCTGCCACATATTAATTAATATTAAGCAGCCTTATGAATCACTCTGACATACCGGATATGTGATCTCTTTAGTTTGCTCCTTTGTGTCTCTGAATGCAAGCTGCACCAATAGCCCCATGGGAGCAAGGAGCTCTCCTTCCATAATGAGTTTGGATCCAGGTCTGCTGACATGTGCGGTGTGGAACAGCTGGCGAGGGGTTTGTCCATATGTTTTTATCATAGTCTCCAGGGCTCTTCGTTGAACTGGATCTTCTACAGCTGACACGTCCATTCCAAAGTATGTCTAAAATGCGAGCCAAATACAAGAATATAATGTTCTATTGAAAAGACAAAAAAAGGGGGGTTCTTGCTGCACAGCCTGATGCATTTAACATCTGCATGTGTTTGAGACATGGATTAGACAAAACTCTCGAGTAATGAATGAATACTAAGCTTAGGTAAAGCATACCAAATCTGCAGACTGACAAGTAATGTTCTTACACAAGATCATAATTTTAAACTAACAAGACAAATGCACTATGGCTGCAGGCCAGCTACTCCTTTGTCAGGCACACTGCCTATTAATGACCCCAAATGGTTGGTGGATGTTTCTTTAGTGGGAGCTGAATTCACACCTTGGCAGAGTAAACTGAGAGTTAGCTGAATACAGGAAGGTCTTTGGGTGCAGGGTCTTTCCCTGAGGACCTGGTGCTGCCTAGTAGGAGTCGAAGAAGCACTAATAAATGGTCAAGGAGATTGCCAAGAAGCTCAAGGAATTCTTTGCATCTATCTTCACAGAGGAAAATATAGGACAATTCCCAATGCCTGAACTAACTTTCACAAGAGGAAGTCGGGGAGTGTCCTGTAACACGTTCTACAAATACAACATCCAGTGATTCTGTACAATAAATAAAAATCGATTTATGGGGGGAAAGGTACTCACAGCAGGGTGAAAGACATTGATAGCTTGAACTGAAGCCTTGCCCTTTTGCTTATACCCAAACACTAAATCAATCCAATGGCAGATTGTCTGGGAAACATGGTCAGACTCCAAAGCTTGACGGTGGATCAGGATAAAAAGTCGGGGATCATTTCGAGCCCAAGGTGGGAGATTCACGTGGTTCACTCTTTCCCCATTCTGACGCACCCCAAAATCAAATCCTATAAATATAAAGCCTTGTTTATAGTAGTTGGCTTGGGTTTGAGTTCCCAATGCAAGTAAATGTTCGCAACCCACTCTTCCCTTCAAGCAGCTCAGAGCTGCCTACACAATGTTCCTCTCCTCCCAATTTTATACTCAACGAAACCCCAACACACCTTCTCTGTTAACCAAAAACTCAGGAAGATAAAAAAATTCTGGAATAAGCTCCTTTACATCAGTCATGGATTCATATGATGAAAGGCGCCAGGTTGTGTTGGTGGAGTGGAAGGTTCTGTCTGGAATGTCAAAACTCTGGTCTGTAAAATGAAGCCAAATTAAACTGATTATACTACAGAAAAGAACACATTGCATGAACTATACATTTATAGAACCCTGTAATAGGGCAAAACAGAACCAAAATGGATTATTTTTTTGGTCATACAATACTATCAAAGCACCAGTATAAAAATTTCCAAAGCTATATAAATGTACTACACATACCAAATTCATAACAGATATTATCATAATAGCCACATTTGGCTAACGAAACAGCGATAAATACAAACAGCTTCCATATAAATGATGAATTAAGTGTATATATGAAAACCTAAAGCAATTCTTACCTTGATAAGCTAAGAACATCTTTGTGAAAGGTGGCATCCTAACCAAGAAATGAAGTACAGTTCCACTATTGGAGTAATGAGATCCATAGTGATAAGGTTGCACAGGGGGCATCGGGTCATCTTCTCTTGCTCCTTTACGGTATTCCTCTTCTAAATACTGCAAAAGGGAGAACATATGGATATAGGTATGCTTCTCCAAAATCCACATGGAAATGGACACGCAGTCCTGTCCCTATGTAAACTACACCAAACTATAATCAATCCATCCACCTGTATCATGAAGGCTCCCTTTGGGTGGTGGGGCAAAGGCTTTATCTACAACCAATTCAGAGGTATCATGCCATTAGGTAAAGGTAAAGGGACCCCTGACTATTAGGTCCAGTCGTGGCCAACTCTGGTTGTTGCAGCGCTCATCTCGCTTTATTGGCTGAGGGAGCCGGTGCACAACCTCCGGGTCATGTGGCCAGCATGACAAAGCCGCTTCTGGCGAACCAGAGGAGCGCATGGAAACGCCGTTTACCTTCCCACCGGAGCGGTACCTATTTATCTACTTGCACTTTGACGTGCTTTCGAACTGCTAGGTTGGCAGGAGCAGGGACCAAGCAACGGGAGCTCACCCTGTCACGGGGATTTGAACCGCTGACCTTCTGATCGGCAAGTCCTAGGCTCTGTAGTTTAACCCACAGCGCCACCCGCGTCCCCTAATCATGCCATTAGGCTTCTGATATTTTAACTATCTGGAATACGCCCCTATCCAGTTAAAAAAAAAACTTTGGGCAAGCTTATAGTAGAAGTACACAGGAAAATGAGAAGAATCCTGCTGGATCAAGTGAAAGGCCCAAATCTGACAGGTGTTTGGGACTATCCACCTTGCCGGTGACACGATAACATGACAAGCATGGGCGAAAGGTATATTTCGCCAGCACATTCCCTACAGAAAGTGTGCTGTTGTTGCAGCAGACAACAAGACTGAACTTTCCACTCAGCAGCTGATGAATTAAGAATTCAATCTTGCTCTCTACAGGGATCTGCAGTGTGTTCCCCTAGGACTAAACTCTGCCATCTTGTTCATCAGCTGAAGTCATGCAGTGATGTCAGCTGATTGACAGATGAGCGTGGTTTGGGGAATATGGTCTTGCGGGCCAAATTGGGCCACCTGGTAGATCGGCCCACAGCCCAGAGGTACCTCAGCCCTTGTTTAGCAGATGAGACACTTGCTAATCTTTTCACATAGGCCAGTATGGGGAGGAATATTGGGTTATGAATGTTTTATTTTCTTTCACTCAGTTGAACTGGAAATGTATGCATATGTTTGCAGAATGAAAAGCAAAGTCAATAGTGTTACATAAAGTTCTCCTTTTATACCAGGCTGGCACTAAGCAATAATGCATTAGATATCTTAATACCTTGTAAGTGTCCACATAACGATCTTCCTTTTCTTTTGATTGTACAGCTATGGGTTTGACCAAATTTCTGAAATTATACAAATATTAGCAGCTTGTCAGTTCCATAAATTACTGATACTTGTTGTAGTTAAGAAACACAACAATGACTACAATGGGTGTTTATTAACAAAAATATATTAATTCTACAGCAGATGGCATATTTAGTAAATTACTTTAAAAGAAACAATTCATGATATTTCTTATTACCTATAAATGGATGGATCATTGAGGTCCAGTGTTTCACTAGTATAGTCGGAAAGTATAAAGGGAAATACTGGATACTGCATAAGATCATTGAAGGAACGGCCTGCATGTTTGTTTAAATGAGTGAGGTATTCAAAATTAGTGATCTGTCCTGTGTACCACAGTTGGGTTAATGCTGTAATGTTGCCATACTTCAAGATGTTAGGGAGGTTGTTTGTTAGGATGTGGTGGTACACATCATCACGTACCTAAAAAGAACCAAAACATCAAGCTTTTACCAAACCACAAATGATCTAGTCTCTTGAAACGTGCAGATTTCAGTTTTATAACATATTCATACGTTTATTTCAGTACTTTAGCTGAATTAACACATGCAAATACCTACATGCATTAATCAAGCATTGCAATGGGAGAGATCTGCCCATGGAAGGCAGCTGGCAGAAGGGGACTTTCCTACCTTCTCCTCTTCTCTCAGACCCTCTGAAAAGAACCCTCTCCCCAAAAGGATTCTGGGACCCTGCTGAATAGAACAATTGCCAGATTTTGTGGAGGCACCTTATGTCCTGCGCACAGACACTGCCTCTATACAATCTCCTCACAACTTCTCCACATCTCTCCACCACTACAGCACATCCTAGTCAGCAGTGTCCGGCGATTATGGGATGGATAGATGATAGATAGATGATAGATAGATAGATAGATAGATAGATAGATAGATAGACAGACAGATAGATAGATAGATAGATAGATAGATAGATAGATAGATAGATAGATATAGATAGATGATAGATAGATAAATAGATAATATTTTATTATTTATACCCTGCCCATCTGGCTGGGTTTTCCCAGCCACTCTGGGCGGCTCCCAACAGAATATTAAAAACACGATAAAACATCAAACATTAAAAACGCCACTAAACAGGGCTGCCTTCAGATGTCTTCTAAACGTCAGATAGTTGTTTATTTCTTTGACATCTGATGGGAGAGCGTTCCACAGGGCGGGAACCACTACCAAGAAGGCCCTCTGCCTGGTTCCCTGTAACCTCACTTCTCGCAGTGAGGGAACCACCAGAAGGCGCTCAGAGATGGACCTCAGTGTCCGAGCTGAATGTTGGGGGTTGAGACGCTCCTTCAGGTATACTGGGCTGAGGCCGTTTAGCGCTCTTTTCAGAGGGGTCAGGGGCTGCTCAGGGAAGGAGGTAATGTTGGGGAAAAGCACTTTCTAGCCAGCCCTCCTGCAGGCAGTTCTCAGGCTCCAGTTCTTGGATATGTATTAGTTTCAACAGTATTTAGGACAATCATACAAGCATAAATGAGTAGGTATCCTCCATTTCAAATGCAAGTCACACTCACATACACAAACTATGCATGCTATTATATGAATGATCACCACTAAGAGGTTTAGTCAGTGACTGCTAGGGCTGGAGACTTTTCAGTGACGCCTGTCCAAAATGTGGACAGAAGTTCTAAGACAGGCTTCCTCTCAGGGTTGTGATTTTTAAAAATAAAAATTATCAGGTCTTTGAATGGCACTGTGGGTTTTCTGATGTACTTTGTTTCTTGGATGGTAATTTAATAGTATTAAATATTTTTGGTTGGTTGAACACTGTTATGAACTTTTGGGGAAAGTGATAACATTTTAATAAGTGTTAAAATATGGAACTCTGCAGAAATAATGTCAAGATTACCCAAAGACTAATCCAATTCATATAAAAAACTACTTTAGTTTGTTTTATGATACAGCAGTATATAAATATTTTTACAAACAAACAAACACACACACACACGTGCGCGCGCGCGCACACACACACACACACACACACACACATATATTATGTATGTACACATTATTCCTGCCATGGTTGGTTGCCCATGCCTTGACTACTGAGAATCTACCAAAGTAACCATTGCTGAAAGCTAATTTAAATGAATACCATTTCTATCAAATTCCAGCTAACAACTCACTAAGCATTTTTAATGAGATTAGGAAAATTCAAAACTAAAATTATTTCCCCTCTTACTAATAAAACAGATTACAGTAATAGATAGCATTGTGATTGACATCCTATCAGATACAATCTGAAAAAACCAACATTCTCAGGTCACTATTCTCTCCTTGCTGAAAAACAAGTTATTTCACCGCTGTAGACAGCTGGATCGAGGCGGGTCGGGGCTGCTGATTCTTCTAGACCTGTCAGCAGCCTTCGACATGGTTGATCACGAACTTCTGGACCACCGCCTTGCCGACGTGGGGATCCAGGGCACAGTCCTTCAATGGCTGCGCTCGTTTCTCTCTGGTCGGGGACAGAGGGTGGCGCTTGGGGGGGAATTGTCATCGCGCCACTCCTTGGTGTGTGGAGTACCTCAGGGTGCGATACTCTCTCCGATGCTTTTCAACATCTTTATGCGCCCCCTCGCCCAGCTTGTTCGGAGTTTTGGGCTGGGTTGTCATCAGTATGCCGATGACACCCAACTCTATCTGTTGATGGATGGCCATCCTGACTCGGCCCCAGACACACTGATCAGATGCTTGGAAGCTGTGGCTGGATGGTTACGTGGGAGCCGGTTGAAGTTAAATCCTTCGAAGACAGAGGTCCTTTGGCTGGGACGGGGCGATATGGGATTGGGGGGCAACTCCCATCTCTTGCGGGGGCGCAATTAGTGCCAGCACCGTCCGTTAAGAGTTTGGGTGTAATCTTCGACACCTCCCTTTCCATGGAGGCGCAGATTGCAGCTATAACAAAGGCGGCATTTTTCCATCTCCGCCAAGCTAAGCAGTTGGCTCCTTACCTCTCTCGACCTGACCTAGCCACTGTGATCCACGCGACGGTCACCTCCAGACTGGATTATTGTAACTCGCTCTACGTGGGGCTGCCCTTGAGACTGACCCAGAAACTCCAGCGGGTGCAGAATGCTGCAGCGAGACTCCTTACGAGGTCTTCGCTGCGAGATCACATTCACCCAGTGCTATACCAGCTGCACTGGCTCCCGGTGGAGTACAGGATCAGGTTTAAGGTGCTGGTTTTAACCTTTAAAGCCCTATATGGCCTAGGACCCTCGTACCTACGGGACCGCCTCTCCTGGTATGCCCCACAGAGAAACTTACGGTCTTCAAATAAAAACATCTTGAAGGTCCCAGGCCACAGAGAAGTTAGGCTGGCTTCAACTAGAGCCAGGGCTTTTTCGGCTGTGGCTCCGATCTGGTGGAACACTCTGCCACAAGAGACCAGGGCCCTGCGGGACTTGACATCCTTCCGCAGGGCCTGCAAGACAGAGCTGTTCCACCAGGCCTTTGGCCAGGGCACAGCCTGACTCCCTCCCTCGGCAATCTTCGCGGAGCTCTGGCCCAATGGTTGCTAGTGGCTTGAATTAATTAATTTTTATAATGAATGATTTTAGAATGTTGTTTATGTTGTACTTTTGTACTGTTTTATTGTTGTTAGCCGCCCTGAGCCCGGCTTCGGCTGGGGAGGGCGGGATATAAATAAAATTTATTATTATTATTATTATTATTATTATTATTATTATTATTATTATTATTTAACGAAGTGATGAAAAATCTGCCTTATTATTCTATTAATAAGCTTATTTTGGTATATACCAATATATATATATATAGGCTGTTCTCAACATTGCTATGCTGTCATGGAAAATATTTACCTTTGTGTTGTCAAAAGCTAATAGCAAAGTTCTGCCATTTGTTAAAAATATTTCTACAGCGTTGTCCCTTAATTGCCACCAACGTTTGTGCACTTCTTTGATTTCTTCAAATGTCCAAGAAAACGATGCTGGTTCGGTTTCACCATGAAAGCTCTGAACAAAGCACAGCATATTAAAGTTATTAGCCTTTTAAAAACCGTGTTCATTTAAAATGCATTTATTTGCCACGCTGATATTTTGTAATCTTTCAGATACTGAGTAATAAACTTTGCAATTGAGTGGCATATAAACACTGTTAATACATACTACATTATCTAAATCTATCATTCTTGATTTCATATTATATTTGACCCAATAAGCATTCAACAAATTCAAGGCCAGCAGGAGCAATTGACCTGGTCAGGCTCCAAGCAAGGGCCCACTGCTATGGGGCTGAACCTACCACCCTATGCCACCACCACTCATGAGCTGCCCTCCTTCCCACCAGGTCACATGCAAACTAATTCCTGTATAAAACACTCAAGTGGAGTTATGAGATGTTGCATGAGAGAAGAAGAGAGCCAGGAGCAACAAGGAAGAACCAGAAGAGCTTGGAAGTGGCTGGTTGTGCCCTATGGCCAGTAGATGCCCAGAAGACAGGGAATCTTCTTGATGGGGCCTCTCTGGTGTTAAGGCAAGCTAGCACTACACCTCCCTTGGCAGGGGATAAGAGGGTGCCTGTGTGTCATGCATAAACAACCATAGGTTGGTTGGTTGCTGTGTGCCTGCATCCTCTTGAGATTCTCATTAGGAATCCCAATGATTCTGGAGAAGATCCTCTTGGCTGCACATTCTGGCCTCCCCAAAACAAAACCTGCTGGGAGGGAAACAAGCTGCACTCTAGAGAGTCTTCAGTGCAGGATTTTGTGTCGTGGTCCATTACCAGTTCCCCTTATGGTGTTTTCACCAGTGCAAGCACTTTGCGGGGAGTCACTGCACATGGGAACCAAATCACTCCCATTAAATGTTCCTGGCCTGCAGTCCCAGCCTCTGGTCTGTAATCCCTTGATGATAATTCCAAAGGACCAAGTATTTACAAGTTTTATTTAAGTTAGATGCTTGAAAATGCAGTCCGATATACATGCCTGCTCAGACCCAATTAGTTTAATGGGACCTGAGTATGTACAGTCGTACTTCAGGTTAAATATGCTTCAGGTTGAATGCTTTTGGGTTGCGCTCTGCGGCAACCCAGAAGTAACGGAATGCGTTACTTCCGGGTTTCGCCGCTCACACATGCGCAGACGGTCAAAATGATGTCACGCGCATGCACGGAAGTGGCGACTTGTGACCCGCACAGACGCACAGGCGCGGATTATGTTCACTTCAGGATGTGAACGGGGATCCAGAACAGATCCCGTTCATATCCAGAGGTACCACTGTATAGGACTGCAGATTAAGTTACATTTCTAAATTACACTGTCTACAATTTTTAAAAAATTGTTTTTCTTTGACAATAGAGTTTTCCCATGTTGGTCAAAACTTGTTTTAGTTTATAGGACTGGGGCCAAGAGGGAGGTGTGTGATTTGAGGAGGGAAGGAAGGGGGCCAATGCTTTTTTTTCTAAAAAAAATGTTTAGCAGTATTCTCATTTTCCTACTCATATTGAAATACTGCCCCTCAATGAGGCCAAACTTAGATGCACAAAATGTTTAGCGGTATGTGTACCCCTGCGTCCCCCCAGAAAAAAACACTGGAGGGGCCAAGGGCTCAAGGGTCCTCAAAATCTTAAGCTGACCCTGAGCAGCTCCGACAGACTTTACATAATGATTGTAAAGAACGATAAATGATCTATTGATAAATCATTTCTGGTACTATAAAGCCTTGGATAGAATTTCCAACCCCTGAAAGGAAAAACAAATATCCTAAAACACTTTCAAGGTTTTCAATACTGTATAAGTTTTGTTTTCTTAAGTTGGGAGGAATGCTTCTGAAATATTTACAAAGTAAATTGCTCACAAAACACATTAAAAATGCATATATCTGAAGTCCTGGGATTTAACACAATCACAGGTTACGGCTAAAATTATGCTAATGAAAAAATCAACTTTAAAAACAAGTCAATTCACTTTTTTACTTACCAAGCTTTCAATTGTATCAGAAGCATTGTCTTCCACAAAATACATTCCGCATTTACCTGCACCATGAAGAACATTTATATGGATTATTTATTCACCCACTTTGTAATATATAACCTTATTTCACTGGAAGTATACTACTGATATCAACGAATTGACATGAAAATAAGTCGACCCTAGATCCTCAGCTATTGAACAGTTTCTAAAAATAAACATGGAGTGAGCTCCAATGTTGGTCAGAGTAGACCCATTGGCCTCAGAATTAGGACCACAGCACGTAAGGAGGAGGGGGCAGCACTCCTATCTGCATTCACTTCCATCATGGTCCTGATGCAAATACCCCATACCCACAAAAAACCATCTATTCAGTCTTGGAATAAAATGTCTATTAACATCAATGGAAGCTTCCTTCCTTGGGATCATAGCAGTAGTGCTGATGAGTTAGCAGGTTCTCTGGGAACTAACAGCAGTTTTCATTGGAACCACAGCAGGAGATAGGTTAAATCCCTCACCTTGTGCACTGTTGTCCAAATCCCGACAGACACACAAGGGGAAAACAGTTATTTATAAGAACCATGCATCTAACATGATGTCTAGCTTGGCCTGAGGAATAATAGCTTTTTCCTGCAAGTTTTCTTTCCAATGTTTCCCAAATTATTAAAAAAAGGTGCTGTTTGCAAAACATTCACTTTAAACAAAGCAACTCAACTGCTTAAGTGTGAGGTTAGAGAAATAATATCTGTTACCTAGTAGCAATTCACCAGGAGTCTCTCTAGATGGTGCCACGTTGATGCATCTTCGATTTACTCTGCAGCGACATACAGGGAATTCACTGGTTTACTGTTACGAACCTCTCCAAAGCATGTCAAAACTACCATTCTCAAATACAATACTTTAGCAACATGGTCAATGTGTTCTGTCAGCTGGATTACCAGTCAAGGTCACTTGCATGATTCCAACTATACGCGGCTGAAAGCTGGCTAGTTGAAATTCCGCAAATTAAATGCAAAGTTTCCCTGGTACAAAAAGAACTTTAAAGCTCTCTGCCTTGCTTGCTGTGCAAGGCCCTCACAGCGCTCCAACTTCAGAAGGCTTGGGATGCTCCCAGGCGGGGCAGTATGAGTGTACACATTTTTATGTGTATACAAAACCCTTGGAGCCGAATCCCCGCATAAGGTGTAACTATACTGTACACCTTCATCAGTCACAGACTGCCTAATTTGATGGGGGGGGAGGGAAAATGGTTCCTGATCACCAGGAACCAATTCTCACTTTGAACAGGAAATCCTGAATCATGCCAATTTTCCTTAGATGAAGGGCAGCATCTAATGAAGCATGGCAATCACTTCTAGCTGCACAACAGAATTTCGCCCCCTCTCCCCCAAATGCCCCCTAATTCTGTTCTTGAGGTTCTCCCAACCCTCTGGAGCATATCTGGGGAAGGCACAGGAAGCACCCAGGGAGAGGAAAGGGAGCAGAAGTTCCCTTGTGCTAACGAAAATCCTTGTGCTACTGGAACTGCTTTCTTGGATACCGTCCAAAGTTTCTTTGTCACTTTTTACGCAGATGGTCTAGCTATGCAAAAGCTTTTTCTCCCCAATTCAAACTAACCTTATATGCTCACTGGCAGCTTTATCTTTTACAGTAGAAGAGTGAGAAGAATGTGTTTTGTCTTCAAAGAGATATGACAGAGGGGGTTTAATAACCTCTATTAAAAAAAAACACAAAACAAAAAATTATTTTTTGCAACATTTAAGAGACGGTAACAGGAACCCCAGAGGATATTAAAGCATACCTTCAAATTTCTGCCTGTCTTTGAGAAGATACTTATTTGGAATAGTTAAGTAGCACCTCTGCAAACGCCGCCTCTCTCTGTTGGGGCCCTCTGTCGGATCTAATTGCCAAGACGTTGGGTAGGAGCTTGGATCATACCAGAGTGCTCTGAAAGAAGAAGCATTTCATCAGGGATTAGGGGCCATCTCTGTCTTAAAACAGTGGTGCAAATTTCAGGAAGTCAAGATCTTCCCAGTGTCACCTTATGCCCAAAAACTCAGTTCTGAAGAGCCTCAAAATATTACCACACATTCAAAAAGTACAGTTAAGCTACTCATAGATAAAAATACACAATCTCTTAAGGTACTGAAAATGGAGGATGGGTATAATTTTGAGAAACTAGGAAATCAATTTGGTTCAGCTTTCAGTGACCTGCAGTAAAATGTGTTTTTATTCCATTAACCCATCCTGATTTTTGAGAGCATGTTAGAAGAAGTCTAAGTTTACTAAGTTTACGTCTTGCATGTATTCTCTATAAGAATAGGAATTTGGTTTGTATCACTCTTTCCTTGAAGATGGTGGTGGGGAACAAGGCAGACACTCATATATTCCTAAACACTTTGCTACTAATTCATTCATCAGTTTTGTACACAGAGAATGGCACAGTTCACATGCAACCCCAAACCATGGTTTTGAACTATGCAAAAAAGCCTTTGCAAGTCCAAGTGAAGTGTCCAAGATGTGCTCTCTATTTCCACTTATTCCTGCACAACCAGGAGGAGAGATGCCGAGATTACTTTAGCACAGCCAAGAATGAAATCTTATAGCAAAAGACACCTTCTTTAGAAGTTAAAAGGCATTAAGTCCTTTATAAACGAGCAAATATTTTTTATATGTATTTCAGATCATTTTCCTTTGAGATAAGAGACGAACACAAGAACAGCCTCTCATATCCTGAAAGGGAGATTGCCACAGTGAAGTTGCTTACCTGTCATGTGTTAGTTGCTGAATAAGTTCCTGCCAGTGCCTGCTAGCACTTAAGTCTGTTTTATACATTCCTCTGATGTGATGAATCACCTTCTTTCTTTCTATTCCTTGGGACAGAGACACAGCCTGGGTGATATCTCCAGCTGCTTTAGAAATGTCCTTCGACTTTGCATCCAGGCGCTGAAAGAGGCTGAATAAGCAAATCAACTTAAAAGGATTATCAGCTGTCTCTGTTTAGTAAGAATAAAATAAGTCCAAATACGGCTAGGAACATGCCCAATTTATGGGTGGATCCAGGCATTCAAGTCTTATTCACTTATATGACAGGAATACTAAACTACTAAACTTGGTAGGAACAGATTATCTGTCAGCACAACAGTAACTATTTCATGTTTCGGAATCCGAGACACAGTACAGTGTAGCTTTAAAAAGTTAGCTTGAAATACTTCTGTTTCAAGTTGGCTTCTGCTGGGACACTGAGAGACCATGCAAGTACTAAGGCCATTCAAGCAGAAGGCAGGGAGTGGAACTTGACATGGCCAAACACATGGGACTGTTGCTACTGGAAATTGTAAGCTTCTGTTGAGTTTGCCACCTCCTCCTATGTGATGTGTCATTAAATAAAATATGACGTGACACTATGCCATGCATTTCCCTTTGTTTCACTATAGAGGCGGTTAGAAGTGGGGAAACACATGGTATGATGCGATCCCATATGTATCTCATTTGATGGCAGTGTTGGAATTTGATAGAAACAAGATTGGTAATGGTGCTGCTTTTGGTGAACTTCACACCTAATGCCATTCTTAATGAAAACAGGAACAACTTACGTTTTCCTATTATTAGCCATAGTCTTCTCCCAAGCAGCTTTGTTTACATCTTCCTCTGCCTCATATTTTTTTTGATCCTGACAAAAAATTGTTAGAAAAAAGATTTAGGGGCTCTTTTCTTTTCAGTTACTTACCAGTATTTTCTTATTTCTTGTATCAATGATTCATTTTAAAGCATTTTATAAGCTTCTCCTTTTTTATTATCTTCAGAAAAATGTTACAGAAATCTCTAGAAAGCAATCTTTTGTGGCACAAAAGCTAGCTCTCTCAACTGTTTCCTCTCAACTGATGTATACATCTCCTAAACAAGGCAAAAATGTGACTTTGTCCCCTAAAGACCATTTCAATGACAATTAGTCAAATGAAGATCAAGAAGAAAAGTGATTGTATAGACCTACGCACCTCTCTCATAGCTTTTATAAGGTCTGGCTTTGGTGGTGCGTTGAGAGGAATATATTTGTAACCACAAAGTTTTAATGCATTCATAAACACTCCCACTGCTAACTGATCTTCATTGGACAGCTGCTCCTTGTGATCGTGCATTAACTCAAATAAGTAGAGAGACAGTTTGGGCCCATGCTGAAAAGCAAAACAAGAATAGTAAGTAATTGGTTTTAAGGTCAATGGATTTCTCGTTCAGTGTTAAGAAGCACCACCATGCTTACTTGCAAAGTTGGACTTAGACAGTCTCGCAAAATTTCCTGGTGGCTGATTTCAGATAGGATCTCCAGAGTTTGCTTTCTCTCCTGTAAAGGGCGTGCTGGAGACAGAGCATGCACAAGCAATCTTCCAAGCTGCACGCGAAATGTATCCTTACATGACAAGAGAATTCTCTTCCACTGTTGCTTCGGGGTACTAGATCTACTTGTGCCCTAAAGAAATAAAAAAAGTTTAGAGAACTTAACCAGATGCTTTTTCCTAATCTGACAAATAAAGCCTCTGTTTGATTTTGCATATAAAACAAAATGCAAGTAACATAATGCACTGTCACTGAAGATTCCACCCCCTCCTGCCATGAATAATGTTTCAGATATATATCCTGTGCTTTTTTTCTTAAAAAAATATTTAGGGGTCCTCTCATTTTCCTACTCATATTGAAATACTGCCCCTCAATGAGGCCAGACTTAGATTCACAAAATGTTTAGGGGTATGTGTACCCTTGTGTATCCCCCCAGAAAAAAAGCACTGTATATATCACATACACAAATGGAGGTAAAAGCCAAAAGCTTTAATAAAAATGGCTTCAATCAGCAAGAACAAATTTTTACAGGATTGGGTTCAAAAACTTTGGAATGTTTTAATACTGTTCAAGCTGCATATCAAATCCACATTCAACAGTTACTAAATAAGATGTACAGTGGTACCTCGCAAGATGAATGCCTCGCAAGACAAAAAACTCGCTAGACGAAAGGTTTTTCCGTTTTCGAGTTGCCTCGCAAGACGAATTTCCCTATGGGCTTGCTTCGCAAGACAAAAACGTCTCGCGACTTTGTTTCCTTTGTCTAAATAATAATTCGCAAGACGAAAAATTCGCTAGACGACAAAACTTGCGGAACGAATTAATTTCGTCTTGCGGGGCACCACTGTAATTATTTAGAAACTTTATGCAAGTTCCAATATCAAACATATTCTGACCCCAAACTGAAATACGCATGCACCCTAAGAGATAATTTTGGCTTACAGGTTAAAAGAGGACTGAGAAAATAAAGGGGGAAAACAAACTGTAAGACTTGTATATCCAGAATACATGAAGGGGGATTGAGGTAGTGGAGACAACAGGCTGCAGGAGATAACACCAAGCGTGGTAACTTACAACAGATAATCCAATTCCTTCGATCATTATCTTCAAAATTTCTTTCAAGAAAGCAAATTTAAGGCTAGGTTGCTCTGGTTGATCCTCCTTTTCTGCCTCTTCCATCTGTGAAACTGAAAGTCTGCTCTGCACTGGGTCCTCCATTATGTCCAGCATATCAAGGCAGTTTTCAGAAAACTCTGTAATTTTGAAAAAACATTGTTAGGTCAGTGTTAAAAATCAGATGATTCCAATCCGGAGCCACGTTCATCCTTTTTTAAGCAACACAAGTAATATCCACTATAATGTGTATAAAAATAAATTTATTCAAACCTGTATTCGGCTGAATTGTGCTGTAAGTTGGGGAAAATCTTGTTACTGCATCTCTCAATGTGGGCTATTGCATTTTTCATGAATTTTAGAGTTTTGTAAGTCACCTTACTAGGATAGTGCGCTCAGAGAGGTGGCTTAAGAACTCTTTTAAATAATACTGCAGCAAATGACCTTGAGTTGTATCCAACAATGTCAAAGTAGATCCACTGAAATCAATGGATTTCATCAACATTGATTTCAATGGGTCTACTCCATACTGACTTCATATATTTCCCCACATTCTTATTAGCTAATTTGTTTAATTCTACATCCTGAAAGTGTGGCCATTTCGTAAAACTCCGTGCAACAATTCCAATCTTACTTCTGTCTAAAAACAAATGTTAATGCTTCTCATGTAAGCCAAGCAAGCCAGAAATGGAAATGCCCTTTTCAGTTTGGCAAAACCAATGCTATGTCCTAGTGGATTGCAAAGATTCAATTAAGGAAGTTGATAATATAGCTACTGGTAAATGGGATGAGTTTTAAGGTTGTTGTTGTTACTACCCCACCCATTTAACATTAAAAACAACCTGATAATTTTTGAAGGAGTATTATTACCTTGATACATGAACCTGTTGGTTGACAGAACAGTAATTCTCTGTAACCTCTGTGTAAGCTCTGCTTCGGTGGCACAAACAGGGTTGTCATGACTCATTCTTCGCTGCATCATCAAATTGAGTTCATCGCTTGCAATTGTGCGCATTCTCATTAGCAATGTGTCTGACTGAGCAAGAGAAAATTTTCTAGCTGCTTCAAAATGAAAAAGAAATATCAACAGAAAAAGAAACATCAATAAAAGAGCTATTGATTAAGAGCCCCAGCGCTACTGATAAAGACTCTAGTGGTGATCAAAAGGAGGGAAACTTTCAATATTCTTAGGAAAGGAGCACAAATGTTAGACGATTCATCAATGTGAACTAAAAGGGGGGTGGGGGGAATCAGCCAGGCTAAGTGTCAAAACAGCTTCAAGAAATCTAGCTGATTTACATATCATCAAAACATTTTTGATGACACGATGCTCTAAATCTAATTCTGCAAAAGCATTTCCTGAGAAATGTTTTTTCAGAATGAGCTGGTAGGCACAGCTACCATTACTGCACCTGTATCTGTAGGGAACGAACAGAAAGCAGTTCCAAAAGGGGACAGGAGAGACGACTCCAAATTTAACAGACTGAAGGAGGAAGGCATCTCAAGTTGACCATAAGAAAGGAAATGTTGTCTTGGTAGATGAGGAATAATGGAGTCTTTCATTGCAATTGAACCTTTGTTTTAAACAAAAAATATCAGTTTTATGTGACTAATCTGAAGTATATACATACTGCAAAGTCCTTTTACAACAAAATAAAATAAAATAAAATCAGAGTTCAAAGAGAGTCTAGAAACAGGAAAAGTTGAACTGGCACTCCAGTTCTAAAAATGGCAGTAGGCTATTGGGCTAATTTCCCAACTAGGTGAATTGATGGAGATCAAATGTGCCCAAGGATATGTCTACACTAGCTGTTTTCTGAACTCATAACTAAATAATGATGACCAGGTGCAGTCTAGGGATGGAGAGTATGTCCATTTTGGATTCTCACAGCTTTCCATTTTTCTAACCTTAGCATTCGAATCAAGTCCTCGTGAAAAATTGTTATCATCTGGGTGCTCATTTTTCCTAGCATACGTATTTTTGCAAACAACCTTCCCTAATATAATGCACTTTTGTTAAGTCGTTTTTGCACTCGGGTGCATTTTAATGTACACTTTTCCCTAATACATGCATCTTTGTACACATTTTTTGCTGTACAACTGCATTACAAAATTTAGAGACGCACAAAAGGAAGGCTTGCGTATTGTTTCAGGAAGGGGAAATTTGGTACACTTTCATGAGAACTGAACAGGATTTCTCCACTATCTTTAGTCGGTACCCCATCCTGATTCCTTTCTCTGATCAATGCTCCTCTTCCAGTTTGTGCTGTTTTTATGCAGTCCCAAAAAGTCTGCCTCTCCCTAGCCGGTGTCCTGCTGGTCCTCCTCTATATGAAAGGGCACCCAATTATCTGTGCACACATGCAATGTTGTCATTTAACTGAACTGGTTCTAAATTGTATGTCCCAATCCTGCTTTGCAAAGTCCCCGATAACAACATTCACTCATGGGAAACTTTAACATTTTAAAAGAACATCTCCACAATGGGATAGGTTTCACAGCAAATTATGATCAGGGATTTCTAATTTCAAAGAAAAAAGAAAAAGAAACAACTTGTGCTGAATTTCATTACTCACCAGCGATGCTCTGACGTTTTTGCAATACAGCCTGCTGATGTGAAGGAATTAATTGGGACGAATTGCTTAGATCTTCTGAGTCTTGATTTGCTGCGGTTTTTATGAACTCAATGCCTGCTTGTAGGACTCTGAACTGCAAAGCAATGGCCATATCTGAAAGGAAGAGATCAAAGGAACAAGCATTTCTTCAAACTGTGCAATTGTTAAAATAAATAAAAAAGTTACTTTTCAGTACATTCACACAAAGGAACTTGTGACATACTCTGTGTTCTTTCGTTCTTGCTGTTCTGAAGATGTCCAAGTAACACCATGAGATCTTCAATAATCCGAAAATACTGGGAACCTGAAGAGCTGCAGGCATGTATTGTCACCGCTACAAGTAACTGCTGTATATCACACACAAGTAACCTGTAGTCGTTTGAGATGCTGCTGCAAAGGAAGTTAAATCGTTCACTTGAATTCCATTATTTTTATAAGAAGGACACACATATTCAGTGCCAACTAACCTGTATCTCCCCTAATCCCATTATTTGCTTGGCAATTTCTGACCTTCCCATCCAATACTTAATTTATACATCTAACTAAGAACCGTAAGCTTTGTAGGAAATGTCCATCGAAAGATGTTCATCCTGTACAATGACCAGCACATTCTAAACAAATGTTTATAACAGCATGCAAAGCTTAAAAAGTTGAATACAGGAAACCCTATATCAGGGGTCAGCAAACTTTTTCAACAGGAGGCCAGTCAACTGTCCCTCAGACCTTGTGGGGGGGCAGACTATATTCTGGAAAAAAGAATATGAACAAATTCCTATGCCCCACAAATAACCCAGAGATGCATTTTAAATAAAAGGACACATTCTGCTCATGTAAAAACACGCTGATTCCCAGACCGTCTGCAGGCTGGATTTAGAAGGCGATTGGGCCGGAACCGGCCCCCGGGCCTTAGCTTGCCTACTCATGCCCTATAAGAAGGACTTGTTATGCTAAGATAATAAGCACTCTCTTTGGCAACAGAATTTATTAGACCCATTACTAATTTAAGAATGGAAATGTGCTCTCCTGTCACTTGCTTACTGCTTCTTGGGACAAGACTGCCTGCTACTTGAACAAAAACTAGAGCAATCTATACAGTGTAGGAATTCTAAAATAGTAGGGACTAATCCATCACTTACTTGGCTTCTAACCCGTTGAGAGCTGCCAAAGTATTGCACAGTGCATATAGCAAGCCATTATCTAGCAGCATGTCTGCCATTTTAGAACAGGAGTTTATGATTTGCATCAGGAAACAGAGGGAGTTATGCAGCAGGATGCTATCGTAGAGGGAGTTCTCTATAAGCCCCAGAACAGGTATCACACACCACTTTTGAAAAAGTCCAGCACCTTTCACATCTTCTAAATCAAAGCTGTTAAAGGGAGGAAAAGGCAATCTGTAATGCAGCTTTAAATATGCAACAAAAATAACATCAACCCACATCTTATTGACCTTTCTGTGTTAGGCTATTAGAAGCAAGATGGAACTTGGATTTACAAATTCGTATGTGGTTAATTCAGTCATAATAAGGTATGTGGATGAAATCAAACCTCTGGCACTGAATAGCATCATGATTTGACACACAGCACTATCCTAAGTACTTAATTTGCTAGCCTAACAAGTCCTGGGATTTAATAATAAGAGATAACAAATTCAATTCAGCTTCTGTATTACAGGACAGAGAAAAATCACATTAGTAGAAAAACTAAAAATCTTATTGGCTATGATAAACCCTACTGGCTGTGATAAATCATTCTGTTGCTGGCACCATCATGAACACAAAGGCAGGAAAATCTTTGCTATAAATAAAATAACTTGGCCACAAACAGAGACTTTGATACACTGCAGGGATTAGCAGTGAAACAATTAGATCAGGGGTGAAAAACCTGCTCTCCTTTCCTTTCCTTTCTTTTCCTTTCCAACACCAATAGACTCTCACTAGTAGAACTAAACCCTTGGGGTCCCTTCCAACTCTACAATTCTGTGATTCTCCTGGAGCCTGCCTACACACACACACACACACACACACACACACACACACCTTGCCCAGGGTATCTTTAAAATTGGGAGAAACCCTGGAGAAGATTTTGCCCATGCAAAGGGGGAGAAGAGGAAATTAAAGAGCTGTTTCACCAATGGAACACTATTAGTGCTGCTTTGGATACAACCAAATGAGCCTAATCTGGCCAAATACAACACACAGTACAAAAGAAGGAGTGTATATTTCACAAAACAAAATAAGGGTTGATGAAATGGTTTTCTTTGAGGTGCGCTAATGGAACTGGAGTTCTTATGAACTGTTTATAGCATAAATTGATTTATTCTGAGTAGGCCTTTGCAGGGAAATGAAGGCACTTGGCAAGCAATTTATATTTGCCTACAGCATACTGCCCAATTTTTAGCTCAGCTAAAAATAAGTTAATCTATAGAGGATAAAAAAGTATTAGTTACTCTTCATCAAGACCGACTGATCGACCAAACAGCATTTCCATGAAGCATTCCATAAGTTCTTGAGTGCCTTGGTGAAGATATAACTGGTTAGCTAACAAAGAGAAACCACGATTCTTCAGGAACTTCTCCTTTTGTTCCCTGGTTGCTCTGCTGAAATACGTGTCCAAAAGCTGAGGGAACAGAAGAATGATTTTAAGTTATTCATTATGAAATTCCTTTTCTAAAACTATTTAAGGTAGCAATCATGCCATTGCTTGTGGCAGTGAAGTCCATATACACATTTAATATAATTATACTTAATATATATTGTACTTATTTCCCACTCTTGCATGTTAATTCTGGTGGTTTCCCATTCAGAGAATAGAAGATATATACCGTATATAAAACAATGCTTAGGGCCGGATTTAGGTTTAATGAGGCCCTAAGCTACTGAAGGTAATGGGGCCCTTTATATGTCCAGCTGTCCTTTGTCAACAACAATTTGTCACTGTTTCTTGTGTTGAATATATGGTAATTTATAGACCTAATAGGTATCTAAAGCCATTTGCACATAACAAATAGGAGCCTACACAACACAAAACACTGTTGCTGTATGTGGATTTTATTTTTTATCTTATATTTTGGAAATGTACTTCCAGCGGTTTGTTTTTTTTACTTTAAATTTTTTGGGGGGGCCCAAGAGAGTGGGGCCCTAAGCTATAGCTTGTTTAGCTTATGCATAAATCTGGCATGGACAATGCTGCATGATCGTGTGCTTCTAGGCCATTCACTGGCATTCATTCATTAAATAAACTACTTTTTTATACCATATTCTAAACCTACAGCTAGTCAACTTCATTGGGTGTCCCCTATTTTTAGTATTATGGTAGTGGGAGTGAGAGAAGATGTTCAGGAAAGGTCCCTAGTTACAACTTTGATTGTGACCCATGAGATTGCTTAAGCAGTTTAATAAGGCTGCAAATGTGTATATTACACTTTTACACAAACACAAACAAACACATATTTTTCCTACTTTAATAACTCCTTGTTGTATGAGAGGAGACGGATGGTTCACAAGAACTATGAGAACATCTGGCTGAATAAGCTTGTCCATCACATCTTGAAGCATGACATCTGGCAAGATCAAAAGTACTCTCCTCAAGAGCTGATAAAAACCACAGCATACGAGTACGAGACAGTCTTCTGTTGATCTGATCGGAAGAAGAGAGTTTATTACTAAGATGCCCTTTGTATTTATTGCTGCACAGTAGTAGAAGATTGCAGCCATTGCCAGAATGAGTGGGGGCTGGAATGTAACAAGAAGAATGGTAATCTGCTTGCTTCTGACTCAACTGCACCATGTCTTACACCCAGTAGAAGTAAATGAATCTCTTTAATAGAAAGTTATCTTAATAGCTCCACTCTTTATATAAAACTCTACAGCATGAGTCCTATCCAAAAGGAAAGTTCCAACATGTAATTCATGAACACAATCACATAGAGAATTGTGTCTTGTGAAGGGGCACAAGTTACCAGACAAACTGTGGTTGCTGAAAACACCACTACAGTAGAATAAAATAATCCAGGTCGCATGCATGCATGCATATAAATAAATAGTATTTTTCTCTGTGTTACTGCATATTAGGCATTTATTGTGTCCCTAGGGTCCTGCAAAATAGGTCCATTTCACACATATATAAAAAAGGCCATTCTTATGCATCCCCTGCTGCAATTCTGTGATCCCAAACGGCTTTTGTGACCTTCTCAAACTTGTCCTTTTAAAAAAAAAGAGGCCATAGCAATTTCTACACTTTGCCCATGCCTACTTGCCATGAACCCAAGGGTTGATCATGGATCCATGCAGCCCCTCAGTTCCAAAAAGGTTAACCACTCTTGTTCTAAGGCAGTTGTGGGGAACAGTTTGGCTCTCCAGCTGCTGCTGAACTACAACTCCCATCAGCCCCAGCAAGCATGGTCAATGGCCAGGGATAATGGGAGCTGTAGTTCAGCAACATCTGGAGGACCTGAGGTTGCCCACCTCTGTTCTGAGGGATGATTCACCTAATATTTTGGGGCTACTTTTGTCCACAAAATCAGCCAAGCAAAGTTCAGTTCTTGCCAAGTGAAAACTGCACGAACATTAGAATTATAAACTTTCACATCCACGTACCTATCAGCAGTGCTTTCGGATTTCAGAGGAGCCTGTTTGCTAGTCGAGGAAAAGGCGAGATGTTCCCAGTCTTCCGAAGCTACACTCTTATCAGCCAGGCTTGGCCAACGAGCAATGGTGGATCCACTATGAGCTGAAAAGGCTAATCCCAAACCTGCAAAGTTGCCATGACTTTTCTGAAAGGTAGACAACCCTTTCAGATTGTCAGGACGCCTCAGGGACAATGCGGGTCCAGCGCCATCTTCACTAGATTTCATTCCTGTGTTTGCTTCTTGGTTCTCTGAAGGCTTGTCCAACATTTCCACCTCTTCCTTTGAAATATCAAACGTCTCAGCAGAAGTCAACTCTCCCACGTTTACAACTGTTTTTGCAGATTCGCAGCTACTGAGTAAATGCGCCTCCTGCATCATTTTAAAGACCTCCAAGCTCTTTACCAAATTATTTTTATGCAGTAGCTCATCTACGTCAGTCTTTTGAAGTAGATTCAAGTTCTCAGCACTGCTGCCCATGTTCCCACAGAACCCTTTTCGGTGCATTTGTGGAGAGGAAGTAAGAGATGTTGGTAGGCTTTTACACCGCCGGTCAGGTGCCTGAGGAACCGCTGTCTGTAGTTCACTGATTTCAGAAGAATCATTTCCTGAGAAAACAAATATGGCAAGTGCTAGTCTCAATTTTTTTTTACATCAATCCTTAATGAAAATATTACAGTGGAACCTTGGTTCTCCAACTTAATCTGTTCTGGGAGTCCATTCAACTCCCAAAACGGTTTGAGAACCAAGGTGCAGCTTCCAATTGGCTGCAGAAAGCTCCTACAGCCAATCAGAAGCCGCGGAAGCCATGCTGGGCATTCGGCTTCCAAAAAAGGTTTCAGGGTCAATGGCTACTAGAAGCTGGAGGTAGCAAAGCTTCCGAACACCAGTTGCTGAAAATCATGGGAGAGGAGAGAGCTCTTGTTTTCATGTACTGGTCCCTGGTTTCCCACATGTATCTGGTTGGCCACTGTGAGAACAGGATGCTGGACTAGATGGACCACTGGCTTGGTCCACCAGGTTCTTCTTATGTTCTTAAGGTCCACAAAGTGCTTCTGGAGAAAACCTAATACTGTTCTTCGCCCATTATTTAAGTTCACTCACACTCATTCATCTTTACTGTCTTCCTTGTCAACAACCAACTCCTCTCTTAACGCTACTCTAGGGAAGAAATTTCACCAGCACTTTCCCACCTAATTTAACTGAAATTAACATGCCCACTGAACAAAAGTGGCCTGCCTTGTTAGTAGTAGTTACATGTTCTGCCTGTTCTGGTGTTCAGAAACTTTGCTACCTCCAGCTACTAGTTTGTAAATTAAATATTATTTTTGTATAATATAAGCAGTATGCCACTGTTTTGAAGGTTGGTAATGTACTATTACTTGCTGCTGATAAACTGAAGGTGGAAACTTATTTGGTATCTTATAAATATGTTTTCACATTGCTATGTATTTGCATCAATGCCAAAGGGACTAAAAGGGAGTGCTTAAGTTTTCCTTGCCACTGTTTCTCCAGTCGAAACACACATTTTTTCACTAGCATGGTCTGAAACACAAGTAATCAGGGATTTTGAACTTTGGGTGGGGACATCTACACTGGGGGTGAGAGACTTGTGTCCCTAAAGCAGAGGCTCTAAAGCATAATAAGTCAGGACCTTTATGTAGAAAGGACTATATTTCATAACAGTTACCTACAGCAAGCTACTGGAGAACATCCATTTCTTGAAAAAGTTTCCTGCTGCATTATAATTAATGTCAGCTAAATATAGGCTGTTAATTGGTTTCGCACACAAAGTGTTCATACAGCATTTTATATCATGCCTCCAAAGTAAAACGGATGTCACACATGTCTTCTGAGTCATGCTTCAGTACACAAGGCAAGCAGAGCACCAGGACTTGTAGGAAATACTTCAGAAGTCCTAAATACAGAATGTTCCAGGACTACACTGGTCTTGGGCATAGAATATCTGTGTAATTTGACATTTCTGTGGCTGTTTATGGTGTGAAGGCTGCCATAAACAGATTTGCCCAGCAAACTTCCCACCAGACGTCAGCAGAGCTGAAACACAGTCGGCAGTGAAGCAAGCGGAATTGGCCCTGAGTCTTGATTGATCAGCAACACAAGATTGTTCTAGGTAGATTAAGTGTAGGTTGCTGTATACAGAGACCATTGTGGGTCCCCACAGCAGCAGATCTGCTTGCATCCTCTCAGTAGACCAAAACCAAAACTCTCAGTTGCTCACATAATGCCATGCGCATGTGCATGATTTCACTTTCTTATCTTGCAGCTGTGTAAACAATCCAGCTTCACAGCCAGAGCTTCGCATTACATACAGAAACTCACAGAGACAGCTTTCTGAAAACGAATGACCAATACCCCCAAACAATTTCCGCACTGAAGAGAGAAATGGAAGTGGAAGATCTTATCCCAATATCTTCCAAATTGGACATGCACACTCACTACACTTTTGGAAATGCACACGCTTCGTTAATCGCCATGGGTGGTATGCAATTAAGTTTTACTGAGAGTAGATCTACTGAAATTAATGGCCCTAATTTGTGTTGATTAATTTCAGTGGGTCCACTCTAAGTAAAATGTAGCTGAATATCGCCCCTTGCTTTCAATTTAATCTATTTTTTTCAAAGCGTTAAATATCAGACACCCTTATATTAATGTTAGAAGTTCCTACATCTCTGTTAGGAAAACATTCTTTAAGAAACAGATAAAAAGTTCCTGGAAGCTTTAAAGAGGGTTCTGGAATTTTTTTAGTGTGTAGGAGTGGCACTCTAGGCTTATATAATAATAATAATTTATTATTTATACCCCGCCCATCTGGCTGGGTTTCCCCAGCCACTCTGGGTGGCTTCCAACAAAACACTAAAATACAATAACCTATTAAACATTAAAAGCTTCCCTAAACAGGGCTGCCTTTAGATGTCTTCTAAAAGTTTGGTAGTTATTTTTCTCTTTGACATCTGGTGGGAGGGCGTTCCACAGGGCGGGTGCCACTACCGAGAAGGCCCTCTGCCTGGTTCCCTGTAACTTGGCTTCTCGCAGCGAGGGAACCGCCAGAAGGCCCTCGGCGCTGGACCTCAGTGTCCGGGCAGAACGATGGATTGATTGGTGTCAGCTGGATGTGCAAATAAAGGGAGGAAATTGCAGGCTGCAATTTCCACACGAGGAAAGCACACACACACGCTGTCAGCACGCACGCTGACAACAAGGTTGGAAGTAAGACAATGTGTGCTGCTGATACGGTGAGTTTTGCTGTGTCAGGATTGTTAATTACTGGACTGAGATTATACCGTGCTGGAGAGATAAAGGAATGTAAACAGCTTGTATGTAATAGTAACAGAAATGCTTGTGCAACCAGTCAAGCAATAAAGAAGCTCTTGACTGTGAATTTAAGTATGACTCCTGTTCTTGTCCTCTGCCTCTGGGGAAAACTCTGCTACATACAGTAAGAAGTGGTTTTATTGAGGTGCTACCACACAAGCAGTAAAGCACAGCGGAAGTGTGTTGGTGGTAACCTCTAATAATCTCCTGTAAGCTGTTCTCATGTCCACCAGGCACCAAACATTAGCAAGAGCTTTGCCACCAATTCTGCCAAGGCTGGATTCACATACCATTAGGCAGGTCAGCTGCACCACTAGAAAGTCTGCAATGTGCAGCCTGCTCCAGCCTTCTCTCCTAAGGCAAGGCAGGAACAGTGTATCTACTTCACCACCAGCCTGAATCACTCCCTTTAAGCTTCTATGCTGCATTTCTCACTTCACTGTAACTTGGGAAGCTCAGGTCTTGTGGCAATTACTTACTTTCTTGACAAACAGCTGAAAATCCAGTTGGACTTGTAATTGCCAGTGCTGGGCTGTCAATAGATTTTCCGCCACTGCTGGAATTCCTCAAATACATAATGGATTGGACCTTCTCTTGGAAAATGTTGCCATCTAGAAAAAGCAAACAAGGGAATTTAACATCTCAGAAGATTTCATTCCTTGCACAGAATTTAAGTGGAGACATTGAACTATGCTAAGTCTTGACCAGTAATGTGATTCATCGGAGCCACTCTGAACAAACATATTAGAGGGTGTTGCCAAAGATGCAGTGTAATCCTGCGTGTATTTATTCATAAGTACATCTTACCAAGCTCAACGACACACTCTACAAACCTACAGAATTTACTCTTCTTTAAAAAAAAAAAAATTTTGAAAAGTTTTTATTGTTAAAATAATTCAGCATTAATACACATATATTGCAAATATAAAAGGTAAAGGTAAAGGTACCCCTGCCCACACGGGCCAGTCTTGACAGACTCTAGGGTTGTGCGCTCATCTCACTCTAGAGGCCGGGAGCCAGTGCTGTCCGCAGACACTTCCGGGTCACATGGCCAGCGTGACGAAGCTACTCTGGTGAGCCAGAGCCGCACACGGAAACGCCGTTTACCTTCCCGCTAGTAAGCGGTCCCTATTTATCTACTTGCACCCAGGGGTGCTTTCGAACTGCTAGGTTGGCAGGCGCTGGGACCGAGCAGCGGGAGCGCACCCCGCAGCGGGGATTTGAACTGCCGATCATGCGATCGGCAAGTCCTAGGCGCTGAGGTTTTACCCACAGCGCCACCCGCGTCCCATTGATTGCAAATATACAAGCATACAAACATACATTTCATACAATCCTTAAAAGTGTTCAAACATACCTACACTCAATCCCACAGATAATTCCTTTTCCCATCACCATCCACCACCCCTCACCCACCTTTGTCTTAGACTTCCAATCTACTCAATTGCAATTTCTTTCCACTTCTATTACTTTCTTTCACACACCTTTAACTAATTTCATACTTCTTTTTCTATTACACATTGTTATCCATCTTATTTAGTATTTCAGTATTTGAACGGAACTTGTTTATTCTAATAGGAGTTCTGATTTTTCGATATGGGTTTTGCAAGTATCTTTTAAACACCTTCCAGTCCTTCCTGGAAGGAGAATTGACTCTTCAGTGTCTGTACATGCAACAAAGACCTTCGGCTTTAATTCTAATCAGGCTAGTGAACGTTTATGAGCAAGATACTGATAAAGTACAACCTTGTTTGTGAAACAGCTAGTATCCAAGGTTCCAATGCACAGAGCAACTTTGAATAAGTCACTTTTTAAGGCCTCAAATCCTTTATCCCTAAAATCAGAAGATTTATTTTGCAGGTACAATGGTACCTCGGAAGTCGAACGGAATCCGTTCTGGAAGTCCATTCGACTTCCAAAATGTTCAGAAACCAAGGCGTGGCATCCTGCAGCCAATCGGATGCCACGTCGGATGTTTGGGTTCCAAAGAATGTTCGCAAACCGGAAACACTCACTTCCAGGTTTGCAGTGTTCGGGAGCCAAAATGTTTGACTCTCAAGGTGTTCGGGATCCAAGGTGCAACTGTATTAGCTTTTTACAAATATGTCAAATATGTTGAACATCAAGCTCTGAATTCAATACAATAGGGCTGAGAGACTAAAAATCTGCTATCATAAACCAATCAGAATGCAAGTATGAATATAATCTGGGGAAACAAATCAAGAGTAGAAGCTATAAAACTAAGGGGGCAGGGATTGAAAAAAGGTAAGCTGCTATGTTTCTGTGGTATTAATATAGTTAGTTTCTTATTTTCTGATTCAGGTCAAAACAATACTTTACCTATGTGCAGGGAAAAGTAGAAGTCTCTGGGATTGTGGCACACATATGTATTAGTAGGAGGGTGAACTGCTAAAAGGAAATTGAAGATCAGTGCCAGCAATTGCAGATCTGGGGGAGAACCAAGTACTTCTTCAATTATTTTCACAAATGATGTGCAAACTTCTGTAGGCATAGATGTGAAGTTTTCTTCTTCTTGCTCCTAAGAGAGAAACAAAGAGAAAAACAAACAGAGTCCTACAAAACCACAATTTCCTTCTGTGTACTGTTCAAGGATATATATCTGACGAAACTGTATTCCTTTGTTTTACCTGTACTCACACTTCTAGGATACATGCATGTATAGCAGAAGGCATGTTACAGTATTATATACAGCTGCTATTTATAACCTTTTCCAAGGAATGGTCAGAAAACTCCCTGCTGGCAATGGTTTATCTCTTTCAAAACAGGTGATTGAATCAGATCCATTGGCCCCTTCAAAATCTAGAATTTTTAGAAGTATCTGAAAGGTAATTACTCTGGGATGCCAATTCTCAACACTTAAGGTTTAGGATCAATTGACAATGTTACAAGCATGGTCCTGTAAACACTGGCAGCACTAAGGTCCACCCTAACTTGTGCGCGTGTGTGATCCAGTGGAAACTTGCTATCAAGCAATTTTGAAACCTAATGTAATGTGTATCTACTATCTCAGATACAGCTATCATCTGCATTAACTGGCATCTGTGGCGAATATTCCAATGAGGCATGAGGGACCTACAGACCAGGAAAGATAGAAGCGCATACTTTTTGTGGTGCAAGGTCATCTCAAGTCCTGTTCAGATATACTTTAAAGGAGCAACATGAGTAGAAAAAGGCTGTGGGGCTATGTACCTGTACCCCCCCTCCCCTAATCATCACATAGCTCTGCTGGCTTCCACATGTTCTAGTGTAACTTCTACAGCAGGAGAGCCTTTTCTAATTATGAAGGTTCCCCATTTGATTAAGCACTCTGGAGTACTGGGGTTCTAAGTAGCACAGGAAGACTGCACTGGTAGAAAGGGCTATCTGTTGCAAATGTTACACCAGAACACCAGCAAAAGCTGCCTGATATCAGGGGTGGAGGTTATAACAGTTAAATAGGACTTATGGCATTTGCAGATCTAACTAAAATCATCATAAATCAGTTAGTGGCATCAGTGGAAGTTGGGAAAGCCGAACAGCTTGCACTATTCAACAGTTTCTGTTTCTGTTCAAAATCATCACTATATGTAATATCTTTATTAATAGGGCTGGAGAAAGAGGGGGAGTGTGAGTCAGATGCTGTGAACCATCATGTACATGTTCACTCCTACAGACAAGAACCTGAAACATTCAAAACAAAGGTTGTGGTGCCTTACCTGCAGAACCTGGCATGTGAGAAGGAAGTGATGCACAACTTGAGCTTTGAGGAGCTGCTTAATGTTAAACGTCTGCTGCCAATGATCATCATGGATAAGGACTTCCAGAGCTGATAAGAGTGTTTCCCAAACACCTGGCTGCAAAAAGAGAAGTAGTCTTAGGCACACAAAAAATCAAAATGAAGTTAGAAGCAAGTTGCCATCAAAAGTGTATTGGCAATGCTGGGAGAATAAAAAAAAACTGTAGCCAGCAAGGCAACCCAAAACTTCAGAAATCTAGATTGTTAGTGGGATGTCAATGAAAAACATCCTGTGCGCTTAGCATAACAGTGGTCACAAATGAATGCAGGACTTACATTTTACATCTAGGCAGCAGCAACATATTTGTTAGGCTTCCGTCTAAAGTACTATTAGCACCAGTCCAACATTTGGACCTGAATTCAGACCTGAAAATGATTGTGAATCGGAAGTTTGCATATGCTCCTGCTGAGGCTGTTTTTTGTGGTCAAACTTGTGTAATAACCATTAAGAATTATGAAGATTGTTCAGGGAGGATGGGGCTTTTCTGCTCTTTTAACTATTTCCTAAACACAGGTACAGGTGACAACTGCATCTTCTGCCTCCTGCCCCAGTTCTCTTCACAAAGCAGGGAGGATATATTGCAGAATGTTTACCTTCTCCAACGTGCTCTTAAAATCCTTGGTTATAGATATATTGATACTGGTATACCAATGAAAGCATTTACACAACGAATACAGATTTGTTTTAATACCACTGGAGAAATTTCACCAAGGAAAAAGTTTGCCAGGGAAACCATGAAGACAATAGGTAACTGACCTGCCTATACAGGCATCCATTCCCAGCAGGGCACCTTTGAGCACTATGGCACCTCCCAAGCCCCAAAACCCCTCTACATTTTTTTCTTAAAATTGAGAGGACCCTGAAGTTTAGCTGGAACGGTATTTTGGGGTGTTTGGAGGTGCCCACTTTGCAGGAGGGCTCTGAGCACTGCCATTTTTTTCTACTGTAAAATGGGTATTTTGTGGTGCTCCTGAGTATCAATTCAAATGTACCCTTGGGTCCCTAAAAGGTTGAGATCCCCTACGTGAATTAAAAAGCAAATCCTTTCTATATATCAGAAGACAGGCCAACTGCTTGTTCTGCACAGGGCTGCACACCCTCTAAAGGAGAAAATGCATAGCTTGGGGGTATTCTTGGATATATCTAGGTCATTAGAGGTCCAAGGGACCTTGGAAACCACGTCACATTTTCTAGGGGGAATAAAGAGATATTAAATTCTGGTAACAACCATATTTTAACTTTGTGGAGCAGTCATGTTCTGATCTGTGCAAATCACCTGGGCTTTAGACCATATCTTCCAATCAAGTAGCAGCTCTTCCAACAGCTTGACATCTTGAATCACCGCTCTAGACTCTACATCTAGTATGAACTGCCCATTTTCATTCAGATGAATCATCTTCTCACTGCAGCATCCTGCAAGGAGAGTCTTGCAGAGGGATAGCAAAAAGATTCAGTTTTGTGAAGTTATGAACCAGAAGTGAATGTGAAAAGTAGACTAACGATTTTGCCAAGATCAGTCAATGCAAAGAGAAGGTTTCAGCAGAGCACCTTACCTGCAAAATATGAAATCCAACAATACATTTGGGCTTTATTAACACCTGATGAATCATGGAATAACCATTGCAGTTTTCTAACTCATGTATTCTCTGCTGATTGTGTTTGGTTAAGGCAAGGATAACTTTCAGAGCTAAAGCTTGGGTTTCTTCACAGTCGCTGATTTCCACAACCTAAAAATAAGCCAATATGCCGCTTAAGTAATAAAGCATGTCTGACAGAGTGTTACTTCAGTGTTACTTGTCCTGCCCCACATGGATTATCTTGTTACAGGTATCATGGAGGAGCTATTTCATCTGCAAGCTCTTGGTCTCTACTGGTGGCACATTTTAGGCCTTTATTGCAGGGGTTGATTTGTAAAGGGAGACTAGACCATGTGCAATCCTACCACCAAACAAGGCACTGGACAGAATAACAACTAAGTAATGCCTATTACTTAAGGGACGCGGGTGGCACGGTGGTCTAAACCGCAGAGCTAGGGCTTGCCGATCAGAAGGTCGACGGTTCAAATCCCCGCGACGGGGTGAGCGCCCGTTGCTTGGTCCCTGCTCCTGCCAACCTAGCAGTTCAAAAGCACGTCAAAGTGCAAGTGGATAAATAGGTACCGCTCTGGCGGGAAGGTAAATGGCATTTCCGTGCACTGCTCTGGTTTGCCAGAAGCGGCTTAGTCATGCTGGCCACATGACCTGGAAGCTGTACACCGGCTCCCTCGGCCAGTAAAGCGATATGAGCGCCGCAACCCCAGAGTCGTTCGCGACTGGACCTAACGGTCAGGGGTCCCTTTACCTTTATCTTTAATGCCTATTTAGGCCACCCTTGTAGTGTATTTCAAGTGCTTCAAGAGTGCCTCAAGCAAATTGGGAAATGGCCATGCTGGAACTACCCTTCCTCACCCATGCAGTCCCCTGGACTTCACAGTGGTCCACTGGATGTCACCCATTATTAATTAAAGTGATTTTAATCCAGCACTCCTGAATCTATGAATAGCATAGTCTCTGAAGGGCAAAATCCAAACCCGGGCGGGGGGGGGGATGTAAGGGTGGGGCCTCTGTCACATCCACAGCCTTGCCATACATACAAACAAATTGCTTCACCATCCTGGAATTGGCATGGCAATGGGGCGGGGGGACTGGGGATGGGACCCTGCTATTTTTCCAGTCAATTCCGTTTTAGTAATGTTGCTTTTCTTCCTAATTAAAAGACTTCCAACCTGCACATCCAAACCAAAACAAATTTTGAAACACTTTGCAAGAAGTGGTAGGTTAGGATTTCATTATGGGCAGTATTGGGCAATCAGTAAATGAGTAAGAACGTAGGTTTTAATTATTTAATTAATTAATCACTGTACGTAAACTGCAGCTTCCCCACCCATACCTGATGTGTCACATACGCTGCTGTAGATGAAACGTAGCAGGTTATACACACAAAAAAGTGCAATATCCCTGATTGTAGTTCTGCTTACAGCTTACAGCAGAAAAATAACATTTTTTACTGACAGCATTTTCCTTATACCTCCATTAACAACAGTGCTCCTTATTAGTAGCCCTATGAGGTGCCTGTTTGGGAGCAGCCTAGGTTTCATGCTCAGTTCACTTTATTTGCTTCCCCACATACTAGCAATCAAAAGACCTGAAAGTCTGCCATGACAAATGCACTAAGAGGTAAAGCAATTTTTCAGCATCTTACCCTGGCAAAAAGGAAGACAAAGGACCCAGTTCCACCAATCTCGTGCAGTATGCCCTGAAGACCTTTGTATTCTGCAGGCTGTAGCATTTTCAGGTAATAAGGATCTGGCAAATTGCTTTGTACTTCTTTTGAGCTGAAAGGTCGTTGGGAAGGAATGGTTTTCGCTTGACCTTTAAGCCTGATTACTGGCTCATAGATTGTATAGTGGCCAGGGCAGCAAGTGGTGTAAACAGTAGCAAGGCTTTCCTGAAATACAAGACAACATTAAAGGAGCTTGCAGCTTTTACCCAAATCACCACTTTTCTTTTGAGCTTCCACTGTCATAGTTGGCACAGCAGTTCATCCCTACGCATTTAATGAAATAATACTAGCCTTTCAGAAATGTAACTATGAGTTGAGATACATGGAAAACAAAGTTAAATTATAGAGTAGAAAGGAGACAACCTACAGGAGATAAGTTAGGAATAAATAAAGGTTTCTCAGGGAGACAAAATGCATCTGAATAAGTTGAGGAGTGTGTTTGAGATATTTGTACCATAAGTTAGATTCACATCTCGCTGCATTTCATTTTGTCATATCCCCTCTTCTCCACCTATTCCATTTATGGTCTTTGGAACTTGTTTTTTTTGGGGGGGTTTGCAATAGCAGCATTAACAGAACTAATGTGGCAGCAAAGACTGCCATACACATTGAATTTTAGATCAGGATGTGGCCTGAGATGGCCTGGGCACAAATGCTATTCCCAATAAAATGTGGTCACAGAAAGTGTGGTTAAAACCAAATGCAAGTCAAGTGACCAAGGGAACATCACAGATACACCAGGGCTTGGGAGCCTCTGGTAGCCAAATGTTGCTGAACTATAACTCCTATCTGCCCAAGCAAGAATGGCCATGGATGATTGGAATTGTGGTTCAGCAACATCTGGAGGGGTCACTGGTTCCCCACACAGGCCTGAGACAATAAGACTTTGGGTAGGAGAGAAACACTCTTGGTATTTGTTACCTGCCCTGAATACTTGAGACAAATTAGGCTATGCTTCTAAAATAAATGTCACCACTGAGCATTGTGGCTTACAATTTCTCATTCATTTTTCATGCTGTAATGGGAAAAAGAGAGAGAGAGATTAAGTACTGTACTAGGATTACAAACTTACCGTTAAAGGTCCAGTGTCCACTTCTCTCTTTGTCATTAGGAGTTCTTTGATTTGTTCACATTGCAGAATTTCTTTATCTATGTATTTGGTATAATCACTTATTGTTTTGCCATATTTGCAAGGCATTACAGAGGTAAAGTCTGGTCCACAAGAATAAAGATAAAATGCTTCTTCTGGCCCAATTTTTGCACCTACAAAAACAAAAACATAAACATGTGTTTCAATATATGCTGCCTCACATACAATAAATAATACTTCTATTGTAGCTCACCAACATCTTAGTTCATAAGTGATAGACAGGTCCCCATAGGTTTGGTTCTCATATTACACTGCACATGTGGATGACATGCCTGCATCTGCGTTCAAAGAAGCAAAGCGAGATGTGAAGCCACAGGAAATCCCATGGCATGCAATGTGCAAATATGTATCTTCACGGATCACTGGATTTGCAGTGGCCAAAATTCATGAGCCACCGGCTAATATACTTTATTACTTCTATGGAACAAGACCTGAATGTGTGGTATCTGTCACAAGGCAAGAACAAGCCGAACAACACAGTCTAAGTTGCACACTACTTCAACGATGGTGCTAAAGTTAAAAACAGGCCTATTCCAGTTTACAGCCCCAAGAATCTTTCAAAGTGGCTTAATAAAAAGTCTTCCATAATATCAGGAACTGAAACAATGTGGTTTCCATGTGGCACCACAATGACTCAGACAGTGCTCATGCCCTCACACGCGATCTTCCCCCAGCAATGCTCTTTGAGTCACCTTTTGGCAGCCACCTTCCAGAAAGCAGCAGTGTTATTTATTTTAGTAGGAAGACTTATATCCTGCCTTCAAGGCAGCTCTTATTTAAAAAAACAATGTTTAAAGGAGCAAAACATATGAAAAAAGGAAACAAAAGGAGACCAGGATTGCAGCTAAAGTGTCACAGAAATACAGAATTCTAGTCGCTGGAAACTACAGGAAGGAGAGTGTTTGTTGTGCTTGCAGGTTTCCTACAGGCCTCTGGCTGGCAACTGTGAGACCAGGATGCTGGATTAGATGGGCCATTGATCTAGCAGGCTCTTCTTTTGTTTTAATTATCTTTTTTTTTAAGATATAAGAACTATGGCACGGCACTAATAAAGTTTTAAAAACCTCTTTCATATCTGGTACCAGTTTAGTACAAGATAACCAGCCACACATAAGGGCAAAAACAAACAAACTTACCATTGAAGAGCAGCAGATTTCCCAGGTCCCATCTTCCAGCCAACTGCAAATACTCATCTTGGGATGATGTATAATGGCCAGTCATACAGAAGGTCTTGTTGCTGTCAGAAGATAAGCTTGTTTTCCTCGGGAGGGTATAATCTAAACTAATTTCGGGTTTTCTAAGAAAAAGAAGAAAGCTTTAGTATATCCTGAACAATTTCAATTGAATAGCGAGAGTGATTAAAGGGCTTATAATAGGTAATTTCACTTCTTCTGTGATAATTAAATTGAAAGCTGTGTAAAATAAAATTGAAGCCATCTCCTACAATTGGCTCCACACCCCTACAGGGTGCTTCAGATACCCTGACAGTGCTTCAAATATACCTGCTGCACCTATCATTCCTACATCACCAGATGGCTGATAGCACAAAGGGCACTCATCTGGGCCCACAGCCTCAATCTCTGCAGTAACCATTCCTGCTGCTACCCTACCCTGGTTCAAGCAACCAATTAATATAGAGCTTCCTCACACCAGTCCCAGCAAATACTGAGGATGTTCTTTGGTAGACCAACAGGAACATCTCTCACTGAAGCAGACCAAAGAACCACAGAAAAGCAAATGGACATAAATGTATCAGTCATGTGTCTGATATATTAAGAATAAAGACTATAATGCATACTTCAAGGGGGAAACAATACTATATAAGTCCACTTAACAGTGAGACTAGAGAGATGCAAGATCTTTAGGGCAGGTGCTTGAAGAAGGTTATTTAACATCCTCTTCTTCCCCATGCAACTTTACTGGTAAGGCCATGTCAACAGTCAAGCCTGCTCTCTGCTGCTGCAGCTGCAAGCAAGCAAGTGCACCTGTATTCTGACTTCACCATTTCCTTCCCACTTGCCCTAGAACAGATTCTCACTGCCAGTTCTACACTGCCACCTCCACCTTCCAGGTCTGCCTGCCGTTAGCTCTTTCATACAGTATTAGCCGAGTACGAATCTTGGTGCATTTTAACACCGCCTTGTTTATATGAAAGTGCCGCTTATAAATATTTAATAAAATTAATAAAAACAATCACAACAATTTCATTGGCATTTATGGTTGCAAGTGGAGCTTTAATTAGGATGGCAAGTCGTACAAAGAGCTCATTTAAGGATACTGAAGGATTCCAGCTGCAACAGTTTAACAGAAACAGAAGGGTAAGCAACCACTCCATTATTTCAGCTGTGAGCATTTCCTTGTCCTCCTCCTCCATATTTCATCACGTTCCAATTTAGAGAGAAGGCAAATGCCTCTAGAGCTTCTTTAATGATAATAGTTCTATCATTTACCACATTGGGGAATTACCTCTGACCAGAAATCCATAAGGACAGTGTTCCATGGATGTTTTTCTTGCTTTCTGGCTGTTGCAGGTATGTCAGTGCCATATGCTGCCACGTGCCTACAAGGAATGTGTTCTCAGGTGTTTCCGCTTGTGCTAATAGCCCAGCTTTCATTTCATCGTTTGGGTCCATACACATACTATGAAAATAGGAGAATATGCCAGTCTGTCATCCTTTTAAATTGCGGTATGTTTTTTTTAAATTTATGCATAAAATACTACTCTGGAACACTATGTCTGTTGGGTTTCCAAGCCATGTTTTTCATTGCTTTTATAGACTGAACCAAGAGATGTCAGTTTGTTAGTGACAAAAATACTATCTGCAGCTCATTTTCTAGGTTTCTGCCTACAACTAATTGGGGCATTTCCCCCCTTTTTCTGTAATAGTTCTTTGAAGCTTGGATCCTCTCCTTCTCCACTATACCCCCCCCCCTTAGTTATTACTGTTTAAACAACAGTGCTCCAGTTCATGGCCATCTCCTCATCATTACACTGTGACAGGATGATCAGAGATGACCTAAATGTTCTCCTGGTTTGCTTTTCACTTCAAGAACAAGAACTGTTGGCATAACCTCCCCACCTGCATTATTATGGATGCTTGAAACTGTTCACAGCTATTGTTTTAGCCCTCTGCTGCAGTGTAATTTTTCAGTCAGTTTATTGTCTAGCCTGCTTTTTTTAAAAAACACAAGAAAATATTCAAAGCAACTCAGAGCACTTTTTTTCTGTTTCATTCCTCTTTATCAGGATACTACACGGCCCAACTGTGCCTTCAGTAATAAGGTAAATTAATCCTTTTTTTCCTAATGTTCACTTTTGTAAGTCTTGAAAATCTTATTTATCACACTGTACAGATTTCTTCTCCAACTAGACTCCAGGAAATACAATTGCCAGCATGATATTACCAATTAAAACTCATCTAAAACAGATGATGGGTAAAAATCATCTGACCCATTTTATGCATCTCATTCCCTGAGCTCCAAGCAGCAACAAGACTGATTGCAGTTAGTTAAAAATAAATAAGAATCATTGCTAAGAATTCTATGATCTCCTGATAACATAGCACAGGCAACCCACCATTTATGCAGTTCAATATGTACATGACTGTGCACACATGAATTGCACTGAACCCCAAAACATCACAAAAAGGGGTGGAATGGGGTGTTTGCAGGCTTCTTCAATGGGGATTCAAATATACATTATTTAATTGACCGGTGTGGTAACTCAGAACATAACCCCTGTGAAAATGGGTGGTTGCCTGTATTGTGCTTAAAATTCGATGAACGGGACCCTACATTAAACTTACTAGAACAGAAGAAGAAATAATGCATTTGTCAGTGTGTACAAACAAGTTTACAGTACCGAAATGTGAAACTTCCAGTGTTCACATTCGCCCACACTTGGATCATCAATGCTTTGGACCCCAGTGAAAATATATGAAGGCAACCATCTTCAAGAAGTTTGTCTCCTAAACTGAGGTGATCAATTCCAGCTTTGCTTTCTTCTAGAAAAACGGTTAAATCAGGTACATAGTTAAAACAATGGATGCTAACAAGCGCAACTGCTTTGCATTCTATAAAGTATAAATATGTAGCTAGCATTCCATAACATGGTTGAAACTAGAGTCCTAGCTGGATTTGAAATATACATCGCAGGCATGCCCAAATTTCCTGTCCATTTTGTTTCCTTTTTGCATTTCCTAGAGTGAGGAAAAACCACTGATAAATTTATAGCTAGCTGAGAATGGTGAATTGCCTGCAGTTTTTCATATGCAAAACACCCTTGAGCTTTTCTCGCAAATTGTATGTCATTAGCACTATTAATGGAACAGGTTTAAGGATTTAGATTTGCTGGACAGAGTGCCTGAAGAACTATGGATGGAGGCTCGTAACATTATACAGGAGGCAGCAACTAAAACCATCCCAATGAAAAGGAAATGCAGGAAAGCAAAGTGGCTGTCCAATGAGGCCTTACAAATAGCGGGGGAGAGAAGGCAAGCAAAATGCGAAGGAGATAGTGAAAGATACAGGAAATTGAATGCAGATTTCCAAAGAATAGCAAGGAGAGACAAGAAGGCCTTCTTAAACGAGCAATGCAAAGAAATAGAGGAAAACAACAGAATGGGACAAACCAGAGATCTGTTCAAGAAAATCGGAAATATGAAAGGAACATTTCATACAAAGATTACCACAATAAAGGACAAAAGTGGTAGGGACCTAACAGAAGCAGAAGACATCAAGAAGAGGTGGCAAGAATACACAGAGGAATTATACCAGAAAGATATGGATGTCTCGTACACCCCAGGTAGTGTGGTTGCTGACCTTGAGCCAGACATCCTGGAGAGTGAAGTCAAATGGGCCTTAGAAAGCACTGCAAATAACAAGGCCAGTGGAAGTGATGGTATTCCTGCTGAACTATTTAAAATTTTAAAAGATGATGCTGTTAAGGTGCTACACTCAATATGCCAGCAAATTTGGAAAACTCAGCAGTGGCCAGAGGATTGGAGAAGATCAGTCTACATCCCAATCCCAAAGAAGGGCAGTGCCAAAGAATGCTCCAACTACCGCACAATTGCACTCATTTCACACGCTAGCAAGGTTATGCTTAAAATTCTACAAGGAAGGCTCAAGCGGTATGTGGACCAAGAACTCCCAGAAGTGCAAGCAGGATTTAGAAGAGGCAGAGGAACCAGAGACCAAATTGCAAACATGCGCTGGATTATGGAGAAAGCTAGAGAGTTCCAGAAAGACATCTACTTCTGCTTCATTGACTATGCAAAAGCCTTTGACTATGTCAACCACAGCAAACTATGGCAAGTTCTTAAAGAAATGGGAGTGCCTGATCACCTCATCTGTCTCCTGAGAAATCTCTATGTGGGACAAGAAGCTACAGTTAGAACTGGATATGGAACAACTGATTGGTTCAAAATTGGGAAAGGAGTATGACAAGGCTGTATATTGTCTCCCTGCTTATTTAACTTATATGCAGAATTCATCATGCGAAAGGCTGGGCTGGATGAATCCAAAGCCGGAATTAAGATTGCCGGAAGAAATATCAACAACCTCAGATATGCAGATGACACAACCTTGATGGCAGAAAGTGAGGAGGAATTAAAGAACCTTTTATTGAGGGTGAAAGAGGAGAGCGCAAAATATGGTCTGAAGCTCAACATCAAAAAAACGAAGATCATGGCCACTGGGCCCATCACCTCCTGGCAAATAGAAGGGGAAGAAATGGAGGCAATGAGAGATTTTACTTTCTTGGGCTCCATGATCACTGCAGATGGTGACAGCAGTCACGAAATTAAAAGACGCCTGCTTCTTGGGAGAAAAGCAATGACAAACCTAGACAGCATCTTAAAAAGTAGAGACATCACCTTGCCAACAAAGGTCCGTATAGTAAAAGCTATGGTTTTCCCAGTAGTGATGTATGGAAGTGAGAGCTGGACCATAAAGAAGGCTGATCGCCGAAGAATTGATGCTTTTGAATTATGGTGCTGGAGGAGACTCTTGAGAGTCCCATGGACTGCAAGAAGAACAAACCTCTCCATTCTGAAGGAAATCAGCCCTGAGTGCTCACTGGAAGGACAGATCGTGAAGCTGAGGCTCCAATACTTTGGCCACCTCATGAGAAGAGAAGACTCCCTGGAAAAGACCCTGATGTTGGGAAAGATGGAGGGCACAAGGAGAAGGGGACGACAGAGGATGAGATGGTTGGATGGTGTTCTTGAAGCTACCAGCATGAGTTTGATCAAACAGCGGGAGGCAGTGGAGGACAGAAGTGCCTGGCGTGCTCTGGTCCATGGGGTCACAAAGAGTCGGACACGACTAAACGACTAAACAACAACAACAACAACACTATTAATGCAGGAGACAATTGAGAATGGAAAAACAGAAGCATGCATCCCAGCCAAGGTAGATTTGCATGCATATTAGAAACCCATTTAGAAAGCCGGGAGAGGGAAGCAGATTTAAGCCTCAAACCTCTGGTGAAAATGACTAAAGAGCCTGCTGATCTGTGGTACTAAGACATGGAAATATGTTAAAACCTTCAACTTAAACTAGGATCTGGAAAGTATCAAGCAAATAATACAGTTGTAAGCAAATGGCTTATTGTGTGACTTATGATTCACGCATGCTAAGAAAACTTCAAGAGCCAACTATTTATAAGCAAACCCCCAGGATCCCTTCCAACTCTACAATTCTATGATTCTATGAAATTCCAAACTCCTATGTTTCAGTGGAATAAAAATATGCATGGTATGTTGGCTTTTGCAATAATTCTCTTTACTCGAATTGTCATATTCTTGTACTCCATTCATTCTTGCTTTGTAGAAAAGTGTTTTTTTTATCCTATTATATTTAAAAATAAATAAATAAAAGTATTTTTAAAAATACACTATACTGTGATTTGGAGCTCCTTACAGAACAGCAATGTGTAATGTTTATCTATAGCTGGAATCTTTCAACTCAAAAAAGCTCTCTTTGGAATCAATGTTCTTTCATCTGAATGTGTGGAACTATATGCAGCTAGAAGAATGACCTGATTTTTATACACACACACTCTCCCTCTCTCTATATATATATCTTTACAGATTCAGTTTTATTGTATTACAGAATATGACTTACCCATATCATCAAAACTGCTGTCGTGTGAAATCAGTGATTTGCTCCTCCTTTTCATTCTTTTTGCTTTCTCTAAAGAAATATCTACTTCATGAATGCGTTCCGTACAAAACCACAACGAGATGCTGAAACCTTCAGACATATGCGGCCAACAGTTTTGCCCAACCAGAGGCAAATGGATTGGAGCAACATGCCAAGAAGAAAGTAGATGGTGAGGCAAGCTCTCCCCCTCTGCTTCCTTCTTGGTCTGTGCAAACTTTGCTCGTTTTAGTAGTCCTATGGTTTTGCTGCCAAAACTAAGAGTTGGTTTTTGCGAAGGGCTACTTCCTGAATTTGGTATTTGATGCAAAGGAAATGAGATATGCTGTAAGGGCCTCATCTCGGTATTTGTCTCCAAAATCTTCAGAATTCCTTTGAGCAACGTGCTCTAAAAGAAATGAAAATAAGACAGGAACTACGTAACTGTTCATTGCTATATACCCTAAACTGCAAGAATGAACAGTTTCAATTAGCTCACTTTAAAGAAACTGATGCAGCTCAAAAAGTTGTTTTGAGACAACTAATATTCAGTTTCCTCAAAGGTGAATTTCTCCATCCCCTTGATCGTTTTGGTTGACCCTTTTCTGACCTTTCCCAACTCTACAATATCCTTCTACAAGTAACTTGTAACTGATGCACCTTGAACATGTGCTGCTTCAACTTTGCACAGTTGAAGGTCACCTGGTTGAAATTACATGAATTAAATCCATGGAAGCCAGAGAGCTTAAAAACTCTTTTCGCCCAGGTTTTTCCCAGTGCAGAAATAACTTTTAAGCTCTGACTTGCTTGTGGGTTGGGGGGACCGTAAAGTGCCGCTCAGACAGTAAGATGTTTGGAGAGCTAAGAATCGAAGAGCAAGAAAGTTTTTCAATTCCGCTTTATCACTACAAGGCTAAGGAACATTGTTTCGCTGGCCTGCCACAGACAGACACTGCTGGAGGATGGGTGAGTACTTCAGAGAAGTGTGACTAGCCAGGTCACACAGCTGCATCTGGAGACGAGACGCGAACCGGTTCCCAGATTAGAGACTACCGCTCTTAACACTACCCACACTGGCTCCTATGTTAGTATTGAGTATATGGTTTTTGGTATATGTGCACCCCAGAAGGCCACCCCTGTGCAAGACACTAGTTACCTGCAATGACAATGTGTTAGTTGCAGAAGGATTGCCAACCCCTGCCCATGGGGGGCAGGCCTCCAATTGTGGCTCTTACTTAATTTTTGGAATTGAGGGGGAGGGATCTAAAAGCAGGGCAGAGGGTGCTTGGGACCGGAAAAGGCCCATCCCATAGCATTCTTATTTGTTTGGAAGGCTGTTGGAGAGAAGGAGAGATGTGGCAGGAATGGCTTTCCCCTCTTGGCTTTGGCCTATCCTGCTGTTTGCTCGCTTGCTGCCTGCCAGCCATGTGTAGCTGGCACTTGCTTCACCACACTATGTGATTAGGGGGCTGACATACCACTTCACTCTGAAAATGCTAAATAAAAACAAAATAGCTACTATATCAACATGGGCAGCGTACTTCAAAGTACTTCATTTCATTCTAAAAAATTACCGTAGATGGCGTTTTTTCCAAAAAGATTCTTAAAAGAAGAGCCAGCTCTTCTGAACAGGTTTTTGAGCTCATCAGAGACACCAGCAGATCCACCAGCACCTGCTGACATGCTGAAAAGCAACAGCATCATTCATTTTAAAATGTTATCAAAACTACCAAAGTTATTAAAATAAGCAGCTAGAATCCAAGAAGTCACCCAGTCAACCCCTCTCCCCATCCTGATAGCAGTTCTTGCATTGCTGGGTAATATTTCTCCTAAAACACAGGAAAACATTAAGAACAACCACTGATCCTGCACAGAATTGTCACCAGAAAAAGACTGAAAAATCCTGATATGCAGCTCTTGCAGGCTGGTACATAAGCATTTCAACAACATAAAATAGTTTTGCTACTAACATTTCTATCCCATTGTATACTGGGAAAACCTCAAAGTGCCTTGTCCCCAGGAGCAGGAGGGTCTCTGAGGTAGATGATAGGCTGATTAATACTTATCTAGGTTAAACAATGCAACAGCACTACAATGGTACCTCGGGTTAAGTACTTAATTCATTCCAGAGGTCCGTTCTTAACCTGAAACTGTTCTTAACCTGAAGCACCACTTTAGCTAATGGGGCCTCTTGCTGCTGCTGCGCCGCCAGAGCACGATTTCTGTTCTCATCCTGAAGCAAAGTTCTTAACCCAAGGTAATATTTCTGGGTTAGCGGAGTCTGTAACCTGAAGCATATGTAACCCGAGGTAGCACTGTATATACTATCAGACCACCTCTCAAAGCAAACTAGAATCAAAACATTTGCACAGTGGAATTAAAGCAACAACAAAAATTCCTAGGAAGAAAAATAGAAACTTTCCAATGGTATGAAGAGCTATTAAAATTCTAAGTCACATTATTTAGGTACATAACATGATACTTAACAATTGCCCCTGTGACTCAAGACAGGCTGTCACCAAACTCTTCATACCACTGTTTAGTGGATACATACTATGAAGTCAAGATTCTAATGACGTAATATTCACTTACTCCATTATTCTTAGTTTCAATCTATGTCCTAAGAAGAAGACATTTCTGGCAGAAGACATTGTCAACCAAAAATCTTGAGACCCAAAACATAAATTGACTTAGGGCTATTGCCCCACCGTGGCTATACTTCTTTCTTTAAACCGAGAAGCATTCAATCTTACAATTTTCTGGAATTCATTTGAAGAAGAGGAGTTTGGATTTGATATCCCGCCTTTCACTCCCTTTAAGGAGTCTCAAAGCGGCTAACATTCTCCTTTCCCTTCCTCCCCCACAACAAACACTCTGTGATACTCATTGGGGCCAGTATGAATGTAATGCTAAACTCATGGCTCAGTGAGACCTGTAAATTTATAGTTAAGAGTACCTGCCCAAGTGAGAAGTACCCAAAAAGGTAAAGACTGCTTTTATTTATAACTCACCATGAAAATCGGAATCTGTCTGTGTCAATATGTGGAGGAACCCTACCAAGAGACTCTTTACAGCTCCCTAGAAATAAAATAAAAAATTATATGCTGAACAATCATCTTGAATTAGCAAAATGCCTGCCAAGTGATAGGGAAGTGTGTCCTTAGAAAATGGGCTTCAGCTTAGTGGCTGGCTGAGTACTAGTCCCAACCTCCTTCTAAGCTGGCTTTGCCTGACCTTGTCCTGTCCCCTCAGACTTCCTCTCCCAGTTGATTACCTCAACTGCAGAGTTACCTCAGTGCTCTTACTCTTTGCCTTCACTTGAAGACCATCCTAACGACATTAAGATGACTACCAAATAGAGAACAGATATATGGGAATGTGGCCTACAGATGCACTAGTGCTTAATGAACTGCACAATGAACAGATCTTGTTTTTGTTTTCTTCAAGCCTTGGAGATTGTGTCTGCGTCCTTAAGTCCAGCACTCTTACAGCATTTCCAGAAAAGAGACATTCTGGTTGTTGCTCACCTCTGCTGTTGTTCTCGCCCACACTTACTCTAAACCCTATGCTTCTAGGCCAGGGGTGCCCCAACTTTTTTTCAAAGAGGGCCAGATTTGATGAAGTGAACATACAATTTTACCCCAAAGTTGTTGAGCTTTTTTAAAAGGATTTTACCCCAGGACATATACTGCCACAGGGGCCAGATTAAATCAACAGGCAGGACGGATTAGGCCCCTGAAATTGACTTTGGACATGCCTGTTCTAGGCCAACTGAGAATGGTATTCTCTGCCTCTTTTGCTAGTGTGAGGCAAGCTGATTCATGCGCATGCAAATAGGTCTGAGCTGGGATGTGATTTGGTGAAATGATTACTGCCATTGGAACACCGATGGCTCTCCTAAAACAGAGGAAAGCAATGGCGGGGGGGCAGGTAAGAAAATAGGGATCACGCGCTTGAAAGGTTCCTTGAATTGTCTATGACCTTCCCAACTTTCTCCCACCTACACTGGCCAAGTAATTCAGGGACAGATGAGCAGAGACTTGTGAATGTGTGGGACCCTGTTGTAGAACTACTGTATAGCAGATATGTATACTATATATGTGCAAGATCATAGAATTGGCGTCACTTACCTGCTGCATAAGTAACATTGCATTTTTTCCCTTCAGCCTGATTGCTTTCAAGAAGCTCTGGAAAACATGTGTAAGGACATCTAGGCTTGGGTTGCTAGCAGAGAGTAAATGCAATTCCAACATACAGATTTCAGGATATATTAATTCCCCTTGAATGAGGGTTTCTGCTGTGTCACTGGCAAAACTGGAATAGCCGAAACATCCTTTATCTTTCTTAATGTCTGTTCCTAGAAAGGAAGGAGCATGGTTATCTGCTGAAATTCAGCTACTCTCTGCCCTATCTACCTACCTATTTTGTGGAGCTTTGCCCCTACTGCCCAACTTTTAATTAACAAGGATCTGGTGTGGTTATCAGACAACCGGGGTCTTTTTAAGCATACAATTATCATGCAGAAATGCACAAAGTAAGCCATGCATGTTCATATACTAAGGGACTCATCGGGCAGTGGGTTGCAGATTGACAAGCATATACACTACAATAATCCATTTTTTTAATCTTTCTATTTACTGATGTGCTTATGCCTCACCACCACTACTGCATGCAGACACTTTTGTGCCATCCTGCTTAAGGAAAATCATAACCTACAAAGCGCCTGCTTTATAAAAGGTTGAGCTGTACACTGAAAGCTTCAAATACAGTACCACTATCAATTAAATAATAATAATAAATTACAGGTCCCGTGAGCAAAATAAAACAAGAGTTATAACTTGTCTACTCATTTCACAAGTTTATAAGAAATCTGGAACCAGAGGAATACAGCAGCAGCAACTGCTGTGATTCAGTAGTAATATTTTTAAATTTTGCAGATCATAGGCAATGCTGCCAACACGCTCCTTCTCTCCTGACTCAGGCAAGCAGACTACAAAACATGAGTGAAAATAAGCAGCAAATGTGACTTTAAGATGACAGCCAGCCAAAAACCAGTACAGATTCATCTATACAAGTTGTCAGAACAAATAAGCCTACAGGGTTCCAGTATTCTTACATCATGGTAACCATATTTAATGGTTTACCATGAGTGTGACAATCTCACCCGCTTTGTTCTTTCCTGCTACTATACTGGAGAAAGAAACACGATCACTGGCTTGAACTGGAGATGATGATCAATAGCCAAGGTTTGTACTTGGCTTGCTGATAGTGGTTTGGAGTGAAACAAACCACAATGCCCAGTACAGACATAATGCTAATACTGTACAGGAATTGTGGTCCATTTTCCCATGCACTGAAGTGGAGGAGCAGAGATCAGAACAATCATGGTTAACTATGTTAACTATGTTTGACCATGACATGTGAACTGGACCACTGTATTTAAAGATTCACCATCAAATCATGATTCAACCACCAGAGCTGGAAAACTACTATGCACACATGTGAATGCTGCTGGAACGTAAACCAAGATGTATCTGAGAAAACCATGGGTGCATCACATGAAATTAAGTTCAGACTTACCTTCATCCTTGCTTTCACTGTCATCAGGATTGCTTTCACTGTCTGCATCATAGCCTTCTTCTTCAGCAAAAAATGTAAAGCCACAGCACTGGGATTCTTCAGCTTCTTCAGATATATCACCAGCCTGAGGTGCAGGTTCCTTTTCAGACTGCTGGATCTGTGACATGCATATTTTATATATTTAAGCTCATCCGTTAAAAACCTGCAGAAGATTCTGGGCTTCATAGAATATTTGACCACAGTCAAGTATTTTCAAATAGACAAGATTTGACACATCCATTACTTCGATTGTTATGGATTCTAGCTGTCCTGTCATTTTGGCACTTGGAATACTGTTTAACTGTTGTGCAGAGTGCAGAAGTTACATACAAGAGCAGAAAGAACAAGACGGACCATGAAGTTATCCAAAGAAGTTCCAAGAAAACTGCATTCAGCAAATAAACTAGATACACAAAACCCAAATGTCTTCATGTTCAAGTCCACATAGACATCCTGGCCCACAACTTATGAAGCTCCCTCACTTGCCCACTTTCTTGAAGTCAACAGAAAGCAGACCTTCCAGCTGTCCTCAAGTTCTGCTTTTCAGAACTTCCAAAAAAAATTAGGGGAGTGGGAAGAAGAAGAAGAAGAAGAAGAAGAAGAAGAAGAAGAAGTTGTTGAGAGCTGAATCTCTCCAGACAGCTTCAGGGCAATTTAAAACCACAACAATAGAAGCTCAGCTATAATGCACACCACAGATTAAGAAAGATAGCACTAAGTTCAAGAAGATGTCAGCATGGCTAATGAGCAGAGACAAGGAATCTATTTAAGACAATGAGGCTTCCTTCAGAAAATGGATGCCTTGTGCTCAAATGAGAAAAGGAACAGAAGAAAAAGGAAAAGAAACTTGCACAAAAAAGGTGACTGGAGTAACTTCCCTTTGAGGAAAGATTGCAATATTTGCGGCTTTTCTATTTACAAAAAAGGTGAGTAAGGGGGGACATGATGAAGGTGTCTATAATAACACATGTTGTAGAGAAAGTGGATAAAGAGATATTTTACTTCCTCACTCATACCCAGGGCCATCAAATGAAGATGGAGGTTGGAAGATTCAAGATAAATAGCACATAGCTAAACTACGGAATTATGGGACGCAGGTGGCGCTGTGAGTTAAACCACAGAGCCTAGGACTTGCTGATCAGAAGGTCAGTGGTTCGAATCCCCGCGATGGCATGAGCTCCCGTTGCTCAGTCCCTGCTCCTGCCAACCTAGCAGTTTGAAAGCATGTCAAAGTGCAAGTAGATAAATAGGTACCGCTCCAGCGGGAAGGTAAACGGCGTTTCCATGCACTGCTCTGGTTCCTCAGAAGCGACTTAGTCATGCTGGCCACACGACCCAGAAGCTGTACGCCGGCTCCCTCGGCCAATAAAGCGAGATCACGACTGGACCTAATGGTCAGGGGTCCCTTTACCCTTTACTTAAACTTTACTTAAACTACGGAATTATGTAGTGATGGTTACCATCTTAGATTACTTTAAAGGGGGGTTTGTAAAATTCACAGAAGATAAGGCTCCAAGCCATGATGGCTATGGCTCCAGTATCAGAATGCCAGTGGTGGGAGACAACAGCAATAGCCCTTGTCTCCTGCATGTGAGCTTCCTATTGTTGCCTTCTTAATCATTGTGGGAAAGCAAAATGCTGGACTTGATAGGCCTTTGTCCTGATTGAGCAGGGCTGTTCTTATGTTAGTCCCTATATTTTCCATGCCCAGAGGTTTGATACAGAAGAAGGCAACTCCTTTATTCTTATGCTCGTCAAGTCACTCCTTCGCTGTGCCCTATGAGAGATTTTTCTAATTCTGACCCATCTGCTATCTGAACTGTTTGTAAAGAGCCTACTGTTTCTGAGGACTGATGGTACAAATATAACACTTATTAATGTTCCGTAACATATAATGAGAACATAAATTAGGCTATCAGACAAGCAAGCAGGCAATACAAAACATGCATTTTTATCTAATTATACCTTTTCTTTCTTCTCTTCAGAATGATCAAGATCAGCAAAATAGGTTCCCAAAGCAACTCGAAGCAAAGAATCAAATAAAGGCTTCACCAAGTCAGTCTCCATTATTCTAGATTTTGTAAGATGGTCTCGCATTTCAAGTAATATATCTTCTGGACACACATTCTACATTCAAGTAGGGGGAAAATATGCTTACAAGCTTGTCCTGGTTAAATAAAATGGTACTAAAAGCAATTATAGTTTCTTCACTATTTAAATTCCTGGCCTTCTCACAATTGCCAACATCACAACATCAAGAACTAAGCATATTTGCTTTGAGGGTCTTCTTTGTTTTGTTTTTACAACCAAGCAGTATATAAATTTTATGAAATTAATAAATAATGTGCTTTTTTTGCATGTTATACATGGTATATAGATCACTATGATTTCCTCTGAACAGTTCTAATTTCTCAGTAGATTTCACACAATATATATTTGGTTAATAATAATAATAATAATAATAATAATAATAATAATAATAATAGCAATAAATTTATTATTTCTACCCTGCCCATCTGACTGGGTTGCCCCAGTCACTCTGGGTAGCTTCCAGCATATACAGGGTGAGTCTTTTAAAAGAGGCCCAGTGGAACATGTGTATTCTGTATCCATGGGGCCTCTTTTAAAGGACTCTGTATAAATACATAGTAAAACATTATACATGGTTCGAAAACCTACTGTATTTTTCGCCCCATAGGACTCACTTTTTCCCCTCCAAAAATGAAGGGGAAATGTGTGTGCGTCCTATGGGGTGAATGCAGGCTTTTGCTGAAGCTATCCGCAAGCCTTGGGAGCCCGATGGGAACCCGTTCTGGGGGCTGGGGTCGGGGGAAGCTTGGGCTCCCCCCGCCCCCAGCCCCGCAAGCTCTGGGAGCAATGGCGAGGTTGCACAACCTCACCATTGCTCCCGGACCCCCAGCCCCGAGGCTAAAAACGAAGCCAGGACAGCGAGCGGGATCCATCCCGCTCGCTGTCATGGCTTCTTTGCTCTTTGGGGCTTGGGGGGGGGAAAAATATTTTTCTTTATTCCCCCCCCCCAAAAAAAAATAAGTGCGCCCTATGGGCCGGTGTGCCCTATAGGGTGAAAAATACGGTAAATGAAAAACACACCCAATTACAACACTCAAGGCTTAAAAGCGGCAAGATAATACAAAACAAGAAGAAATGTGTCATGTGAATAAGTCTCAATGCACCTAATCTTTAGGTTACTTTCACTAAATTTCCTCAGGCTGAACACTGCATCCAGATCTCTCTATGGAGATGCGTTTCACACTTTATGCCCAATTACTTTATTCTTATTCCTGCAACAGCTTGTTTTCCTTCAATGGAACCATCCACTGTGACTTTAAAATCCAGAACAGTAGTTTTCCTTCCTACCTCTAAAATGGTTTTTAAATGACAATATGAATGTAATTATTTCATGGCAGGTTACCTGGGGAAGAGACTCCATTTCTGACTTCTGCTGGAAATTATTTGCACTGTGTAAACAAATAGCTAGCAGAGCTTCCAAGAGTCTTATACCCTGGAGTGACCACTCGTTTTCCTGCATGAAAGCTCTTTTCAACGTTGCAGTGCCATCAGCTGAATTTTGTTCCACTCTTGAATGGTCACAGGAAGGGCATTCAGGTTGTCCTACACCGTCAAGATTTTCATCAAGACTATCCTGATCTGACTGCCCTCTCTCATTACTCATTTCAACAGGCTTCTCCTGCTCGCCTTGTTCCTTGGCTCCTTTTTTGGCAAGTTTCTGAATAATCATGGCTATCAATTTATGACATACTTCAAAGCCACCAAGTCTATGGAATTGTCTTTGGAAAACTGAGCTGCACAGATAGATCCAGCGGCACATCGACCAAACGTCTGCTGCCCTATGGATATGTTCCAAAGAAGGCAAAGAGAGACTTTCTGGTGACAGACATGGGAGCCTGTGGCTCAAAGGTTCACTAGCTGTGCTGTCATAACCTGAAGTATCCTCAGAATCATTAGTGGAATCTCGATCAGCCTCTGCTTCCTTACTCACACATAAGAAAGCAACACAGAGAAATATGTTTATCATGTTGACGTGAACATCTTGACTGACTGATTTCTTCTTCTTTGGATAGACTTCTTTGAGCCCAGCATAAAATTTGGTCAGGCTTTGAGGCACATCTGAAGCTGCTTGCTGCCTATGAACCAAAGCACCTAATTCTAACGCAGACTTCTTTTGCTCATTGTCTAAGACATCTAAGTCTGGAATCACTTGGTCCGTCTGCTGGTCTCCAAGGCAAAATATTAATGTTTCGAACACTTTCAAAGAATAACTTCTTACAGAGTCCAAGTAATGCAGTTCAGTCATTTGATTTATTCCATTGCAGCTTATGAACAACTCTCTTACTATTCTGTGGAGAAAAGCAGAAAACCAATTAGATAGAAAAGGAACCAAAAAAATTAGCATACTGTGGGTTGTATCCGATTGTGTACCTCTGCCAGGGGCAGCTGGTACTGAGGGTCAGTGCCACACACTTGACCTCCTGTCAGCGAACATGATTCTATGATTATTGTGCTTACTGAGAAGGAGGGTGTCAGGGAAGAAAGTGTAGGGAGGTAAGTGCCAATCCAGCAGTCCCACCACTGTTCCTTCACCAAATTCCCTGCTGCCCTGCCTTGTCTGTGAGTCTCTGATCAAGCCCAATTCCCCAACAATTAAGAAAATTAACATACCTGGATTTAAACAGCGCAGGCAGAGTCTGCAAATAGATTTGAAGCACTTCCTGAGGCAAACTCCATTTGTGGTAGCTGCCTGCCTGGCTGATGGCTGTAGTAACGCCTAGTTGTTGAGAGTTATGAGCCAATTCAACACCTCTCTGGAGCACTGGGCTGAATATATAATTGTACAGTTTCCACTGAATGACTTCGTTGCCTTTCTGAATCAAATTGCAAACATGGCTGGCTATCTGCATGCAGCGCAGTTTGTCGTCCTCTTCAAAAACAAGGCTTTGGTAGGCCTCCAAGGCATCCCACTTCAACAACATGTCTTCAGACCCTCTGCTAGGCAAAATTCCTTGAAACCTATAGGGAGTTGAAGAACTTGATGGGGAAACGTCAGTGGGATTCCCATGCAAGACATCATCCAGTTCAGCAAGCTGATCATAGTCAATGGTACAAATGTTGCAGGAGGCCTGCGTGAGTTTTTGAGAGACCTGCGCTCCTCCCAGTTGGTCCAATATAAATTTATTAAGGATGCTTAATATATGTGGCTGAAAGTTTTTCAATACTTGTGATCTGAAAGAATGAAGCAAGGGGGTGATTACAGACCTGGGGTCCATGCAACAACATATACCCACATTATGGACACCGGACAAGATCTGAAAACATGTGCTGTTAAGTGAAACCAGTTCCAGCAGCCGCAAACACTGGTGAGCACAGACAGCAACGCAACAGCACCGGTCAGGATAATGAACTTCCCCATCCAGCGTTTCTTCAAATGGGTTCTTGGAGACTTGGTTCTTAAAAGTAGAAACCGGGAGCCCTGAGAGGTCTCTGTGGTGATGCATGAAGTGAGAGTACTCACATCGCCTGTGCCGCTTTCTGGTGCACACAGACTGATGAAGTTGCTCCGACTTCACTTTTTTGATGGTGCTGATTATTTTCATGATGCTGTTAATGAGGGCTGAGAGGTATTCTGATGCTTCTGATTTTATCTCGGTTTCCCTGGCCACCAGCCATTCCATCTGCAGCACAGTGGTTTCAAACAGTCTGAATCCCTGATGCTGTATGAACTCGTGAGCAAGATCCATTGCCTGACTGAAATAAATTGGATTGGAGGCAGCACTCTGAAGGCAGCAGATCAGGATCTGCAGAACTCCTTCTATAAACTCCGGCAAAAGAAGGGCTCTGTGGCGGTATCTTGAGATGGCGAGGCTGCCATGAATTCCCTTCTGTAAAGCTCCCTTTTGCCCAGAAGCAAAAGGCTCGTGTGTTTTTTCCAGCAAACATTTAGTTTTTAAAGCTGCTCTAAGCAAATCAATTAGATTTTTCCTTAAGTTGCCAGGCATGGTCTCAGCGTTGTTGACATCCACAGCCATCAGGTGCAAGACTGTCCTAAAGAGCATCCTCTGAGCCAGGGCAACTGATTCCTCTGCCCAGCTTGAGGAAACGGCTTCATTTTCGGCAGTACTGCTTGCACTGTAGCAGTCTCCAAGTTTGGACAAAAGTTCCGTTAGTGTGCACACCACATTTGCTGCCAGCGCCGACTTGTGATTCACAGAAATATCAAACTTGCATATTTTTTCGAGCAACGATAGTAAGACATGACACAAGTCAAAGGGAGAATTGTCCTGGCAGCTGACAGGTGGTGAAGCTGGCTCCTCTGAAGTCTCAGAACTGATTTTTTTCACTGGAATAACCTGTTCAGAGTCACCTAGATGCTCCTTACTGAGATTACAACTCTGGACTTCTCCAGCTTCTAGAAAGCTGCCTTTCCCTGTAATGTATTGTTCCTTAGGTGGGTTTGTTAGAAAAGGCTGCAGGATTTGGGACCTCCTGTGCTTCATAATCACGGCCGTCTTCTCATCTGAATTGCCTTCTGAATCAGAGGTGGATAGCTGGGATTTCCTTGCATCCCTCACAGAATAGCGATGAGTAGTTTTGCGCTGTCGTCTACTTTTCCGGGAGCTTAATTTTACAGACACCTGGGCAGACAGATGAGGATTTTCTTCTAGATCTTCTTTTTCCTGAGTAGATTTGAGAGAACCTGGAGTTGCCTCTTTGGTCAAGCATATATCAACACAGAAGGGCAGATTAAAATCTGTCGGGAGTCAAAAATTACAGTTAGATGATTTCAACTATGGAGCCTCGGAGCCAGTCTAAACATGATCCAGGAGTATAAAGTTATACATGCAAGTCTTGGGCCCATACGGCCTCAGCAACTACACCAAGAATCTTTAAGATGAACTGAGGCCTACATAGATAAGCAGGTCCCAGTTATGTTTGTGCACCATCACCTAGGTCCTACACAAAGTGGAGAGGATGTACAGAACTCACTCCCAATACACCATTATACAGTTGTACTCTCACATTTGATACGTATACATGCAAATATTTTCAGGTCCTTGAATGTTCTATGTTCCCTGAATCAGTGCCCTAGCTGCAGTGCAGGTTATTCATGCACTTTAAAAAGTGCATACAGGAAGATTTAGGGCGATATCCAATCCTAGCCAAGTGACTTAAGTCCACTTAATCGATTCCAATGTATTGTAAGCAGAATTGCACTTGTGCAGCAGAATTATCCTTCCTCTCCTATGCAGCACCCTATACTCCTATTTAGATCTGCTTTGGAGGGGATATCCAAACCCTCCAGAACAGATTCAGGGCAATGCAGAGGGAAGGAGAAGACCCGCTGCTCTGTTCTGCTCTTACATGGACGTCACTGGATACAACCCATTGATTTCAACTGATCTATTCTGTGACATTGCTCATAAGAGTCTGCAATTATACATACATAATCTGCAGAAAAATAATGCTATTTATGTGCATAGAAAAATAAACAACTAAGATTTTACCACTTTGCATATGAGATATGGGAAATTCAGGGCAGTTTCCCATTTAAGCATCCTGTTAGTGCAGGGATTTTTGCTTGCACAATGGGGCATTTCCCACCCCCTCTCCTCCTACTGTGCCTTCCACAAACCTGGCTCCAGGGGGTTGGGAGAACCTGCAAAACATATTCAGGGAGTGTGCAGGCAGAGGAGAGGGGAAGGAAATCCTTGCACTCACAGAATGTTCATGTAGCGCCATGTTGGCTACAACCCTAAAAGATACGACCAAAATTCAGAACAAATATCCAAGTATATATCTTAAATAATGAAGAGGCATTTCTTCATGAGTGTAAAGAACATGTACCTAATGCCTTTTCTTCTTGTACAGGTATTTTCCATACTAGTGGCAGAAGTGAGAGGAGGAGAGTAAGAAGGTCTTCGCGACAGGTCAGTTCCTGTTTAGGAAACAAAGGCTTGCTTATCTTTACGGAAAGATAGAAACTGTTATCCACCACAGATTCAAAACATTTGGTTTAAAGCTTCTTTGCTTTCATTTTAATACCTTTTCCAAAGCCTCCAACATTTATTTCTGTAGTGTGACACACCAACAGCATTATTTAAGTTTTAAATTCAGCCAAGTGAGAGTCAGGCTTAAAAGGCTGCAAACTAATCTAAGGGCATGTAGGTATTTAGCATATCCTTGTAATAAAACTTTCCAAGCTGAAATAATTCCTCGCTCCTAGAAGAGTATTATTCAACGAAAAAAACAAATCACTTCTGCTGGTTTGGAGCAGCATGGCATGAGGCAAGAACAATTAGAATGCTGGTTTTTATAACTTAACTGCCCATGGTAAGATAAATTCATTTAGAAAGTTAAACTAGCATTTAATCTACACACATGCCAAAACCAACATTGTAACTGAAGGTCTGACATTTTTTTAAAAACAGCTACTTTGCCACTTTGAAATGCAAGATGGGTATCGAGCCAAATCTATTACAGTTGTTATGAAAAAGAAAGTATTACCTGATCAAGTATGGAATTAAGTTTAGTAAGCAAAATGAATCCACGACCTTGGATAAGGTATTGCCCCAGTGCGGCTATGTGTGTTTTTCCTCTTCCTCCTCCCTGGCCTCCACCCTTTGGTCCACTGCATTGCAAAGCTGGCTGACATCTGACAAAAATTCACGTGCCAGTGAGTTACTATCACTGCTCATGTCTGAGCTATATATTTAAGAGAGAGAGAGAAAGAAAGAAAGAAAGAAAGAAAGAAAGAGAGAGAGAGAACGTTAAAGAAACAACTAGCTTGCAGGAGCTGAAACAACACAATTACTACTTTTTGAGGCCACTTAAATCAACCCAGTTTTACTGGATGACTCCATACTTAATTTCCAAGAAATTACAATTTATTTGCTACTGATACACTGCCTTGTTCTCTGAAATATTCTAACAATGTGATCTGCCATTGATATGCAGTTGTGGAAATGAATGCTCCCAAAATCCAAGACTCACCAGAGATTAAACTTCCTCTCTCATTTATGATATTTTGTGAAGTGTTAAATAGGTCAATTATTGGTATGCCCTCCTGCAGCAAACCTGCAAAACAAAACAAAGCAAAAATCCAGAAGTTAAAACAAAATGCCTAAGCTCTAAATCCCACTTCAGCCATATAGTTAGCTCTCCTGTTTCCATCTTTCTACCACCTGCATCTGTGTACAGAAGCAAGCAGCACCCAGTGATAGCAAGAATGCTCAGAGTTAGACAGAAAGTTCATCAGAAAGCAATGCAATGTTAAAAGGAAGAAAAGTTAAATGGGATCTTAGATCAGTGAGGAGGAGTTCTTAACTTTCCCAGTGCAATTCCTCCTTGTCATATTTCTTCCCCTTCCATCTCTTGCAAAGTGTTACGGTTGTGGTCATAGGCGTGCACAGCACATTTCATTAGAGTGTGCATTTCAATGAAGGAAGAAGGGGGAAATAAAATAAACAAATAAGGAAGAGGTAAAGATGCAAAATGATTAAAAAGAAAACAATCACAAGAGTGGGCAAGAAGTCCAAACAGGTAACTTTTCCAACAGAGAAAAGACCCATGCCAAGCTAACGAGGCATGGCACTGCAAATCTGGAGGGCCAGGGGTGGGGTGACTCCTTGCCCATCACAAGAGAAGCCCCTCATCCCCACAGATCTCCCTCCACCAAAGGTGGCCAGCAGGCTTCAGATGGAGACAGAGCCTTGAGACAGAGACAGATGTGGGCAGAAGGAAAAGTCTGGAATGGATCTGGAGCTTCTGCCAGCTGAAGAGGGAGTCCCTCCTCACTTACTGTCATAGCCGGAGCCAATCACCCTACCACTACTTTCAGAGACACAGGCAGAAGTTGATCCATTCCAGAGCCACTCCAGCCTTTTTATTTTGCCTTTGCCTCTCTGTCTGCTTCCCTAGATCCCTACCACCACCTTTAATGTCTTTTTAAACATTAGGCTGTGCCTGGACACCTCCCCCCCCTCCACATGCCTATGGATGTGGCTGAAAGTTTAACTCAGAAAATACTCAGAAAATTCATGAGATTGATAGCTAGTGGCCTGGCTGAGCCAATATATCTAAACCATAATTTAGATTATCACAAATAAAGTTTGATACCCTGGTTTATTTTAAGTAGCTCGAGTAAGAATAGGCTACAGTTTGGCAGGAAACATGCAACCCTGAGGTTAGCCACCGTTCTTTTGCAACCACCTGGACTTTAGATGATTACCTGAAACAGGCTAATGTGTTTGAAACTCTACATCATAACACCCAAAGCCAAGCACTTTTCAGATCCATCAACAATAGGCAAGTTAGGCAAATGCTTAACTGTCCCCTGCTGAACTCAATAAGTCTTGGAAGTACGTATTACTAAAACAACATGAGAGCTACTTCTCCCCAGCTCCAACACATTACTATTATGGCATGAGAAGCATGGAAACCTGTGCATGGGGCCAATCACATCGATTCTTCCTACCAAATAACGACTAATCTGGGAGAGGAGGGCAATCAAGAAGGAAGAAACAAACCAATTTGCTGCACTCTAGACCGCCATACATAATTGCAACAACAGCAAAGGAAGACACCATAGCAAAACAACGATCCACTGGAAATGCTTTTTCCTAACCATAAAACATGAATGATTGCTTGACTCCCAAAGGAGTACAGATTTACCATTTTAACATGTTTTTTTTCTTCTGCATCTTTATAAGTTAAACCAAGCACACACCTCACAGATACTTGCTTACAGAAGAAGAATGGCTCTTTCTCCCCCCCCCCCCCACAACCCTTTCCTACATTCTGGGAAAACAAAGTACAGGAGCGTTACTGAATATTCACCCTGATTTCTCTGCACAATGATTACATCAAGATTAGATTACATATGGACTTCACTGAGCATTAGTTCAGATTTCTTTCTAGGGTGGTTGTAAGAAAATGAACATCCATCCTGATTTGCTTGCAGGATGTTTGGCACATCTTCCCATTAGTCATTTGTTCATCCCATGCTTTTCAATGCATGTCTCCTTAGCTTTCCAAATCAGAAGAGGCCCTGGTGGGTGGGTGTGCGTAGGTGTTTAAGTGGATTTCTAGTGCTAGGATGACAGGAGTGCTTGCATGACCAACTGCTAATCTTCGAAGGGGCTCAAATATATGGTGAGTTCATCTGCTGGGAAGCGTTTCAGCAGAAGAACACATTTCAAGCCACACACAAACACTTTAATGCACCCAAGTCTGACTGAGAAGTATGAGAACAATGCAACACATATGGCTGATTATACTCAGACCTAGTGCTATCACCATACAGAGGCCAAAATAGAAGTTTGGGGATGGGTATAAGAATAGATGGCAGTGGGTTGCTTAGTAAATACCAGGAGTGCATATTCCCCGATTCTGGTTTGCCAAGAAATCCTAAGACAATGTAAACACTGTCTTCTCCACACTAAAGCATTACTGTATTTTAAAAGGAAGCTATAAAGGTTTATGCTTTATTTATTTAACACAGAGTGATCCTTCAGCTGGCTCTGCTTGCCTTACTGTCATTTTAAAAATATGACGGGATACAGAGTCTGGCTCCAACAAGGATTTCAATAGCTGGTTTATGCTCAGCATTCTTTTGAAGGGGAAAGAAGTCTATTCTAAGATCTCCAGGCTGGTGGCTCACAAGTCAGAAATATAAACAAACTGCTAATATCCAACATTACACAGTTTACACACCCAAAGTTAATCAAATCACATTAGCCCATGGCAGCAGAAGGCCCACTCGACTTCCATTCAGTTACTTCTTACAGCAACCTCTTGGGAAAATACAAGGATCAACCTTTTTTGAGGGAAAGTTTTTCCCAAATTGGAACCTTCTGTAAATTTATTCATTCATTGAACTGCATCTACTATTCCTCACAGTTTTCACTTGCCTTTCAGTGCAGGGAGCCGTTTATTGCCACGTAAAGGATAGCTTGGTGGAAGAGTGAGGCATAAATAACCATAAACCATAGGTTATTTTAAACTTTAAACCATAGGTTTAAAATATACTTTAGTCTATAATTTTAACTTTTCAAGTCAAGTAACATTTGAACCAGACTGTGGAGAGAAAGAGGGCCTGCCCATGGAGCTGTGCAACATGAAATTAAGTTATGCCCTATGAAGGAGGGAGGGTGGAAGAGAGAGACAAGACAGACTAGGTGAGGTGGCTCACAACTCAAAAATATACATGACTACTGCTATCCAACATTATACTACTACCATCCAATACCTGAAGATAATAAAAGGAAAGTGTTTATTTGTATTTTACACAGGTTTAAAAATACAGCAGCCTTCGGCAAGTTTTTTCCATCTACCCCAACATTTCAAAGCAGAACCCATAAAGCAACATTGCTTCCTCCCCAAAGTCCTTTGAAGGGGGAAAATATAATAAAACAAAGTTTTAGATCAAACAGAACTATAACATTTTCATGACTCTTCTTGCCCAGTAGCATACTTTCAAATACCTTTCAGCCCACCTCTGATCGAATTTGTGGAATTATGCCACTTGAAGACAGACAGCCTATTAAGCAGTTAGATGTCTATCCAGTTAAGCTTATATAGCATATGTCAAACACATTACTTTAGGCTCCATCAGAATATTAGCAGAGTGCCACCAATAGATTTCAAAGCAAAGATCTCCTTCAATACGGTATTGGCCCGAATATAAGTCGCACCTGAATATAAGCCATGGGGGGGGGGGAAATAGACCCGAATATAAGCCGCTCCCTTAAAATTCCACACGCACTCACACCCATTCCGTTTTACTGTATGTCTGTTTCAGCAGCGATATCATAAAAGTCAATTTTTGTAAGGTCGTGAATTTAAACAGCACTTTAACTTTTTACGGTCAAAATTTGGAAAAAAAAAGTGAGGCTTCTATTCAGACCAATACAGTACATGCAGCCAAATGTGTTCTGCATCAGTGAACATTTTCTAAATAAGTCACACTGAAGTAATCTAAACATGATTAAAGGCACAGGAAGATATTAAGGCAGCTCATCTGGACACCAGCCAGTTACAGTCCATTTCTTAGCCCATTCTGGACAGAAAAAGGCTACCCTGTACTAAAAATAAATAAAAGGAAATCTACCAGCATAGAATAGAATCATAGAATCATAGAGTTGGAATAGACCACAAGGGCCATCGAGTCCAACCCCCTGCCAAGCAGGAAACACCATCAGAGCACTCCTGACATATGGTTGTTAAGCCTCTGCTTAAAGACCTCCAAAGAAGGAGACTCCACCACACTCCTTGGCAGCAAATTCCACTGTCGAACAGCTCTTACTGTCAGGAAGTTCTTCCTAATGTTTAGGTGGAATCTTCTTTCTTGTAGTTTGGATCCATTGCTTTCTTGTAGTTTGGAGCATAATTATTGCAACTTCTATTATTGCTCAAAACAACCCTTAACAGGGCTGTACAATTCTTACAGCCCCCATCTCCCCTGCTTCAAGGGCTCTCACACAGACAACACACTTGTTTTATTAGGATTATTATTAGTTACTTGAACCTGTTTCACAAGATTGGGTCTCAGCCGAAAAAAGAACCCTTAAGGATGCAACATATCAGTCCTCCGAGACATGTGAAACCTATATAGGATTTAACTCTATAACAATTCATAATATACCCAATTACAGTCACTTCCTCTGTACCAAGTATAACACCCCTGAGATTATCAAAGGTAACTAATATGTTCCCCATAACCCCAATGAAATGAGAGACTTGAATCACATCTATAACCTCTTGTATCTCACCAGGGAAAACTTGTAACAGTGTAAAACTTGTAATAGCATTTGCCACTTTTTCTTGCGACCCAATTAAGTGTGCAAGCAAGTCCTCCAAAATGTATCAAAATAGTACCGAGAACGGTTTGGCTATGTTCCTTTCAATAACCGGAACAAAAAGCAGCAAACCAAATCATTCAATGCAACTCAACTATAGTGGGTCCTAACTACATGCAACTAGGAACATTCTTAAATTGGGTTTGCCCCAATCACATTTTCCCAGGGGAATTTGGAGTTTGGTTCTTAGAATAAGAGAAGTATATAGAAACTGGAAGTTGAGACTTTGCTGCAGCTTTTTGTCAAGACACTTTTCTTCAGGAAGGAAAGACATCCAAGATCAGAACCCAGCTTGGACTGGCAGAGGAGAGTGACTTTGTAAAAGAGACTGTGGTGAGGCTAAATATCTACCCATGTGCCCCTTTTGCTTGGGCCACTAGTCCTCTTTATATGTGAATACAGATAACCCAGGCTTAACCAAAAAGGCTTGCAAGCTATCATGTAGAACTCAGGCTTTGTATGCATGAGGTCCCACTCTAATCCCTGGAATTTTCAGTTAAAGAGCTGCAGGTAGCAAGAAGGGGGAGAGCTGCTGCAGTTAGGGCAGCAATACTGAGCTAAATGGACCAATGGTCTGAGTCAGTATAGGGCAGCTCTGAGATGTTCTGAAGAGGTGGCACCTTCATTCATTGCCACATGACGTGTTTATTAGCACTGGATACTATAGATCTGTATTGGGCATATATATATAATTATATGCTAAAAAATGAATTCAATTTTGTATAATCCTCAGTATGTTTTTTAAAACAAAATTTAATAACATTGAACAAGATAGAAAGCTCTGAATGAACATTCATCAGCTTCAGAAGACAAAGCCATCATACCAACGCCACAGAAATCTCAAGTTTAGTTTTCACACTCCTAAAAATAATCTCAGTGTAGCCTTTCATTAGAAAATGATGTCCTAATACAGTTATGACAAAACTCATATTAGCCTCAGAGATGGACATAGCCCTATTTGTACCTCATGTTATATTGTGGTTAAGTCCAGGGATGGGAAACCTGTGGCCCTCCAGATGGAGCTGGACATCCACCACAGCCCCTGCCAGGATGGCTAATGGTCAGGGATGGTGGGAGTTGTAGTCCAGCAACCACAGGTTCCCCATCCCTGGTTTACTGCTTATGTTGACATCCAAATATGTGACTGAATGCCTCTTCCCATATAAACCTGGCCAGGTGAGAACCGCAGGGGGAAGACCTGCTGGTAAGTTCATGGGGTTCCAGTGCATGAGAAGGCATTTTCTGTGATGGTCCCCATATTGTGGATTGCTCTCTCCTGCAAAGTGCATCTGGCCAGCCACACATTTTGACCTCGGGTAAAAGCACATACAATGTACTTGCTATAAGTGATGAGGTGAGACGTTACTTCTTTCATATCCTTATGTAGCTCACCTACCTTCTGCAAGAGGAAATTGGGAGTTTGCATGTACCAAACAAACTATATACAACTTTCAGTTGCACATTTGTGTTTCTCCCTTGTACATTCAACATCAGTAGTTGCTTATTTTGATACCTGACTTCCAGTACCTACAGCAAAAGTTATTTGACTTGAAACACTAGCATTCCTCCCCCCACCCCATTTAAATATCTTCTTTTTATCATTTACTGTATGGTGGGGCTACTTCAGCGTGTTTTATTTAATTGTTTGCTACATAATGAAATGTACTTCCATTTCATAATTCCTACTAGGCAAAACAGACTCAAAACTTTCTGACAGTAAGAGCTGTTCAACAATGGAACAGATTCCCTCAGGAGGTTGTGGACTCTCCTTTGGAGGTTTTTAAGCCATCTGTCATGGATGCTTTAGCTGAGATTCCTGCATTGCAAGGGGTTGGACTAGATGACCCCTGGTGTACCTTCCAAGCCTATGATTCTATAAATAAAATGCTACACAGTACTGCACATTGCCTTTCTACGCATGCTATTTAAAGTGTATTTTGACCTTTTCTGTTAAACTGCATTCTGCAACAACTTTAACTTCCAAGTCAGAATCTAGATTTAAAGATCTTTCAAGATTTAAATAGACTAGGATGTAATGGAAACTCCTGAGGTTAGCTTAAAAGTAGCCTTTGAGCTGGTTGTTCAAAGATCTCTACCCAAGATTCTGCAAAAACATTGTGATGGGAAGAATAAACTAGAAACACTAACTTCAGCTTAATAGGAGGGGAAATCCATTAACAGTTTATAACGCAAACATTAGGAGGCTTCTCTTTTTTTCCAGCTTAGCTTGTCTGCAGTACAATTAACAATAAAGCAGAATTCTCATCTTTCTCATCCACCATCACTGAGAAGCTAGTTGCCTTTGATGGGACTTAACCAACCAGGGGCCCTTTACCTTTTACATGTGCTAGAACTATAAAGGTACCGGGTACATGTGCTAGAACTCATTAAGGTAAAAATTATGAATATAACAGAACTATCATTACAGGACTTTGAGTAGTCTTAAACTTACAGCTCATCTTTTGAACAATCCCATTAAAGTTATCCAAGAAAATTTTTACTGCAGAAAGCTGCTAATGTGATTTCAACACTTTATTATAGCCTGTGAGTAGGGACATGTATACTTTTTCATATGCATAACACCTCTATAACAAATAATACATTATGAGAATGTGGTTTCTAGAAGAGACAGCAGTAGGTAAAAGGTGCAGAAGAACACATTAAATTTGTATGATGGAAAAGACTGCAATTTAAAACAGCTTGTCAATAGCTTGTAAATTACTGCACAACACAGGGGAAAATTAAACAACAGGGCTTGTCAGTGTGATGCTTTATCAGTTCAAATAATCTCAAAATACTGGATGTGTCTCTTATACAACACCAGATATAATCAAGGTGATCATATGCCTTAATTATTCAAAATGCAGGTTAAAAACAAACTCAAATGTCTGAGGCAGCATGATGCAGGAGATAAAATGTTGGGCTTCGGCCTAAGAAAATAGCTTAGAATCCCTACTTAGCCTTACACAAGTCACTACCTTTCAACCTAACCTACCTCACGAAGTTATGATAAAAATAAAAGACAACTTCATAGTTCAAATGTGTTGAGTCTGGCCCCAGAGCTCAGCATACAAGTTTTGTAAGATTAAGGTCCCATCGGTTTCCTTCAGCAAGCACCACCTTAACCTGCAGCAGACTGAATCAAACTTGGGTCTGAGGAGGCAAGTGTCAGCCCACACCAATTCATTGCAGGCAACTGGCCCCTGCTCATATTGGACTGACAGTGCTGACAGACAATTCTGTAGTGCTGAAGACTAGACCTCGAAGCTGAATATGAGGCTCCCATGGTCCTAATCCTTTCTATTTTCTTTGACCTATCTGTGGCAGAAAGCCAAAGAAAATTTTACCCAGTAGGAACCACTAGTTCACACTGAACTGGGGTGGGGTGTGTGTTTTCCTAAGTGCCTGAGGAGACCAAAGTAAAAATGGAGCATGGAGGCTAAGAAAACTGACAGTGACAATACAAACAGTGACAAAACAAAACATTTTTGAGCAGTTGTCCAAAAATAAAAGTTCAAGAAACAGCTGCATTTCTGACAAAAGGCTTCCAGTGAAGCTTGTTTACTATCATGAAGTCCTCTCTCACACTTGGTAGCTGGATTCTGCTGCCTGGTTAATGAGACTCACGCACTGTTTCCCCTCTGCACGCAACTTGGGCGCTGCTAAGGCTAATTACTATCAGTGCCGTCCCTCCAGCTCCTGCCGTCTGATGCCGAGAGACAGACGCGGGGGAGTTGATGCCAGCCTAGAGTATCAGCCGCCTAGCAAGGACCCTGTATCTCAAGGCTAGTAATGTACCAGAGAGACAGCAGCGACCACAGGATCAAGAGGTGGAGGGTTAGGGCGGGAGAGAAACTCCTTCTACGTAAATGCAAACGCGATCGATGCGGTACGTCGTCCATGCAAACATTCAAAAGCCCCAAAACGAAAGTTACCACTGGCCACATCGAAACATGCCCTCAGCCACAAAGGAAACCTATTGTCCGAAGAGATGCATTAAAATAGAAGGGAACCCATCAGATACCTGGCGGCCAGGACTTTTTTTAAGGAAGGAAAAAGAGAAGCTCTTGACTAAGATAAGCAACATTTGGCAACCTTGCACCGCTCCCCCCGCCCCGTCCATTGCAACAGCCAGACTGGAGTATCCCTGCAATGGAGGAAGGGTGCATGTGTGTGTGTGTGTGTGTGTGTGTGTGTGTGTGTTTGGGGGAGGAATTGGCATCCCCCCACCAAGTCATGGGCTGTGCCCCCCCCCCGCAGTAAGCGCACCAGTGGAGAGGGTGAAGGGTGTGGGTAGAGAGTAAAGGGCTGCCTTGAAACAAAGCGATCGGAGAGCGGGCAGGGAAGGAGAAGGAAGCGTGGCGGCGGCGGAGCAGCCACCCCTGCCCGTGCCACCAGCGACATTCGCGGGTGCCTCCCCTTCCCCTCCTCGCTGGGCCCCACACAGCCGCCGCAGCTGCTTCGGAGCACCTGCACTTCCTTCTCAAGCCTTACCTGTTCTTGCCGCCTCGCCCAGCCCGGCCTTCCGCCAGCCCCGCTCTTAGCCCGTTGGCGGCGGCGGCGGCCGAGCACTGCTGCCCATGGCAAGAGAGCAATCCTGCCGCCTCCAGCCCTTCCTTCCTTGGCACTTCAAGTCGCCAAGGAAACCCGAGAGCCCGCCCCCTCCAGCCGCTGCTGCTGCAGAAGAAGCAACACGAACCCAAAACCACCGATTAAGCCGCGCAGGCTCACTCCGCAAACCTGCCCCTGGGATTTTTTTTTTTTATCACGTGCAACCCAAGGACCAATGGGAACAGCAGCTCCGAACCTTGACCTGTGTGAAGGGAAACCCTTTTATTATGCAGCAGTAGCTGGAAATCTGCGTTCTGTCATCTCGCGCTGCTCCGATCGCTAATCTCCGGGTTCCAGCTTTTGACTTCTGCGTTCCTGGTGTCTTTTCTTCTTCTGACCCAATTGCACCGGCCTGGCTTTCTCCCCTTACAAGCCATTATATACCTGCATCCTTCTCGCTTAACTTCAGCACTGCTCGTCTATTTCTTTCTTTCCCCTCCTGAAGAGGGATGAAGTGGACTCTAGTTCAGAAGAACTTGTTTCATTTATTATTATTATTATTATTATTATTATTATTATTATTATTAGTGTGTTAGGCACCACATGGCTCTTTGTTGTTCTTGTTGCACACAATAACACAGCTGTACCTCTCTGGAAGTTGTTTCCTTGTTTTTGACCAGAACAACCGATTACCGTGAACAAATAGTGACCGTTCAATATTCATTCGTTCGTTCCACTCCTTTCCTCTGCTACTTCCCGTCCATTACAGTTGCATTTCTCTGGACCTGCCTGAAGCCCCCGTTCCTTATTGGCAGTTCTTGTTTGCAAATGAACTAGCATCCTCTAGAAGGCTTTAGAATCTAAACTTAGGACTTGTTTTGATTATACAGGGTCTAACCAGTCACTAATGTGTACTGCATTCACATTGTGAAGGCAGCTAGTTGGGAGGCCTTACTTAGTGACTGGTGATGGTGTACAGACAGGAGTGTCAGCACTTCCCTTTAGGAAACCTGGGAAACCTAACAGCAATAAACGGGTAGCTGTTCATCCCCAGAAGCAATCTCATAGTGCTTTATTATTGGGCACCAGCAAGGTAAGGAATGACCAAGATTCACATGGTGGCAGGTGTGGTAAAGAACAGGTCTGTACAGTGCACTTGTCATAAGAATTTATATCCCATTGTGAGTTTCCTATGCTCTTAAGCAGCTACCTGACTCATGTGGTACGTAAACTGATCATGTGAGTTGGGGCATCACACAAAAACTTCTGCTACCCTACCAGGAGTAAGGTTCATTGACATGCGGAGAAGCTCACATGGGTCTCACATTGACTGCTACTAAACAGTGGGAAACATGTCATCATAGGCGCCGACTCCATGGGGCTTGAGGGGGCCCGAGCCCCCTCAAAAATTCGTTTGGGGGGGCTCCGCCCCCCCAATAATCTCCGGCGCCCCTCCAGCAGAGCGCCATCGCCGCCCCTCCCCCAGCCCAAAATGCACAGGGAGGGGCGGGCTGCATGCCTCCTGCCCTCCCTCCCGAGCAAAAGCTCCACCCAATTTCCTTTGGAGCTGATTAATAGGCGCAGCACGCTCTCCCCTATTCGCTCACGAGGAGGCGGCGCCACTTTATTTGCATATTCATGAGCTTATTTATTATTCATGAGCTTTCCCGGGCCCCCCCAATATTTTTTATAAGTCCGCGTCCCTGCATGTCATAATGTGTGTGTGAATCCTGTTGATGAACATAGCATGGAAGGTTGGTGGTTCGAATCCCTGTGACAGGGTGAGCTCCTGTTGCTCAATCCCAGCTTCTGCCAGCCTAGCAGTTCGAAAGCACGCCAAAAAGTGCAAGTAGATAAATAGGTACAGTACTGATGCGGTGGGAAGGTAAATGGCGTTTCCACACACTCTGGCACTCGTCATGGTCCTCCATGCGCCAGTAGCGGTTTAGTCATGCTGGTCACATTACCTGGAAAGCTGTCTGTGGACAAACACTGACTCCCTTGGCCTGAAAGCAAGATGAGCACTGCAACCCCAGTCACTTTTGACTGGACTTAACCATCCAGGGGTCCTTTGCCTTTTTTACCTTTACCTATGCACATTTAACTTAGCAATCCTACTGAAAACAATGAAACTTACTTCTAAATTGATCTATATAGGATTGCACTTTCTTATTAATTTGTTAATGTTTTATTATTGTAGTGTAAACAATACACTTTTTGCCCCAAAAGAGGCAAATTAATGAGCTCAATTTGTATTACTGTAGTATAAATTCAAGGATGATTCAGTAGCAACTCTTACAGGTTTCATCATGTGACTACATATTAGAATGAGCCGTGTTTTTGCCTTTGTCTGTCATGTTGCCTATCCACAAGCATTCATTTACATACATGTGTGTAATGGTGAAGCAGCAGAGTTTAGAAATCACTTCTGAACTAAAAAGAAGGTTGCCTTGTTGCACAAAAAATTATTTGTTTATATTATATATTTTTGCATTTATTTCCTGTTTGTAAATCTACCAGACATGTTGTGCTTTTTTTTTTTCTCAGAGCCCCCAAACCTTGTTTTTCTTCAATGAGGTTTTGGTAATTCCCATGACATTTTATGCTTAGCTTGCTCAGCATCTAACCAGGTGACAGGACAAAAGAAATTCTGGAAAGTACATCCTTTTGATTAGATGGAGTGAGGGATGACCAAGGATGTGACCTTGGTAGTGCTGCCCCAACTGTGGGACATTCTTCCCCGGTCTCAGCATTTGTTGCCTACTCTTATATGAGTTGTGGCATCAACTGAAAAGAGGTTTATTTGCCCAGATCTTTTCATGCAGAATATTGTTTTGTTCTTATCTGCTGTCTGCTTTTTGTGTGTGTATTTATTGCTATTTATTCCCTTTGTTTTACTATATTTGATATAGTTAGTATTTCTAATTTGTAAGCTATATTGGAAATTATTTTCATAAAAAGATAGAATACAAATGTATTAAATGAATAATTAAATCAGTGAGATGAAATGAAATGAAAATTGCTTATCATTAAATGTGCATGATAAATGGGTCACAAATGCAAACTTGTGTCACCAACTGCCTTGGAAATCAATATAGTTCTGCAAAGGATAGCATTTGTACTAGCAGTTTCTTCACTGTGTGTAAAAACGAGTAGGTTTTGTCACTCCACGGAATACAGATAAAGCTCTCTTTAAACAGATAGACATGATCTTATGAAGGTCAAATGACGCAAACTAGTCCCTTTAACATTAATAGAGTTTTAACTCTGACTTCAATGGGAACTGGATTGCAAACAAAGTATCCACCTATAGAATCTCTACAGATAAGGTAACAAACAATTAAATAGCTTTAGGAAGATGTGCATCATTTTGCAAATTTGCAGTTGTTGAAAAAGGACTGAAGTTCTATTCTGACTTACATTACTGACAGGCCTCAACTGGAACCTGGACATTTCTTAACTATGCTATACAGATCCAATCCCCACACACTGCAATCCCTCTAAATAGTTAATAAAAATAAAAAAACACTTATTTTAGCGGCTGCAGTCTAAGGACTGCAAACCTGAGCACACTTTGTAGGGGAAATAAGGCCCTCTGAATGCAATGGAACGTAAACAATACACAGAATTGTTCTGTAAGTTTATCCTGATCTATTCAGTGTTTTTCAACCACTGTTCCGTGGAAACACTATGTGCCGCGAGATGTTGCATTGGGCGTGGGGAAATTGAAAAATTCGAAAGATATTTTTTTTAAAAAAAAGTCAAAAATTTCACACCACTAGGCGGGCGCTGGAATGTGTCCACCTTATTTTCCATCCGTCTGGGTGGGGATCAGATCGAATGGGATCGGATGAGAGCGGACAGGCAGTCCGCTCTCATCCGAATTCCCCCATAGAGAGCAGCAGGGCTCTGACATCTCCCTCTCCGCACACAGCGGTGGTGTGCCTCGTGATTTTTTCATGAAACAATTGGCAAGGCTATTAACAAAGGAAAATGCGAGAACTTGTCTATTTTCTAAAATGCTTTAATGTCATTACATCAAAAGTTGTATTTTTGTATTAGTGGTACAGCTACATAATTTTATAGTGCAAGCCTAACCATGTTTACTCAGAAGTAAATCATATTGAATTCAGTGGGGCTTGTTCCCATTAAAGTGGAGTTTGCAGTGCTGCCTTAGACTCCTGTTCCCCTCACAGAGCTACAGTTCTTCAAATGTATAGTGTAAAAAGGTAAAGGTATCCCTGCCCGTACGGGCCAGTCGTGTCTGACTCTAGGGTTGTGCGCTCATCTCACTTAAGAGGCCGGGGGCCAGCGCTGTCCGCAGACACTTCCGGGTCACGTGACCAGCATGACAAAACTGCTCTGGCGAGCCGGCACCAGCGCAGCACACGGAAATGCCATTTACCTTCCCGCTATAAAGCGATACCTATTTATCTACTTGCACTTAGGGGTGCTTTTGAACTGCTAGGTGGGCAGGAGCTGGGACCGAAGGATGGAGCTCACCCCACCACGGGGATTCGAACTGCCGACCATACGATCGGCAAGTCCTAGGCACTGAGGTTTTACCCACAGCGCCACCCGTGTCCCATATGTATAGTGTACATGGGGCCTAATAGTCTTATACTCACCCCTTTAGATGGAAATGTGCATGATTTCACTTCAAAATGTGGTAAAACCAGCTTTTACTGAGAGAGCCATGATCATTCAGTGGAGTGGGACTCTGGGCTTCTGGTCTAACTGAACCACTGTTGCATCCACACATAATTAGAAAAAATATTGTCCAGACTGTCCTAAATGTGTTTCTTGCACTGTGTTTAAGCCAGATTTCCAGTATAATAGATTGACTCTAAACAAAGTATTTCAGTCAATATGGAGCACAGTTCTAGGCTCCACTGAGCTTATTCCCAACTAAGTAGGTCCATGTGTATAGTGGTACCTCGGGTTAAGAACTTAATTCGTTCTGGAGGTCCGTTCTTAACCTGAAACTGTTCTTAACCTGAAGCACCACTTTAGCTAATGGGGCCTCCTGCTGCCGCCATGCCGCTGGAGCACGATTTCTGTTCTCATCCTGAAGCAAAGTTCTTAACCCAAGGTAATATTTATGGGTTAGCGGAGTCTGTAACCTGAAGCGTATGTAACCCGAGGTACCACTGTATAGGAAAGCGGCCGTATTTGCATTTGCTACCTATGTCTCCCTCTGTAGACTTCCCCATTGCCAGTTTTAGAATTTAAGCTGCTGTGGGGGAAAGGAACTTGCTCTTTATTTATGAAACTGCATAAAAGGTCATGTTCTGAGGAGAGAGGGGGAGGAGGAGTAACAACCATCACCACCTGCATTATTAATTCAAGTAAATCTGTGGAAATTATACTATTTTGTGTTTTATTTTTTAAATTTATGTCAGTCGGTCCTATGTCAGTCAGATCACTCATTTCTGTTGGGGGTTTTTTAAGCGTAGCCTTGTCTTCTTCAATCTTTCTCAAGAACGTACATTTTCTTCCTTTGCAATAGCAGACCATTTACCTGCTCTGTCTTGCATGACTGAGCAAGTTTACTCGTAATCTTGTGATTATCTGTGATAGTGCATGATAAGCAATCTTGTTTACTTTTTAGTGGGAATAACTCCCTGCATATTACACAAACGTTACCTCTGGAATTGTAGACTTTTGTGACTCAGGAGTTTCAGACAAGATTCAGATAGATAGCTCTTAAGGATAATTTTTGTTTAAATAGTGTCTTCTCTTTCAATGAAGTTTATATAATTGGAAGAGGGCTGGAGAACACTAGAGAGCGACCAAGGGTGATTTTTTACCTGACCATTTTTCCATCACAGAAACAGTGTTGCTGCAAGGTTTGAGGGGGCCTGGCAAAGTGCCATCTACCTGCTGTCCCCCATCCCTCTGCCACCTCTAGCACATGAATTAAAAACACCTGATTTCTTGATGCCTGCACCAGTTCCACTGTTATCTGAAGGCAATCATTCAAATATCCTGAACCCAAACCTTCCAGTTATCACCATCATTCGTACCCCTTGATAAATACATCTGTCCAATCCTTTTCCAGAATAATCTAGAATGACCCACATCTTGTGGCAGTGCTTATAGTCTAAAGAAGGATTTTCTTATCTCTCTCTTGAACCTATAACAAAATCAGCTGTACTGGAGGATTGCCAGCTTTACTGTCATGAAAAAGAACAATGCTATTTCTCTGTCTAGTCTCAATATCCAAGCAGTCTTACATTTCCCTTAAGGCTGTGAAATATACTCAGAGTCGCAAAGTGATTTCATGCTCTTTATTCAGCTCATAGTGGTGAGGAGGAAGAATGAAAGTCCCCTCAAAGTATCTGCTTATATACATTATTTACACAATGGGCTGCACATGATTGGCTAATTCCAGAATTCTCCTGTAGGCCAATCAGGTTGTGGATTCACTTCTATCTGCAGCATGATTGGGTGGTTCCTGCCGACCAATCATACTGCTGCATTGTTCTAGGACTAATCAGACTGCTGCATTCTGAATCCTATTGTTCTAGGACCGATCAGACTGCTGCATTTTGGATCCTATTGTTCTAGGACCAATCAGACTGCTGCAGTTTGGATCCTATTCAAATCAGTACATAACAGGCTGGTTTTTGCAAGGTTTGTTTCTCTGCTGTTCTACTGATTTAATAATGATTGAATTATCTTGTAAAGGCGCATAGCTTGAGGAAAAAGAGGATATTTTTTGTTTTAATGCAGCTAATAGGAAGCATCTATTAATGTGCCTGAACTCTGTTCTTTTTGTTGTTTTCCTGTTATATCTGTTAGGGCCTAACTAGAACCTAGGGTGTGCTGCTTGCTGCCACTGACCTATATCTTTACCCCAGTAAAAGAAAGGTTGTATGTCAGTGCACACAACACTTACTTGCCCAGATTCATTATCTGCTGCTTACAGGTGGCAGGGAAATGTTGAATGTCCTACATTACATTACACCATGCACCTCTTGTAATGTCAAATTAGACTGTAAGTCATTTTGTCAGGGAACCATTTTGCTTTATGTACACCAGTTCAAATTTTAAATAACTAAAACCTCCATGTCTGAAGACAAATAATTAGGAATCCAGGAAGCTGCCTTACACCGAGTTAGCCTAGCTCAGTATTGGCTTAGCTTACCCACGTTGACTGACAGCTTTTCAAGGGTCTTCCACAGCTCTAGCTGAAGTGCTGGGGACTAAAGCTGGGTCCTCCTCCATTGTTTTTAAGAGAGCTGAAAGTGGCACTATTGGGGCATAATTTCCTGTTGTCACTTCACAAGCCTCATTGCTGTCTCTAGTTAAACAGGTTTTGAAAGCTTGGGAAGTGCTGCAATAATAAACTGGCAAAACTCATGAAGAGATAATAGCAATGTGCACACTCTCTAGCCAATGGCGCCTCCTTCATGCTTCACCTCAGAAATAACTGCCTGTCTGTGAGTATTTGACGCTGAACTACCACACCTGCCTATGTTTCAGGCGTTGTATAGAATGACGTATTTGACTGCCAGTTAGAAGACTTCTGAGTTCCTGTCACAGTAACCTGAAATTTAGCCTTCTCCATCAGTTTGTCCTACACAGTATTTGATGCAGACCATTTAACATCAGTGCTGCATCAGTGACATATACTGCAGCAAATTTTCTGCCTTTCTTTCTGGCAACTGAGATCAGAGTTCTTTGTCAATAACATCTGGCTTCTTTTCAGTTTCACAGGATAGGTTAACATGCAGAGCAATTCATAGCACTGCCGATAGAAGGATGGAGGAGAATTTTTCCCCCAAAAAGGGAGCCAGATACAATAAAGATGGCCAGGAATATTGCATGATGCCATGCAAGGCAAAACCAGTCCTCATTATTTCACTGAATAAGCTGGGCCCTGGAATTTTAGGAGTAAATTTCGATAGGAATACGACAGACTTATCAAATTCGAGCTGAAATGGAAGTTGGAAAAAATTATCTGCTGGTCATTTCACACACACACACACACACACACACACACACACACACACAGCATATTTAGTATTTGCTGCAAGTACTGAGTTGGCAGCTATAGAGGCTGACTCCATCAGTTTTATCCATTGATATTGTTGTATGTTAGGCAGGGGATTAATCGGCATGGTACCTGATTCCCTTCTAATTCCCAGGGTCCTGGATCCTGCAAGGGTTAAAATCTAAAGGAGGATATCAATGTTGAATTAGGCAAGGGTCATAGTTGCCACTTAAGTACAGTGGTACTTCAGGTTAAGTACTTAATTCATTCCGGAGGTCCGTTCTTAACCTGAAGCTGTACTTAACCTGAAGCACCACTTTAGCTAATGGGGCCTCCTGCTGCTGCCGCGCCACCGGAGCCCGATTTCTGTTCTTATCCTAAAGCAAAGTTCTTAACCTGAGGTAATATTTCTGGGTTAGCGGAGACTGTAACCTGAAGCGTCTGTAACCAGAGGTGCCACTGTATGGTGCTTAGTTTAACAAAGGAAGTAGCTCTGTGCCATAGAGAAAATGGGTGGGGTGGGGTGGTTCCCTCACCTGATTGGTAATGAGAAAGACAAAAGCCAGTGAGTTTTTGTGAAAGCTGGGCTAGAAGCAAGCCAGAAAGGCAGAGCCATGCTTGATTTCTGCTTGAAGTCAAGGCTTTGACTATGGGCGAACCAAGACTCTTGGGGTGTTCATGCTGTGAGTCCCACCATCAGGTTGTATATATGTGTAAATAAACCGTATATCATAAGGGCACCACAGCCTACACTGTCCCTCATTCCAAGGAAACCGGACCTTGGATAAGCACCTGGAACTCCTGGAGTCCTGCACTGTTTGGAGATTGGGGTCGCATGCAGCAATATCAATATTACATTTGGAAGATCAAAACTGTTCCCCTTTTCTCCTGCAGGGTCTGTGAACCAAGGGTGATTGGACAAGGAACAGGAAAGGAAAAAAAATATATGTTTCAGTTAAGTGAAAAACAAGCAGGAACTGAGATATCGTCACTATGTAACCCTAGTCTCAATTGTAGTCAATAATCTAGAACTTCCATGGCTTGTCCCCGTAAGCATTCTTTTGCCTTGATTATAAATACTGTACATACCATTAGAAATTAATTTTTTAGAATCTTTCAGCACTTATTTTGCACATATTAGAATGCAGGCGAGGGGAAATAATCACATATCATTCTCTTTAATACAGATATGGCAACTCCACTGTAGATAGCCTGGTTGCCTGTACTGGGCCCATGGCTAACCCCATCCTGTATAAAAACGTTCTGGGACACTACTGCAGGAAAGGGAAGGCTGACAGAGAAACATTTATTCTGTTTTCTGTATATGAGTCGTCTGCAGCAAGGATTTTTCTTTTCCTTTTCTTTTTTTTGCTGAGTGGGGGTGGGGTGAGGAGGCTTTGCTTTCCAGTGCATGCTTTGTTAATACCAGCTGCCTTCAGCACCTCCTATTTGTGCTGACTGATTTCAGCTGCAGTTCTCTCAGATTATGACTGATGTCATAAAAGCTGCCAGCTGCACAGCCTCTTCAGTTTTTCTGGTGATGCTGGCTGGTTGTTGTTTTTTTTCATGCTCAACTGAGCAAATACACCTTAAACACAAAACAAAGCCCTTAGCGAGAATGGGTACAGAAGCTTACTTAAGCAAGCAGTTTGGCAGATTGTATAGCATTAACACATGACAATCTAATTGTTTGCATTGAAGTTATAGCTGTCTTTATCCAGCCCTACTCCGCTGCTGTGTTCTATTCCTTTCGTTTAGGCATCCATCATATGCAACACAGGTACCCAAATGCACTCCTATTCCCTGTGTATCTTCCTTTCTGTCCTCTTCTAAGCATTGCTTTGGATATAGCCTTAGCAGAGGTCAAAATTAATCACATCACACAGATACATTGATCTTGGTTTTGCAAACTTAGCAGGGCTATTTCATGATCATATCTTATACTCTTTTCTCACTCTCAGTTTTAATTTTACTTGTTAGCTCTTTCTGCATTTAGCTGTCCCCAGTAGCATCAGGCTCTAGCAACCCTGTTCAGCTCACCCTCAACATCAATGTACTCATTTAGTATACTGATAGTTTGAGGAAGGGGTTCAACCATACACTGGGAATTTAAGTTTGTGCAACTAAAGTGAATCAAAACACTGTACTGCCCCAGTGCAACAAATCCGCTTTTTAAAAATGCTTTTTCATTTAGGAAAGCGATGGAGAAATGCACTGAAAACTGGAATAAACGATAGATTAACAGGAAGTCATATAAATATCTACAAACAGATCACAATGAAAGCTTTTTGTTGTATAACCGCTCTGTAAACAAATCAGAACAAATATTCAATAATGACCGTCAATAATGACCGGAGATAGTCTAACCACTGCCTAAGCTTTCTGCAACCAAATTAGGACAAATGCTGAATAAGGAGGTCATCTGACTGGTGAAGCCCTGTAATGGCTTCAGGCAACTCTGACTGCTTCTTGTTCTTTCTACTGAAAAGCAGCAGCTTCCCTTCTTCCTGCAATGGGCCCCACAAATCCTAAAGCTGATCTGGATTCACAGCAAGGATTTCACAATTAAATACTTGGTGTATAAATAGAGGGAAGAATCCTGTGCAAGAAAGCAAACTACAAAAGGCCACATGTATACACACACACACACACACACACACGGGAAAGAGGCAGCCTGGGCGTCTATTTACTCAAAGTCTGGTGTTCCAGAATCCAGAATCTATGAAAATATTATCCATGTGATTTTATTTCCAAGATGAATGTTGGCAGACGTTTATGAATACATTGCCAGACTCCAGTTCGTTCAAGAGAAGAGGCATAGCTAAAGGATGTTTAGCTATAGCCCATTAAAGTCAATGTGAGTCTTTTGTAATGCAATATTCATAAATTGATTAGTTAGTTGCTTCTCTACCATGTACAGGAAGTATGTAAGACAAGCCAAACAGGATGAAATATCCTAAGATAAAAGCAATCAAACAGTACCCAGAACAGGACAGCTATTAAAGCAATATTCTGCCTGAAGTTTAAAACATTTTTGTATTGTAAAGAAAGATTTCTAAAAAAAATTAAAAATGTTTCACATGTATTTACCTCTCAAAGAATTGCACGTGAAGGAACTAGGCGCTCATCTCTGGAAAAGGAGCCCCACTAGGTGGTCACCGCACCACTGAAATTATTAAATCTGAAAATATCAAGTTGATCACAGATCAAATTTCAGTAAAAAAGAAAAAAAGGACAAGAAAACACCCTTAAAACTGAGATGGCAGGGAGGACTACAGAAGGCAACAATGCCTTGCAAAACAATATTATGCACCCCAAAAAGAAACTGGGCATCTTACTAAGATTAAAACAGTCTTATAGTCTTAGAAGGCATACAAATATGCAAATGAACCACCTGGGAGAGTGCTAACTAAGCTTTGGGAAGGAGTAGGGCAGACTCTAGGACCCTGTCAGAGCCTCACGCCTCCTTCCCAAAGTCTCACTTACCAAGCTTTGAGACTGCAGCCCCACAGCTCAGCACCACAGCTCAGCACCCAGTGCATGTATGCTGCTTGCATGGCCCTAACTGCTCTCCTGCCAGTGTGTGGGGAAAGATAATACTGTCACCCAGAGAGCACTACACTTGCTCTCTTGATTGTGATACAGTATTTCGCTCAAGTGAAACAGGTGTGTGAGAAGCCTGTGGGCTTCTCCTACACATCTGGCTGAACACTGTGGAAAACATGATGCTGGACTAATAGAAAGGCCCTGGGTCTGTTCCGGCAGGGCTCTTCTTATCATCCTGCGGTAACAGATAGAGAAAAATTGACAACATAGGAAATGGCATGTATGTGAGAACCAGAGGTGGAAATCCTGGGCTTAAAAAAAGGTTTGTGGTATTCAAGAGAAGTGAACAAGCAGAGAAAGGAAGGAACTGAACTGCCAAAAGGTAAATAGAGGGAGCTTGAACTGAACATAGTAAAGTAGGCATTGAGAGTCTGTGGCCTTCAAATGTTGCTGGACTACAACTCCCATCACCCATGACCATTGGCCATGCTGCCTGGATGAAAGTTGGAGTCCAGCAGCATCTGCAAGGCCACAGATTCCTTATCCTTGTAGCAGAGGAAGCCAGCACAAAGAATAGTATAGAGCAGGCTTCACCAACCTGGTGCCCTCCAGTTGTTTTGGAATACAACTTACATCAGCCCCTGACAGCATGGCCCTGACAGCTGAGGCTCATGGGAATTATAGTCCAAAACAGTTGGAACACACCAGGTTGGGGAAAGATTATACAGTCATACTTTGGATCCTGAATGCCTTGCGAGTCAAATGTTTTGGCTCCTGAATGCCGCAAACCCGGAAGTGAGTGTTCGCTTTGCACGGCTTCTGAATGTTTTGGAAATCGAATGGGCTTCCGGAACGGATTCCATTTGGCTTCCAAGGTACCACTGTAGTTGCTTTCAGACCCAGCTACAGTGTACCCTAGAGCATGGATTCCAGAATAATTAAAGCACTCCCCAAACTTTAATTATTAGGATCTTGTGACACTGCGGTTTGTAACAAATTAAACTGTAGACCTTTGAGGTGACTCTCCTGGTTTCAAGCTCAGAGGGAAACCTGTTCAGTTTCCTCTTCTATCCTGAATGAATGTATGGCCATGTTGTTCTGCAGCTCTTCTGTGAAAACCCTCAAGAGAAAACTTTCTTGGGAGTGAGGCAAGCTGAAAAGGGCAACAAAACCACACTAGCTGCAGAGATGTTGATGGCAAGCTTTGAAGTGAACCCAGGCTGCCACCCCAAGTTGTAGGGAGCAGGCTGAGGCAGGAAATGAGAAGCACGCTGAATTAATCACTTGATGCTCTGATTAAGAGGCATGGGACTCTGTATCATGTGATAGCTAAAACTCTAAGCTCCGGTCCCTCAGACATTATTTGGTACATGAGAAATTTGAACAGACAGATGGGAGTCATGAGCAGGATTACAACCACTATTAAGCGCAAAAAATGAACTGAGTCAATTATAAATGGAATGTCCAACAGTCAGAAGAATACAATATAGGAATGGTTTCAATGGCGACCTCCAGTTTTGTTTTGATTTTAATGTGTATGTAACAGTGTATATCATAATCACATCCCCTTTTCTGAATATCCCTGAACCAGAGTAAAATCTTTCCTGCCCAAGAAACAACCTGTGTGCCAGGAATGATCCTGTATTGCTCCTAGACTAGGCATTGCTATCTGCTCTGCTCTCAGATCAGATTTGTGGAACAAGGGCTTCCAGAGAGGGGGATGATACACAGCTCACAACCTGTGCAGCCAGTCAGGCATAAGGTGTGGAGTCTGTTCCTTCTCCAAGGATGGAAGATCTTCATGCAAAAGCCTGAACCTGCTGATACAGTAAGCAGCTTTATTGAAACCTATTTATAAGGCAGCTTTTACTATGTGAAATGGGGTGTATGGGGTGTTAGGGTGGGGGTAGTACCTCTGGTGGGGGACATGTCATGTTCCTTCTAGGGTTTGTCCACCTTTGGTCTCCACTCTGCTCTCAGCTCTCACCTGTACTACTTGATCTGATCTCCGCAGAATGGGTAGCATATAAATGTACAGTGGTACTCAGGTTACATACACTTCAGGTTACATACACTTCAGGTTACACACTCCACTAACCCAGAAATAGTGCTTCAGGTTAAGAACTTTGCTTCAGGATGAGAATAGAAATCGTGCTCCGGCGGTGCGGCAGCAGCAGGAAGCCCAGTGGTGCTTCAGGTTAAGAACCGTTTCAGGTTAAGTACTGACCTCCAGAACAAATTAAGCACTTAACCTGAGGTACCACTGTAATGAATACTTGAATAAACAAAAGACTGAAGCTTTCCTGTTTTAAAAAGAATCCATCTCTCTCCCACTTTTCCTTAGTTCCCATTTGTCTGTACATTTCCAGGAGGGAAATAAAACGACACAATATGAACAAAAACTTTGGTTAGTGGCATATATTCACTTGAATATTAATGCATACGAAAAATTTGGTGTGTGGGGGGGAGATGTGGGGAATATCTGAAGCTGCTTACTGAACCTGAACACAGGTCCATATAGTCCATTATTATTATTTACTCACTCTGGCTGTGACACTCCAAGGTTTCAGTGCCTAACTAAATGTTGAAAGTGTAGAAAAGGAAGCTGCCTAATGCAAACTGTTTGGCCCTCTAGACCCAGGGAACGTTGGGGAACCTTTGAACCTTCAGGTGTCACTGAATTGCCCTGCTATCTTATGATGAAGGGCAGTATATGTCTAATAAAAAAACACCACCACTAACAACAACTGCAGCTCCCGTCATCCATGGTCATTGGCCAAATGGTTTTATTTTGCAGCGAAAATAATTTAACACAACTAACATTATAAGTGGATCTATACTAAAGATGGGTGACACCCTTTAATCTTGTTTGCACAGACTCCTGTGTTTGTGATCTATCGGTTGTTCTTTGAGGAGTGGTTTTGCAATCAACCTTCCATCACTTCAGAGGCTTGATGTCTAACTGGTTTTGCTAAGAATCAGTCATGATGGCAAATCAATATTAGGTTTAACAACATAGACCTGATTTCCACCGACTTCGGAAAAACTAATAAATAATAGGGCACAACTTCAATGGTTTCTTATCCATAAATGCTGCAACCACTGAGTTTCGTTGTTGTTGTTGTTTTTAAAAGAAAACAAAGTACCTTATAGGGCTTTGACTTTGTTGATATTTCTTCCGGCAATCTTAATTCCAGCTTGGGATTCATCCAGCCCCGCCTTTCGCATGATGAATTCTGCATATAAGTTAAATAAGCAGGGAGACAATATACAGCCTTGCCGTACTCCTTTCCCAATTTTGAACCAATCAGTTGTTCCATATCCAGTTCTAACTGTAGCTTCTTGTCCCACATAGAGATTTCTCAGGAGACAGATGAGGTGATCAGGCACTCCCATTTCTTTAAGAACTTGCCATAGTTTGCTGTGGTCGACACAGTCAAAGGCTTTTGCATAGTCAATGAAGCAGAAGTAGATGTCTTTCTGGAACTCTCTAGCTTTCTCCATAATCCAGCGCATGTTTGCAATTTGGTCTCTGGTTCCTCTGCCCCTTCGAAATCCAGCTTGCACTTCTGGGAGTTCTCGATCCACATACTGCTTGAGCCTTCCTTGTAGAATTTTAAGCATAACCTTGCTAGTGTGTGAAATGAGTGCAATTGTGCGGTAGTTGGAGCATTCTTTGGCACTGCCCTTCTTTGGGATTGGGATGTAGACTGATCTTCTCCAATCCTCTGGCCACTGCTGAGTTTTCCAAACTTGCTGGCATATTGAGTGTAGCACCTTAACAGCATCATCGTTTAAAATTTTAAATAGTTCAGCTGGAATATCATCACTTCCACTGGCCTTGTTATTAGCAGTGCTTTCTAAGGCCCATTTGACTTCACTCTCCAGGATGTCTGGCTCAAGGTCAGCAACCACACTACCTGGGGTGTATGAGCCATCCATTTCTTTCTGGTATAATTCCTCTGTGTATTCTTGCCACCTCTTCTTGATGTCTTCTGCTTCTGTTAGGTCCTTTCCACTTTTGTCTTTTATTATGGTAATCTTTGTACGAAATGTTCCTTTCATATCTCCAATTTTCTTGAACAGAGCTCTGGTTTTTCCCATTCTATTGTTTTCCTCTATTTCTTTGCATTGCTCGTTTAAGAAGGCCTTCTTGTCTCTCCTTGCTATTCTTTGGAAATCTGCATTCAATTTCCTGTATCTTTCACTATCTCCCTCGCATTTTGCTTGCCTTCTCTCCCCCGCTATTTGTAAGGCCTCGTTGGACAGCCACTTTGCTTTCTTGCATTTCCTTTTCATTGGGATGGTTTTCGTTGCTGCCTCCTGTATAATGTTACGAGCCTCCATCCATAGTTCTTCAGGCACTCTGTCCACCAAATCTAAATCCTTAAACCTGTTCCTCACTTCCACTGTGTATTCATAAGGGATTTGATTTAGATTGTATTTTACCGGCCCAGTGGTTTTTCCTACTTTCTTCAGTTTAAGCTTGAATTTTGCTATAAGAAGCTGATGATCTGAGCCACAGTCAGCTCCAGGTCTTGTTTTTGCTGACTGTATAGAGCTTCTCCATCTTTGGCTGCAGAGAATATAATCAATCTGATTTCGATGCTGCCCATCTGGTGATGTCCATGTGTAGAGTCGTCTCTTGTGTTGTTGGAAAAGAGTGTTTGTGATGACCAGCTTGTTCTCTTGGCAGAACTCTATTAGCCTTTGCCCTGCTTCATTTTGAACTCCAAGGCCAAATTTGCCAGTTGTTCCTTTTATCTCTTGATTCCCTACTTTAGCATTCCAATCCCCTATAATGAGAAGAACATCCTTCTTTGGTGTCATTTCTATAAGGTGTTGTAAGTCTTCATAGAATTGGTCAATTTCAATTTCTTCAGCACCAGTGGTTGGTGCATAAACTTGGATTACTGTGATGTTAAAAGGTCTGCCTTGGATTCGTATCGAGATAATTCTATCATTTTTGAGATTGCATCCCAGTACAGCTTTTGCCACTCTTTTGTTGACTATGAGGGCCACTCCATTTCTTTTATGGGATTCTTGCCCACAGTAGTAGATATGATGGTCATCCAAACTGAATTCGCCCATTCCCGTCCATTTTAGTTCACTGATGCCCAGGATGTCAATATTTATTCTTGCCATCTCATTTTTGACCACATCCAACTTACCCAGGTTCATGGTTCTTACATTCCAGGTTCCTATGCAATATTTCTCTTTACAGCATTGGACTTTCCTTTCGCTTCCAGGCATATCCGCAACTGAGCGTCCTTTCGGCTTTGGCCCAGTCGCTTCATCAGCTCTGAATCTACTTGTACTTGTCTTCCTCTTCCTCAGTAGCATGTTGGATGCCTTCCGACCTGAGGGGCTCATCTTCCAGTGTCATAACTTTTATATGCCTGTTGCCTTTGTCCATGGAGTATTCTCAGTATGAGTGCTTCATCCTGCTCCAATACTTTTGGTCCTCCACTATTGAGACGATGCTATAGCTTCTGGGTTATTCAGTGATGCAAGTGATCCATGAAGCAGAAAAATTAATTAGAAATAAGTATGAGCCATTCATGCTCCATAATCCCCACTTTGAGAGAAACTTCTAACAGTGATCAGGATACATGAGCAAAACATTAATAACAACAAAGGATAGGATTTTCTCAATGGCATTTTGGCCATATTTTATCAATATGGAATTTCAGAACATGGGGGCTTGCTGGCAAACAATATGAAAATAATGTTTATAAGATTTATTCGTTTACAACTTGAAAATAGGGTTGTTGACTAGTTGCTGAAAGTGTTTTTATGTGATAGAATATAACAGCTGTTATCTTAAAATAATGTGGTAGTTACCATATGGGAGCTCGGAAAATTTCTTCCCATAGTGACAGGGCTTGTCAAAATATTGAACACTTGGATGAAATGCAGAACACTTGGAAGATAGGCTCCCTTGCCTTTAAAAAGAACATGCACTGCTACTTCCCCCTCTTCCCCCTGGTCATTTCACTTCCCCTCCCTCTAGCTGTGCTGTGTTTGTAGCTAGATAATTTCATCTGTGGGGAGTCCCCCATGGACTAGCCAGATGGTGAGTTAGGAAGAGCCATTTATCTTAATACAATACAATGGCTATAGCTCAGTGGAAGAACATCTCCTATACATGCAGAAGGTCCCAGGTTCAGTCCCCAGCATCTCCAGGTAGGAGAGGAAGAGAAAGTTGCCTTAAACCCTGATGAGCCCATGCACAATACTAAGCTAAATGGACCAGTGGTCTGGCTCAGTATAAGGCAGCTTCCTATGTTCCTAACAGCTTCTGAAATCTCCATTTCTCCCTGCTCAGAGAATGTTACTGCGACTCAGAAAACATCGTACAAAATGCCAGGTGGCTGCTGTAGGCAATTGACACGAACCTCTGGTTTTCTTCTTCTACTGACATTATTTAATGCTTGAGTGTATTTTGCATAATTAGGTAAGAACCCCATGACGGTTAAGTCCAGTCAAAGGCGACTATGGGGTGTGGCGCTCATCTCACTTTTCAGGCCAAGGGAATCAGTGTTTGTCCACAGACAGCTTTCCGGGTCATGTAGCCAGCATGACTAAACCACTTCTGGCGCACGGAGGACTGTGACAAGTGCCAGAGCACACAGAAATGCCGTTTGCCTTCTCGCCACAGCAGTACCTATTTATCTACTTGCACTTTTGAACTGCTAGGTTGGCAGGAGCTGGGACAGAGCAACAGGAGCTCACCCTGTTGTGTGGATTTGAACCACCGACCTTCCGATCAGCAAGCCCAAGAGGTTCAGTGGTTTAGACCACAGCACCACCTGCGTCCCTTTACCTTCACATAATTAGGGCATAATCCAAACTTGGCCACTGCCTGGCAGGGCTTAACAGGATGGTGGGGCCACTGCCACATATGTAGGTGGAAGGTTGGGGGCAAGCAGATAGCTGTGCCAGGAATTTGGCCTGGATTGGTGTCAATGCAGTCACATGATGGCAATGGAGTTAGTTCAGTTCCATTGCAGAACACCTCATTTTGGGGTTTTCTGCTAGATGCATTTCTGCTCACTTTCATGTTTTGGGGCAGAAGAGGGAGCGTCACACTGGCAGTGATGTTAGCTTCCCTCCACCGGCAGAGGTAAGCAGGAAGAAGAAGAAAGGGGCAGGAGGTGGAGGGGATGGCATCAGTCCTGGTTAATCTTTGACCATACTGGGCCCAGTTGACACTGCATCCAGAGTAGGAGCATGCATTATATTTCATTATTTTTATTGTGGAACACTGTGATTATTCTCTTCAAAGAAAAGCAGAGTATAAATATCAGTTTAACTAAGCCCTGGCTATACTACCTTTTGAGGAGATGACACAGGGCATGCAGACATGGTTAGTGGAACTCTTTTTTTAAAAAAAGAAACAGCTTCAGGGCTGAAGCTATACTCTGGATACTGGTACTGAGCTGTACAAGAACAGTGTTGTCATGGTAGATCGTGAAGAGCAGGAGCTCATCGTGGCTGCCCCTATAGCAATACCACATGAGAGTCTCTAGCCATGCCCCAAGAGGAATTCAAAAATGCAGGCAGCTGTGTTGCTCCATATTTCATTTCTTTATTTTATTGTGTTTATTACCCTTCCTTTCTTTTGTCATGGAATCCAAAGTGCCAGGCATGTGGTTCCTAGGCTGAGCTAGAAACACCCTCCACTTTGTCATTTTTGAACGCTTCTAAAACTGGCTGTTAAACTCTGCAAATCTGATAGCAATAGAATTCATTAAAGAAGATATTGCAGCAAAAATGTCGGCTTAAGGAACTTGTACACACACACACACACACACACACACACACGCACACACTTTTAAAAAAGCATATATTTATATCCCCAACTTTTACCTAGCAGAATAGCATAATAACCAATTTATTAGGATCAGCTGGCAATCAGCATGTCAGACTTTGGCTGAGGAGGCCTGGGTTGTCATCCCTGATTAGCCATGAAATCTGTGGGGTGACGTGCCTTAGGCCAATCAGACTAGGCTACTTCATGAAGGGATCGAGCACCTAGACACACCAGCCTCCAAACTGACAACAATTACCAAATGCTGCTCCAGCAGATGTTATTATCGGCTGGGGGTGGGGGGTGGGGAATGAGTCCCTGTTCCACTACAGCACTGTGCAGCCTAAGTCCCAAGTTAGGTTTCGTCCCATC